ATCACAATAAACTGTTCGATTTTGGTAATAATCTGATAAATCATTCCTTTCTTTCATTCTTGTAAACATAAACTTTTCACTGGACACTGGTACGACTGTGCGTTTAACTGTACCGTTTAACTCACTATCAAAAATGAACACCCCTTGTTGCAATAAAGTATTTCACATCATAAATACTCACAAAAAGCCTATTTCTCATCCTTTTCCGAAATTCTTATCTTGCAATCTTCAGAATAAGTTACATGTAAATATCTGGAAGAGGGCGACCAGCCATATTAAAGAGAATAGTGTTCAGATTCCGGAAGTGCGTAAAATGTGTTACTCTGAAAATTTGGTTCTTCAGTATTTTAACTGACCAGCCAGACGTAAATTAATTTTTTAAATCAAAATTTCTTCATTTCTTGAATGTTATAGTTGCTAATCAGAGAGAGAGAGAGAGAGAGAGAGAGAGAGAGAGAGAGAGAGAGAGAGAGAGAGAGAGAAAGTCAAAGAAGTTAAGCATTATATTGTAAAGAAAGTAAAATGAATACTTCAGCCAAAATGATTTTAATTTTTTCATGCAAGGTTCCTAAATTAATAGTTTGTCAATAAAGAAAAGGGTGATATCAAAAAGTAATTTTTTGAATAGCATAAAATGTGTACGACCCCCCCCCCCCATCCCCCGACTAAATTTTGGAGGTATTTACTATAGAAAACGAAATAATAATCACACCTTCCCAAGTCACTGATGATTTTTTTCTTTTAATTAAAGTATTTCTTGTCAATGAATAAGGCTAATATTGTACAACACTGAAGTAAAAGAAATGTATCGTTTAATTAGCATTCTAAAAAAATCAAGTAATTTTACAAATAACTGCAACTAACACTTCATAAAAGTATAGATTCAGACTTTTGAAGACAGAGCAGTCGATTTCTTTCTGAAAATTATTTGAAATTATCGGCTGACATTTGTTACATATCGTATTCACTGTTATTGTAAATATTGTATTGCGATAAACAATATCACTATACAATTTTGTATCAAAACTTTTGATTAAACTTCCATGAAGCTCAAGAAACCGCAGATGAAGGGAATCAAAAGAAACTTGATTAGATAATTATCTATATTCAGTTCAATTCCAATAGGTATTATACCTATTGGAATTGAACTGGATATAGATAATTATCTTTTTATTCATCTTTATCATGTGCCATCTTTTTGACTTCTTTTAATTAAAGAAATGATAAATCTCGTCAAAATGAGAAGAATCATCGAGCAAATAAGAGGCGCAAGGGCCTTAATGGTAACCTGAGAATGGCACAGTCAAGGATCCAAAGATATATCGATGAAGTATTATCAATAAATCTATTCATATGTCGACTAAATACATTCCAGTGAGCTTAAAATAAAAAAGACACCACAGGGTGTTTGTTATATTTGAATATTTTATTAGAAAAAGCAGTTAATGGTAACCTAACAACAAAGTTTTATGATAAACGTGATAAATTTTTCAATCGTCAACTTCCCTTGCTTCAGCATCTTCGCTAACCAAGGGCTGTCGGTCCTCTCCACTCCCCATTTATGTTATTTATGTAGTAATATGTACCCTTATAACCTGCAAATTCAAGTTGATTTGATACGCAAGATTATGATCTACGTACGAACAATTTGAAAAGCGAAGTACGTTATTGACAAACAAGTTGATGAAACCAGAAATATCAACAGTTTCTTTAAAGTCATCATTTCACAACTTCCATGACCGATAAAATTAAGAAGAAACGCTTGCTGTGACCTTCACTGACATTTAGATAAAAAGATGACGTATTTTCAAAAACAATTACTGCCATTCATATGTTGACATGATATATTCCAGTGAGGTCAAAATAAAAGATATCACAGTCTGTTTCATATTTGAATATATTATTAGAAAAAGAAATTAATGGTAACATGACAAGAGAGCTCTTTGATAAACTTTTCAATTGTCAACTTCCCTTACCTATGTAGCAATATACATGTATGTCTCTGTGCCTTTTTGTCTGCAAAAAAATTTTTAACCTTGCCTATGACTTTTGATGGGTTGGAGCTTTGACTTTCATATTTCATACGTGCATTTCTCCTTTCTTTGGGTACAACATATATATTTTTACCTCTTGACCCTGGAGTATGATCCACTTTTATAAGAATTTACCAAAATTTAACCTTGAACATAACTCTTGAAAAGTTAATGCCAGGGCTTTTATACTTAATAAATGTATTCCTTGTGACAGGACTATTCAAGGGATATAAATATTGATGGCCTTTTGACCTTTGAGATTGACCAACCTTTAAAAAATCTTTAACCTTGGACATGACTTATGAAAAGTTAGTACTTGAGCCTTCATATTTCATAATTTTGTACCTTTTGACAAGACCTTCCTTTGGATACAAACAATTTTTATTTTGACCTTGGAGTTTGTCCTTTGTTGAAAAACTTTTAACTTTGGGCATAACTTTTGAACAATTGGTGCTAGGGCTTCAATACTTTTAAACCCTCTGACTTTGACCTTGGAGTTTGACCCACAATTAAAAAATCCTTGAACTTGGTCACAACTTTTGAGTGGTTAGTGCTTGGTCTTACATATTTCACAGGTATATTCTTAAGACAAGTCCTTTCTTTAAGTAACATTTTCCATCTTTGACCTTGGAGTTTAACTTGCATTTTAAACACTTTCAACTTTGACATATGCTACCATACTGGGGCATCAATGTTTCACAAATGCATTTTTTGACATATATTGCTTTTTTAATAGCAATATTTAAGCCCCCAGATTGAAAGATATCGGGTATATTGTTTTTGTCCTGTCTGTCTATTTGTTGTCAATTTTAACCTACCCATAACTATTGTGCTGTCAAAGGTAAGTTTATACCACTTGTCTAAGTCCCACTCCAGAATTGTGTTACCATCTGGGGCATAGTGTTTTACTTACACATCTTGTTTCTTAATGTTTCACAACAATCCAGTAATTTGTAGGTAAAACAAAATCAACTTTTATTAGCATTTATTGCATTCATTCACACTCATCATTTATCTATATTAAATAGAAATATCACAGTATTTGAGGTAAACATTTATATAACAAAGAAACAATAACAAAAAAAATACACAATGTTGATTGGTCAATTTGAGCATTCAGAAATTTCTTCCTTAAATGTGATGAAATCTGAAATTTCACAAAAGTTTATACAAGTTCTAGGTAGAGAAATAAATTATATTTTTCTATTTGGCAAATACTAAAAATAGCAAAATAAGATAAATTAAAGAGTTGTCCTTCCTGGCTGAGGGTCAGACCTTAATATTTGCAATTAAAACAATTTTGTGAAAATAGTAGAGAAGCATTTTCATCTAAATGTGTAGATTTTGGAATTTCTGAGGAAACAGTTGACATAAAGCAATGCATATGCATGCTCCGGCAAGATCCATCTCTTGTACAGAATGGTGTTAGGTGTTGTTTTTTCAAAATCTTTCAAAAATATTCTTTTTTTTTATACAAATTTCTCCCTTGATTTAATCAACTTCTACATGTATTTATAAACAAATCAAATACACAAAACAGACATATGTTAGACAAATATTGTTACAAATTTATCACAAAACAAAAAGCCATTTGGGTTATAGGACAGCACTATTTATATCACACATTCCTTATAACAGTAAAAATTACACAGTAATTGAACACATCCCTGAGTTTCATTCTTTTTTAAAGGGTGCAGATATAAAAAATGGATTGTGAAAAAGATAAGTTTATTATAAGATTGATTATGTCAAAATTATATTTTAGATTAGAAAACATAGATAATTTTGATTACTGTAAGTCGTTTTCATTCCACGGTGTTAAAATTTCACGATATCTAAAAAAGTACCAATCGCGATGGTTTTAATTTCACGGTAAAAGAAATTAATTCAAAATATTGTATAAACGTTTTTAAAACAATAATAACATTCACGATGGGTTTAATTTCGCAGGAAAATGATAAATCGCGAACATAGTGAAATTAAAACCATCGCGATTATTTGCCAATCTACAGTATTTTCTGTTTTTAATTTGATGGCTAGTCAAATTAATAAAATGATGTATAGCAGAAAAAAAAACAAGTTTGCTGATTACAAACATTAATGATATGATAATTATGAATGCTATACGAGGGTTGTTAAAATTTCACTGAAATTTTCACCACTTTTCAGTAGATAAAATGAATATACATAGCAAATTTCAAATAGATATATGCATAGGTAAACAAATGTGATTTTTATGTTATGTACTTTACGGCGCACGGATGATAACGTCAAAGTGTCTAAAAAAGGTCAAATCTTTGCTAAACTTAAAGTTGGATAAGCCCCACTTAAATTTAGAAATTTTATTGATTTACATATGTGAGTATCTATTTAAAACAATAAGACACACTCAATGAATATTTTCAGCAAGTTGACAGTATTCTCACCATCATTCAACTTTCACATCGACGGAAGTGACAGTGTCCTTTGCTATAACAAATGGCAGTCTGTCCATATGTTTTGTACTACCTGGGGACATATTGAAAACTTTCATTTCATTTATATAAGACCATTTTCTTTCTTCTGTATTCATTTAAAATCTCTTGTCATTACAACATCCTAATCTATCTGAACTGCTCTCGGTACATAAAAAGTCGCCATTTTTCGTGTATTGTGTTTATTAATTTGATGGCAAAAATTAACCAAATGCCTTGAAATTTTTCAGAATTGATTAAGGAAAATTAAATAAAATTGAAAATGTAATTCTTTTGTCTTCTCTAATATAACCTTGCTATTTTTACTGTGCGCCATAGGACCTTACCTTGTGCATATTCAAGCAGAATAAAATCTTTATTTTTGAATACAAAAACATTATGATTCACTTAAATATGATGAATAAACATTTACTGAAAATTTCAGCTTAGTGCGCCCATCACTTTTAGAGAAAAACGCTTTGTCCACGATTTTATGGGACAACCCTCGTATGATATACAGAACACATTTTCATACATAATAATTTGATTATAAAATGGAATATAAATAATGCCACATCCTGAATGAGGCAAGCAGTGTGCACAATGGAAATACATAGTGAATGGCAAGGTTTCAATATCATTATGGTAACCCATTTGGATACATATATCAATTGAAAAAATATTTAAAAGATACAAGAAGTCATATATAGGATTATAGATTTCCAAATATATGGTGAAGACAATCTACTATCCTCCAATAAAGTGAATAATCTAGTGATTTTTATTACAGTTGAACCTTAGTATCTCAAAGACTTACAAGTGGAAAAAATTGTGGATATCAAAGTGAGAGCTTATGGTTCTAACCAGTCTATACATTTCTTGACTTCAAAATTTCAAACCTTTGAAAATCTTTTTTGTCATTCCAGTTAACCTTGAGAAATCAAGGTGTAACTTTTCTTGATAATGGAAAAGGTAGTTAAAGCATGTGTACAGTAGTATAGTTATTTTGTCAACAACAAAAAAAATAACCAACTTCTGAAATTCATATAAAAAGTTTGAAAAATCAATCAATCTTAAGCCATTTTTAGGATGACATAAAACTGAAAATGCAATCATTAAAATCATATAATATTGTACATGGATGAATCAACAGGATTTGCACATTAAACAACTTAAATAAATATGCATACATACATCAATAAATTACTAACAAGTATTTGCTAAACCATGATTTAAAACTGTTTTATGAATAATTGCACTATTTTTCTGCAGGTTTGATTGTCATATGTCCATTGCTGGTAGTTCTGGGATTGTCTGCAAAAATAATAACATAAATTTATACTAGATTTACTCCCATATCTGATAATCTTAGAGATATACATGTATAAAGAGCAAATTAATGAATGACCATTAAAAGATTTTACATGAAATAGCTAATTTGAAAAGAGATTTGGATTGTTTCTGATACTGTCAATTTTCCTCTATTTCTGGTCCTACCTGGAGGTCCAGTAGATGGTAAGGTACGTCCATCACCACGTCCTTGTTTTTCACTATCAGATGTCCTCGTTTGGAGGACGGACCTACAACATCCACCTCCTCCCCCCGGGAAAGCACCGCTCCATTCACAGATCCCTCTGCTGATGAGAAATAAAATTCCTTGATAATGTGGTATTCCTCTAAACTATTAACCATATGAAATTTAGGTACTATTCATAAGGTGTTGTTTTCCTTCACACTTGTTTGAAAATTACCAGACTGATTTTAGATTTATAACAATTTATCACAAAAAGGCAGTCCTACATAGCCGTAGCTTTGGGACATTCATCCTTACTATAATCCAACTATTTTTTGTGGCAATTCTTTATTCACAATTTGACATCCATCTATAGTGACTTACATGTATTTTTGTGACTGAGAAAATATTCTAGTACATAGATATACAATGAAATAAATTATTTGTGTTGAGTAACATAAAGATTGGTTTATGGTAAAAGATCTTCATCTTAATTAAAAATAAATCAACAATTACCTGGGAAATTATCCTTCATGATCCTATGATGAGGATATCCTAACCTGACATTTTTCCCAGCTACACAGTAGGATCTGTTGGGGGGAATGGAAGGGGCAGTCTCCTGTAAAAATTCAATCAAACTTTCACATTATGTGACATTTTAGACCAAAGAAATTCATGAACTGATATCATCAAAGCGTCAAGTGACCTACCAAACATATGTTGTAATACTTTGATGCTTGCTGTAGTAGATTTTCATCTTTCCTTATAATGCCTATTTTCTTGGATTTGTTTGATTTCCTAAAAATGAAAACAAAAAAATGTCAAATTCATTTTCTTGTACCACTAGAAAAAAAAAATCTATTATGTAAGAACCATTCCTTGACATTATTTGTTGTAAAATGCTGCATTTTTAATGACATTTACCGAGTGGAGCTGGTTTGAGATGACTTTACAGACTCCCTATCAGACAGAAGCTGCTTTCTTCTCTTTGTCCAGTTTTTGCGACATTGTAGACCTTTCCAATAAGCCTGTATAATTGATGCTGCCTTGTTGATTTTTTCTGCTCTCATTGCCTCTAACTGCTGCCGTGTTCCCTCACTTCAAAGTTAACAATATCATTTATACCTCAACAAAGCATGGGTTACTATAGGATCATTATATTTCATAGGGGTTCTGTTTTTCATGGGGGTTCAATTTTCATGAATTTACAACAAAGATAAATATCAAAGGATTAACTTCGTCTGAAAGTAACTTTTTGAACAATCAATAAAAATTGATATATTATACAATTATTTAATATAAATTGTGTATTACCAATGTCAACTTAGATATATTATATATAATTACTAAATATATATTGTGTATTAGCAATGTCAACTTAGATAAAATGTCATAAATATGTACCTGAAGAAGAGGTGTTTTTTACCAAACATCCACTGTGTGCTGACGTAAGGAAGCTTGCTTTCATCCATTGCCTTCAGAAAACTGTTGAGTATGGCCTTAAGTAAAAAAAAAATGCATAAAATTACAACAGTTATTCAGTGATAAGATTATAAGCATTTGACTTGATTTTGAATATATTTTTCAAGTGTAAAAACATCAGAGATTATATATCTTGTCATATTATAACCTGTCTTGCTTTTTTTCATTTTCCAAGCATATGGATTCATTTTGAGTTATCTCCCTTTAAAACACAATTTTTTACCTTGCATTGGTCCTGCTGTGTGTCCAGTTGATAAGGCTTCATGTGACCAAAAAAAATCTTATATCTGTTGTTAAATGACTTGTATCTCATTCTGTGGGGAATACCTTTGAATTTAAAAAAAGATATTAAATGCAAACATTCACATTGAATCAATCTTGATATAGCAACATGAATCACAATTTCAAAGAGAGTGTGTTTATGTAGAAACGGATGTCACTGAGTTACCTCCAGCCATCAGATGGACCGTTTCCAGCACTTGTAATGACCTGAGCTGTCGGATGATGACGTCTCCATCAAACATGTCCATCTCCCCCCGGTCATTGGACTATAAACCAAAGCAATCACAATACATGGACAAAAGATTCATATTTTGTGTTAAAATATACACTATACACAATGTCAAACCATTAAGCCAAACCTTTAAGCAGAGGACAAAGTGAGGTTTGGCATGCATCAGAGTCCTCAACAGATTGTCTAGCTTGGTTTGGAAATCAGAAGTAAGAGTGCCTCTTGTTCCATTTAACCTAAAATTAAAGAAAATTCAATAAAACATTTTTTTATGTAGCCCGATATATTCATCAACATTTTGAAGAGTTAGAGGTAAAATTATTTAATACTTTGCTTACTTGGAGTCAGAAGAATTTGGCAAGATTCTGTACTTCAATCCTTGCGGCCCTGAGCCTAAATCTGTAATAATTGTGTGTTCACATTTAAACCAAGCAACAATGTTGATAAAAAAACATCAAAGGTGACAGCAACTTTACTTACCACCAGTGTTTGGTTTGTTTTCCTGAGCAAAAAGGTGAGACACGAATCCAAAGTTACAGTTCTGTTTAGAGAATACAGCCACCACATCATCTGGTAGGGTGTCGCGATTATTCTCCAGGAAAGTGTTGGTATCATACACCACTCTGCCAGCAAAATGGCGGATACCAAAGACAGCATCGGCCTTTGGTAAAGGCTCAAAGAAACTGAAATCAAGAGGGAATTCATTAGTATTCTTTTAAATCTATTTCAGTTCTTAAACATCTATGAACATTCTCTGTACTAAGATTAATTTTCATTAGATAAACATTTCAACCTGTACCTCCAATTCAATAACCTGACCCAATTTTTTTTTAGATATCCCAGTTTGCGAGATAAAGAAGCTAAAACTTGAACATAAAACCTTGTGTTAAACTGTGGAGTTGCTCCTTTATTCAACATAATAGAATTTCAAATACCAAAGTTTGAAAGTGATTCTTAAATTACTTAAAGAATAAATCACAGTACTGTTAATTGATACTTACTAGTTATTGACTCTGTGGTGAGCTTTTACTTTTGTTGTGAAGATCTCAACACTACTTCTAGGTTGAGCACACTCAATATCCAGAATGCTAAGAATTCCATTCCTCTGATAAAAAAATCAAGAATTTATCATTATACTTCATCAAAGACAAGAGGTCCACGGGCCTTATAGGTCACCTGAGTATCCCGTAACAACTTTTAACAAATGAATTTAATTCGTCTTTTAAACCAGAGGCGATGAAATTCACAATTTTGAAAGAGGCTCCATTGCTAATCATAACTATACATTAAGCATGCTTACTTTGGTTACTTATTACCCAGAGAGAGATCAGAGCAACAAAGAGAAAATGAATTTCTATTCATAACCAGTTGTGCACCCCACCCTACAGGAACCACTGATCTTAGGGCCACAAATTTCAATATTTTGGAAATTTTATCATAAATTTTATTTCATCATAAATTGTTGATTAAAATCAAAGTGCAGATTTCAAAGCATTAATTTATATTCAGCACAAAGGTTAACACAAAATACTATGACCCAGGGTCTCAAAAATTAACCATTTTGGAAGAAGCAGCTATCTTCATCATAACTATGTACTTACATCAATGGCATAATACCCAGGAGCAAAGGAAAAGTTTTTCAAAAAATTCATCTATTTTCATTATATAAACATTAGAGCCCCACCCCAACACATGAAGCCCTGACCCAGGGGCCCTGAAATTTACTAATCTCAAAGAGGCATCCTTCCTTCTCATAACTATGCAGATAGTTCATTGGTTTAATACCCAGGCACAGAAAAGAAGATTTTCAAAGAAATAATTCATTTTCACAATATAATCTATATAGCCCCGCCCTAGCACTAACACCCCTGACCCTGGGGCCATGAAATTCACAATTTTGGAAGAGGAAGCCTTATTCAACATAACTATGCACGTGGTTAATTTATTTAATGCCCATGAGCAGAGAAGAAGAATTTCAAAGAATTTATGCATTTTCACTATATAATCTACCGGGTATATAGTCCCGCCCTAGCACTAGAACCCCTGAGCCTGAGGCCATGAAATTCACAATTTTGGTAGAGGACTCAATGCTGATTACAATCATACCAACAGTTGGACTGCTTGATGTCCAGGAGTAAAGAAGAAGATTTTTAAAGATTGCACTAATTTTAGTGGTTTTGGCCCCACCCCCCAGGCCCCAGGGGGGCAGGGACAATGAAATTCACAATTTTTGTTCCCCTTCACCCATAGATGCTATGATGCTATATACAGTAAAACTCGGATATAGCGAAGTCCTGGGTACCTTGGAATTTAATTCGCTATATCCGTAATTCGTTATATCCGTATAACGAATTCGTATAACTATATATAGCGAATTCGCAATATGTATGTTTTCCTTCAAGAATTTATACCAAATAGATTAGGGAAGCAATATCTACAAAACATACTTTGAAAAAGTAAGGTTTTATCATGAATTGAATGTTATATCTGTGGTTCTATGAGAAAACCAGGCAGAATTGTAAAATATCAATTTTTAAGGTATTTTTAAATGTCTTTATTCCATTAAATATTGATAAGGTACACATCACTGATAAAAAATCATGAGGTGAGAAAATTGATAGCTTGTTCTATTTATAGTAACAGGGCCGTCATTAAAACCAGGAAAATAAAGTAAGAAAGGGCAAATAAAGGGGGAATTTCATTCAATTTCAATGCAGCATTAGAGCCAAAAGCAATCATTTACACATAAACTACTTATTTAATATAAAAATTCAAGATTATAATTCATGTTTGATAAAAAAAGATTTCTTGTCAAACATGCAATGTTGCCATAGCAACCCGTCAAAAATGTCTCTTTTGACAGAAATATCGTTTCGGATGTAAAGGTACCATAAAAATCTTCATATTAAACAGGGTTAGGACGCTTATTATTTTTAAATTCAAAATTAATTAAAAAGTTAAGTATGTTTGAATTCTCTACGCAATTGGAATTGTTTTTATAAAATTGTGAATACAAAATGATGATAAAGATACCCCCTTTATTGAAAATTTTCAGAAAATTTTTTTCTTGTGATTATATGCTATATTGTTGGAGTCTTTTGGGAAAATTTCATTAATGTGAGTGACACTTCATGTATGGCCCCCTGCCTGGTTTTCTCATAGACCCACAGTTATACAAATATTTTGTGAAAATAAAGTAGGTTCATAATATCAAATTTTGAGATATTTGAAAATTCATTATAAAAGATGTAAATTCATTATTTTTAATCTTTACGGGACTCAAAATCAGTTCGCTATATCCGTAAATTCGCTATATACGAGTTCGTTATAACCATAAAATTTTACAAAGAATTGTTAAGAATTTTGCCGGGGACCTCGAAAAACTTCGCTATATCCATGACTTCGCTATATCTGTGTTCGTACTAAACGAGTTTTACTGTACCAAAATTGGTTGAAATTGGTAAAGCGGTTTCATAGAAGAAGCTGAAAATGTTCAAATGTTAACGCACGACGAACCACGACGGACAAAAACGGATAGCAATAGGTCATCTGAGTTTACTCAGGTGACCTAAAAAGTTGTAAAATCTGTAACCCCCTACCCCCTCCCCCCCCCCAAAAAAAAAAATTTTTACCTGTGACTTAAAACCTGTATATCGTTGTCAGGTGATTTGACCTCTTCTGAATATCTTCATCCTTCAGGGCCTGCATGGTGCTCTTGAATATGTGTGTGTTGTAGAAATGCTGAATGGTCTCAGCACACAAGTTAACACAAAACTGCTCTAGCTGGTTTCTCTGCAAGAAAAATTACTTTTTGTCATACCCTTAACCTATTCAAAGCTCTGAAAAAAAATTCATGCCACTGAAGAAAATGTCTGTAAAGATTACCTGTGCTGTTTCAAATCCAAACATATCTATGATGCTAATAAACCCATCATATTTCGTTTTCTCATAACCAGATCTAATGGATGAACTTCTTGAAAACACCTGATCTGAGAAAGACACCCCTCCTGGATCAACTGAAAATTAAATACGAAACTAATATTGTAAATCACCCTCTCCTCTCCCTCTGTCACTTCATCATTTCCATTCACAAATACTAAGCATAGCCTACCATGATGAAGATTTGATTCTGTGCTGCCAGACAGTGAAGAGTTGATATTAGGTCGCCTTAAACTGTTGGCTCTTTTTAATATGGCTGCAATAGTTCTACTGTACAATGCTTTTGCTAAAGCATTTCTTGTGGCATTTGCCTGTAATATCAAAATTCATACTTAACTCTATCATGCTTCAAGAAAAAAACTTCAAGAGGTAAAGCTCTTTACTAATTTTTGGGTGACAGGGTGAAAAACGGAACTAATATTCAGAATACTAAATATGAGTACATACTGTATAGGCATCTGCCAGTGATTTACACAGCTGACCTCGCGTGTTTCGAGTCCGAGTTGTGAATCCTCTGTAAAGAGCTACCCCAGACACCCCTAGTAATGCTGCCACTGCCTTGATTTCTATCAAATACATATAAAATAATAAATACATAGTGTTCAGTGCTGTTATATCTTAAAGCTATTTGGAATACTAGGAACAAATATAAATTTAAAAAGTCAAAAGGCTCTCTTTAAATTGTGATTTCAAGATTGATATCAAAACAGGTATAGGAAAACACGAGTAAAAACTGTATCCTCTTGCAGGTTTTTGCACAAGAAAAAAAAAAATTTCTAACCATTGTTCCCAATAATATCTAGTTCCATTCCAGTGCCTTCCATAAATTCTATGTTACCCAGCAACAAGATGGCAGAGAAAATCCTCATGACATCAGAGAATGGAATCCCAAGTACACCCAAAGAATTCTAAAAATGACAAAATATGAAATTCAAATATTACTAATGTTAACACATACTTTTTTTTAAAATTTTGGTAGACATCTAGATTATTTTTTTCAATACTGACCTTCCATGCATCAAATCGAGACTTTTCCTCCATTTCGTTCCATATATGAGTGTTACCGAGACTGAGGTAGCTAAGGTTATGCATGGAGTACCCTGTCAGGTGAAGTTTGGCTGCAAAGAATTTACGTTATTTAATGTGTGGTGTTTAGTGGGAATGACAATCAAATGCATATTACTTATCAGCTAGCATAAACTGTTTGCTATATTACCATAATACATTTTTGCATTAATTTTTTTTAGTCTTCCATTATTCAGTATTAAACAAACAATATTCAGTAATGGTTATACAAAAGGCCACTTTTATATTATACATGTACTGGTTTATAAAATTCTTTGTACCTTTTTCTTCAGATCCTAGACCTGCTAACATCTGATAGAAAATGTGGTAGTTTCTTTCATTTTGCTGAACTGAACACACCCTGTCCTGTAAAAATAAACAAATCATATAATAAAAATAATAACAATCAAATGATGAAGTTTTTACTTCATCTGAAATGTGCTGAAGAATATTCATGTATGCAAGAACCAAGATGTTTTTTGGAGAGAACAATCACAGGCATTAATGTCTGCTGTTCAATCTATTTCACTGATTTGAATTAAATATATTTTAAACCAATATACCCTGTCCAGCAGGTAGGAGTGTATCTTTGTTCTGTAAATGGCTGAATCTGTGATGAAGTTCTCGATGAAGAAACCCTAATGGAATGTGCATCAAAATTAAAATAATTGTCATCGAAATGATTGAAATGAAATTCTGTCCAAAAAAGGTCTAGGATAAAATAAGCCATATATGTGGTTTATATTCATAGCTAAACTTTGTTACTTGAACAAGATGGAACTAAGGAAAAACTTTGAAATGTTTTGGATTTTAAAATATTGATGGTAAATGCTTAGAGAAAAGCTTGGGAGTAAATTACTTCAACAAATCCATGGTGCTTGAAATACAAAAGTTCAGCTATTTATGGAAAAACCAATTTTTCCCCAATCAAACAAGATATCTTACTACTCGGCTTGACTCGGAGTTTGTGACTGTGGTGGCTGAACACAGAGATCTGAGGACGGTCAGTGTGGCAGACAGGTGCTTGAAGGCGTCCGTCTCGGATCCCCCACCGGCCAGGTCAAACAGCTGACGTAACATGTGCATGGCACAAAATGTCTTACCACTCCCACTCTCACCACTGGAAAGATACAGAGGTGGTAAGCTTTTTTTCATTTTAAAAACATTATTAATGCATGAAAATGTTGTGCAATTTTAATTCAGAAGTTAGAAATATGATTGCTACATATTTAAATGGGGGATTACAACTTTCAATTTTAAACTAAGTTCACAAAAGGTCAGCATCTTAAAGGTATATTGTTCATTTGTTTGTAAATGAAAAAATATTGAAGTCATTCGGGATAATCAATGGACTTTATGCAATCTTACACATACTCAAATGGGTATCTAGTACATTGTATTTCACTTGCTTTTTAACAACAGAGAAATTTAATTCTGTAATTTTTTTTTTTTCTTTTTTGATTGTGCAGAAAAATATTAATATATGCATATTGGATGTAATAAAACTTTTAACTTGTTTGAACCCTTTTTCTTCATAAAAAAAAAGCAATCCAATTTTTTAACCATTAATTTGACAATACTGCATTCCTTAAGGCATCATTAATATCTAAAACTTACATCTTTCCTGGGTTTTTTTTTTCATGCTTTGATTCAAGGTATAATAACAACATCAAAAAGGAACCTTCAAACCAAATCCTCACTGTCAAAATCTTCAATTTCCTTTTATCAGATTAAGTTTTTTGAAACTATTTATCATAAAATGTTGACATCTTCTTAATTCTGCTTTTAATAAAATCATGAAGTGGTATATGTTGTAATGGCTGTTAAATGAATTGTCGTGTAAAGTGCTTATGTTAAATTTATGGTTCTATATTGGTGTTAATGGAGCAAATCAGCCGACAGAGGTTTGGGGTAAAAAATCATTTATTATTCCAGCTGCCATAAAAAACAGACTAGAAATCATGGGAGAAAGGCAGAAGAAAAAATGCTAAAGAATTCCAGATAAAAGCAAGCAACCTAAAAATAAAATTTGTACAAGGAACTCTTCATCCATATATTGACATAGATACATAAAGCATATTTTCCTTATTTGTCATAGTCCTTGAGAAAGAAAAAAATGTTGAGAAAGGCCATTTTTAAAACAATATTTGTTTCCTCTCTACTCAGGTTACAAAATTGGGTCTGTGGGTAGGTGGAAAATTTCAATAGACTAGTTGATGGAATTAGTAAGTTCAGGAATAAACAGAGAAAAACAATTCTTGTTTACCAGGTGTTAAGAGGTTTTGAGTTAAGGGCCATTTTTAGCCAATCAGTTGGGAGAGGGCAAACAAACAATTTCTTAACGACGCCCTAAACGAATTAAATATACATGAACATATATAACCACCAATAATAAGGTCTATAAACATACCTGCATATGATGGCCTGAGAGTGACCAGTGTCTGTGTGCTGAGTAACCGCCTCTCTCACCAGAGCATCCAGTAATGAGGTGGGTCTACTGGACTCCACCAGACAGCGGGCGGTGGGGCGGTACCGGTAGTTGTTAAGGGACACATTCACCGGCCCTAGCTTACACTGCAGAGAGGCAAATAACTTAAGTCTTAGTGACTATGGAATTACTATACAACTAACAGAATGGGGAAAAAAATTGAACTAAACTTTAAAGATTTCCACTGTGAATGCATTTTCAACCAAATAAGTTTCAGTTATATTTAACTTGATGATATACAGAACACAAAAGCACCCATACCAAAAATATGATGAACACTTAAAGATGCCTTTGTACAGATTAAAGAACATTTTTCTTTTCATTGTACATTGCAATACATAGGACTGTCGGACATGACTGATGCACAATGCCTCTAGTTTGATGCATCATGTTTTACACCTGATCACATTGTCTAATGTCTCGGTGCATACACTGCACAATGAATCTGCTTCATTGAACCTTTTTTTTACAAAAATAAAAAATTGCTGAAACTTTTCTGTCTTAAAAAGAAATGCAATCTTGAAAATTACAAAGTAGAAGAAAAGAAAATTATCTAATGGAATCTTTAATACTACCACTGTCTCCTCAGATCCCCAAAACTTTCTGGGAGTTCACACAAACATAAAAAAAATCATATAAATGGATTGTTCACTGAAGCTTTTCCATCTTCAAAAGAAATGTAAAAGTCATAAGTGGATCAGTCATTATCAGGGAGTAGTCAATGAATGCTGGGCACCATCCCTCCCCCTGAAAAAAATAAATCCCATATCAGGGAGGAGTCAGTGAAAGCAGGGCACCATCCCTTCCCTGTAAAATGGTAAAGGTGTGTCAGATCCTCATTATCTGGGAGTAGTCAGTCATTGCTGGGCACCATCCCTCCCCTGTAAAAAGATAAATCCCATTTCAGGGGCTCAGTCATTATCAGGGAGTAATCAGTCATTGCTGGGCACCATCCCTCCCCTGTAAAGAGATAAATCACATATCAGTCAGTAGTCAGTCATTACTGAGCACTACCCTTCTCTTGTAAAAACATAAATCCCATATGAAAGAGTGGTCAGGCATTGCTGGGCACCAACACTCCCCAAGTCAGAAAGTTAGTCAATAGCACAATCCCTTCCCTGTAAAAAAGTGCATCCTAGATCAAGGAGTAGTCAGTAGTTACTTGGCACAATCCCTCCCTTGTAAAATGATAAATCCCCAGATCCAGAAGTAGTCAGTCATTGCTGGGCACTATCCCTCCCTTGTAACAATGTTAAATTTAGCTTAATACTATATCAAGGAAAAGTAAGTCATTAGGTACAATCCTTCATATGCAATAAGTTAAGAATTCAGAGTAATTTTGTATCAGCAAGAAGTCATTCACTGTTACGCACAATACCTCCCCCACCCCACCCCTTAAATGTAACAAAGCCTGAATCAGTCTAATCCCATTTCAGCCCACTCTCACCTGTACGTTATTAGAATCAGTTTAATCCAAAATCAGTCTATACCCTCCATTGTAATATCATCTTAATCATTCTTATTCCCTATCAGCCTACCCTCTCCTGTAGCAAAGTTATATTTAGTCTAATCCCATACTAGCCCATTATATGTACTTGTTATGAAGTTTTGTCCTTTTTTCTGTCAAAACAACATTTTTCTGTCAAAACAACATTTATGTGCTTTAAGATCAAAGTTTGTGATAATTTGTTTGTAGATGATGTGCCCTGTTTGTTATGTATAAGGGTGTAAGTGAATCAGTTTGAGGGTAAAAGCCCATTTCTAACCAACACTTGCAATTGAAATTGCAGCAAGTTTGCAAGTGTTCCAATCAATGATTAAAAGAAACATAAAGATAATCTTTCAATTTTTAATGATGCAGTGAAATTATGGATAGCTTATAACTAATCATTGTGTTGATTTTTCTTGCAGTGATGTATTTAGACAAATATAAAGCTTGAAAAATCTCCTCACACTGAACTTGCGTGCATCAACTAAGCTTAGGGTTGGTATTCACAAATAAGACCAAGCCAAGTGCAGAATTAGCAATCCTTTCATAAGACCAAAATAACTTACCAATACATGACACCTAGCAATAAGCATTCTATTGTTAATGGTACAGTAAAAGCATAAAGCATTTCTAGAATTTCCCCACAAATATATTAGAATATAGTATCTAATACATGATTGTATTGCAACAAAAGTGTCACATTTTGCTCCCTTACAGTAAACTTTTTCATATAGACATATATAAAAGTCCATATCACAAGATCACTCTACAGATACAAAGTCATGGATTAAGAATAATGTGAGAATGATGAAAAAGTTGATACAGCTTATGTGACAACACAACACTCTAAAACATGGAAGTCTCTAAAAATTGCTCTTTTAAATCTCTTATAACTTTAAAACATATCATAATTCCATTATTTTGTACTGCATCAATAGTTAACCAACTAGTAATATATAAGTGTGCACTAATAAGTGTAATCAGGAGATGCACATTTTCCTGTAATTTCATGCGCTACCAGGAAAGAATTGAACCATCTCACTTATGAAGCAGAAGACAGCATTGCAGCATTTTAATTCAATTATTTCATTTTACTTTTTGACAAAATTTGAACAATTTTGAAAGCTGCAACATGACATCCAAGATCCCTCATTTTCCCTCTCCCATTAACTAGGAAATGATAATTTTTTGTTAATTCTTACCTGCAAATTATCCTTAAAATCCATGCAAATTTCAGACTCAAGGTATCATTACTGCAACATTGTTAACCAAAAAAGCTATTATTTCATTAACAATGAAGGATTATTCATGGAATGCTCAGTGTCTCTAATTCCACCAGACATTTACTAACAGAATGCACTGTCGCAAGTCAAAAGCAGAAAGACTTTGTTTAAACCATACCTCACACGTAACTTAAGTCCGTGATATGTAAGAGTAAACCACAGCAAAATCAGCTAATTACCACATAAGAGTCCATTTATGATCTAGTGTAAAGACTTTAGTCCGGGATTAGCATACACATTATTACAGCTTACGCGCTGACTGCAATCTACCTCAAGAGAACCTGTGAGACTTTTAAATCAGACCGTATGCAGCCAAATCACTGATTATTGGCAATCGTACAGGTAGCTTTCAATATTCTTTGAAATAAATGAAAAGAAAATATATACTTAAGTGTCAAATAATATTGATATTGTACATTTAATTATTTTGGAAGGAGAAAGGATGAACTTGATAAATTACACATTAAAATATTAAAAACACAATCTTTCGACACTTGACTCAATTAAATGATTAACAAGAGCAGAAAGGTTAGAAGGGGGGTTCAATAAATAAAACTGAAAAATAATAATTAAAATGTCTCAATTTTTGTGCACTGTGACATTAATTGATATCCCTAATTTTTCTAAAAGCCCTTTTAAGTGGATGTCAGCACAACAGTTGTATCATCTAAAGAAGAAAGTGACATATCTGATGAAAATTTGATCCTTTTACGAACCCGAAATATCTCTTATTCAATTCTTTAATAAATTTTGACACACCTCTATCAAACAATAATTGTTTAGCTTTAAACATGATTATTTGGGACAAAGGACAATTTCCGCTGACACAGTATCAGTCTATAGAACCTAGCGTAAATAACAAAACCCGAGAAAAACTCATCACAATCCACTTTTTATTTACCACTCACAAAAACACAAAGGAATCAGATGGTCTTTGATCTCCAAAAGAAAATTTTTAATTTCATTCTCACTTTTCTGAGTATTGAATTCTTTATTTGTTGCACTATAGTTCTTAACATTGCCGATGTCATGTTTGAACAGTTTTTGTTAAGGCTTTAGTGTCAATGAGGCAAAACATGGGAAACATTGGAGTGATCTGTAAAACGTACACAGTCTTGTCACTTGTGGTAGGAAGTCTGACAGATCTGTCTCGTAAAAACCTCTGTTTACACGCCAGTGGAGGAAAAAAAGCTTGACTGTTGACCCTAGAACCCCCCAAATATAGGGACAGCCATGTAAAGATGCACCTTATTACAGGCCAACAAACTATATGATCACCAAATTACTTGGAACATAAATTATAGGTTTGGGTCTAGTTAATTAGGCCTGAGAATTTTGATAAATATTTTGTGCAAACTAAGGTATATATCTCCTGCATGGTCTCTACACTTTGCTTTATCCTGAACTTTTAAAATGTACCAGAGGGCAATTGAATCACACAAATGTATTGAGTTCTGACTAATAATTTGAAAATTTTTAAAACATCTGTAAGAGATCATACAACTACTGTATACAGGGAAATTTTCGCCCCCGTTTTATTTTCGCCCCTTTCGCCCTATGATCTTTTGGGCGAATTTAAAACGGGGCGAATTCAAAGAATACAGTATAATTTCTTAAACAAAACTATGATTGGGCGAATTTAAAACGGGGCAAAATTGTTTGCAAGTGTGAGAGGGCGAAAATAAGACGGGGCGAAAATAACCCTGTATACAGTAAAAGATTCAATCTTGAAGGCCAATGACATATGATCAATTGGTTTCAAGCTTGAAAATATTTAATATATATAAAGTATTAGAGCAAATCTAATATTGCATCTTCTGGAAAAAAAATTAAATTAATATAGGATCAAAGTATATTTTAGATTTTGTTGAAGATGTTCAAATCTTATGTGAAATAATTTTTTTATTGGTCTTCACTAAATTAAGATTTTTCACATGTTTTTGTAAATGAAATATCTAAATATCCCAGGAAATGGAGGAATTTAGACAACAAGCTCTGATCATAAGCCTGAGATTTGTTGACATAAGAGTGTTCCACCTAATACAGAAGATTTGTCAGATTATTCCAACATAAGCAACCAAATCCCCTCTAACTATTCCGTGATAGACATGCCCCTGGTTTGTCAGATCCTATCGCCAGAGGATTCAATACCCCACTAGATTTTATAATCATCTTCTTACAATCAATTTTACAAAACTGTTCATGCTTAACTATGAATTGGGATTTTAAAAAAACATGGAACCTCAATACCTACCATATTTTGTTTTTAAATCTCGAATTCCGTTTGTATTTAGTTCAATCCTTAAATTTTTACAAAATACCCACGCTTCACAAAAAATCCGAATGAAATCAGAGGAATAGTTGCTAATACATGTTCATTTAAAAATGCAAACAGTTGGCTGAAATTCTTTTTACTTCTAAAAAACACAAATTTTCGTAATCTTAAATCTCTCACAATTCTTTATTGTATGTTTACACAAAAAAGTTCTTTTTGGGCCTAAAAAAATTCCAAACTTTTACGACCCTGAATATTTCATCCTACCTTTGGTTAAGTTCCAGTAAATAGTGTGAAGTGTTTATATTCCCTGTCACCCAGTCTTACAATGCCCCCCTGTCGACAGCTGTTTATTGATGCTCTACTCCTTTAACTCTTTACATATGATAACATCTCTTTCCCTAATTTACTCACATTGTCATACCCACTCTACTTTCATCTTATGTTTCATGTTCGCATCACCCTCCATTTGCTTTTTAGTATTCATATTTTTTACTTATACCCTGAATTTATCTAACAAACATGTTTTTCCATCATTTAAACTTTTTATTTTTTAAATGTACATATTAACTATACACTGTATTCTTGAATTAAAAAAAAAAATTCCCCTTTTTTCGCCAAAAAATAATTATTTTTATTGCGAACCTGACTCATTTCATTCCGTAGATTTTTAAAGATTGTTATGCTCCATTAGTTTTTATATTTGGTTATTTAATTACTGTGAGATTCCACAAATATCTTAATACGTTTCTGATGTTTGTGCTAAGCATTAAATAGTTACTTCTTATTGGTTGAAAACACACACATTTTAACACCTTTATGGATTATCAATTTAAATACTTCTTCCAAATATCTTTTGCAAATTTGTATTGAGTACATGTAATAGAATAATGGAAAATCAACTAAGCTTTCCTTATTTCAACAACTATTTTACACAAGTTTATAAGAATAGCTGCTTTCTTCTTGGGGGGGGGGGGGGGTTAAATAATATTAAACACACAGGTAATGCCTCAAACAAATGTTATCATTTAAACAAATTAAGTAAAACACAAATTAATTCTTCAACATATTTTTGTTCAATCCACTTTCATTCATTCTAAATGTATTATAAAATTATCCACACATGCAGTTTTCAAACTGTCAAGCATGCAAAAAAATCTTAAACAAAAGATAAAATGCACGGAAAGTATACTTACAATATTAGCAAATATTACATCCAGAAAATCCACCTGTTACAAATAAATTCCAACTGTACTTTAAAATTACATCACTATGTTTTAATCCTTTTAAAATCCCCAATCTGGTCAAGGAAAATAGAACCAATCCATCAATTTCCAAGACCAGAAATTAATTGAATTTAGTTTATCTTCTACCCATAAAGCTAAGTCAAATATTTCATACAAATATTTCCTATAGTGTATCCTTACAGGGACTTAGAAGCAGATACAGAGTGAATGGCCACATAAGCCGGTATACGCGGGAATTGTCCCTGCTCATTTGATCGTGACCCAAGTTTATATTAAACAGGCAATCCTCCCAAACAATAGCTTATATCTGATGAACAGGTAATATATGTCACACAGATATTTATAGATTTTTTCCATTACTTTTCTTCTTCTTTTTTTTTATTTTTGATTAATGCAATTGACCAATTTTTTCTAAAATAAGAAAGGTAAATTTTTAGGGTTTGAGTTATAAGCAGGAAGCAATGAATTGTAAATTTTTTTTAACTCCATTTGCATCTTTCCCCTATTTTTGCATTGTTAATTAAAATCTATACAGAAATCAGTTCATTGTATTCTTAGGCCAGTTCTGCTTTTATCAGTGCTCCATCAGGCCTGACTATCTTGATGCCAGATAAATAATCGTCATACACCCTATAGACTCTAAATCTAATCTATCCCCCTCTTACACAAGACAAAACACAACCAGCCCTTTGACTTGCAGAGATTTTTACAAGCGGGTATCAGTGGGTACCCAGGGTCCGTTTATTTTGGCAAGTTCCAGGTGGCCACCGGTCAAGTGGTTCTATCATGTCTATTGGGAAACAAAGACAGTAAAACCGATTAACGTGTAATATCAAGTGGAAAATAAAATCTGACCACTCAATACACAAAATAACAAGTTTTAAAGGGGTATAATATAAATATGATCGGGTGGATTTCACACTTTCGCCAACAAACAAGGTATATTTGTGTAAACTGAACCACAAATTAAAACTTCACTTTCATTCAGTTTGGAGAACCCTATCATGATTTACTGTTCAACTTAGGATCAGACTTTCACATCTCATGATATCATGCAATGAAGCCATTGTTAGGTCGTTACTTCTCACAAGAAAATCAGGAAGACATACATGCATTGAAAACAATACCAATGTAATTTAGGACTTGATCTATATTCCTGGACATAAATGCCTAATACAACAGAATTATGAATCATAATTTGTGGTGGATATGATCAAACAACACCTGCACTAATATACAGGTAAATTATTATTAATTCTGGTTGCATAAATGCATTTTTATGTGTTTTTCTTCATGCTTAACTGTTCTTCAAACATTGATACTTAATGTATTTGCTTTAAATTGGTATCAATACCATAAAAATTTTTTTTCCTAACACAAATTTTGCAAAAAGAGGAGAGATTTGTTTGGTTTCTATTTTGCTTAAATTTATTTTTTGCAATTTAAATACCCGGTATACATTGCCAAAATTTATTTATTTATTATAAATACACTATCGTTTCACAGTATGCTACATGTGAAAGTTCTGAAGATAATCCAGGTACTTCATTATTAAATGTATCAATCAGATACCAGATACAAGTAATGTACTTATAGTTTATAGACAAAGTTAACCACTGCTTCTCTGTCTACTGTCTACTTATTTAAGAATATTTACAATCAAATGCACTAGCTTGCATGTCACAGACTCAATAGTTCCATTACAAATCATAGAGTTGTCTGTCTTATAGATATTATATGTAAAATCATATTTATGCAGCTATTATGAAGTAGCTATAATGTACAAAATGCATTATGTGTTAAAACAGAAAATCTGCTAAGATAAGTATACAATCATACATGATTATATTTACATTTTTTATACAATTAAATATGCTTACTGAATGGATATTAGATATACACTCTAACCTATGATTTAATAATCTCCCTTGAGCACAATCCAAACTCAGACAAAATATCAATTACCAGCTTAGTGATAATTGCAATAATACAGATTTACAAAAATATGATTAAAGTAGTAGAGTTACAATATAGTCGCAGTTTATGAAATAATTTATTTTAATTTAAATTTGTAAGAGATTTGAAAGTTCAGGAACAAAGTCTTAAGATAATGACATTAAAGTTACCTTATTTGCAAATAAAACATTTATTTCATTTTCTCTGAAAAAAATCATATAAAATAATAAAGAGTAAATAGTCCTCTTTCAATGCTGAAATCATTATCTAAAAGGGATGATTTAAAGATCTATGAAATAAAAGTTTGGTGTGGCATCCACCTTAAAGATGGAATCTCGACAAAGAAAGATTATTACTGGTACACTTGAAAAGTGTTGGTAATGCTGAATTTTTGGACAAAAATCATATATGTATGTTACAAGTTTATTGTCAATATCTAAATGTCTGACAATATTACTTTGGAATATATATATTTGCAATTATCACTACGCTGGTAATTGATATTTTGTCTTAGTTTGGATTGTGCTCAAGGGAGATTACTCTGGACATAGATCTAAGTACATATTTATGATGAAGAAAAGTGCCTCTTCCGAAATGGTTAATTTCAGGACCTTGGTAAGAGGTACAGGGGGGGGGGGTTTAAAAAATATGGTCCCAGGGTCAGTGGTTCTTGTGGCTTGGGGTGCATAACTGGTTATAATTTGGAAATGCATTTTCTCTTTGTTACTCTGATCTGCCCGTAGATGTTTTAAGTCAAACTTAGTTGAAAGTGGTTGAGCAGTTGCAGAGAAGAAGCTGAAAATGTTTGAATTTTAATACAAGACACACAAAGCGCGACAATGGATGAAAACAGATAGCAATAGGTCTCCCGAGTTTACTTCCAGGTGTCATCATAGCATGTAATTTGGAAACATGAGTATTAAATAGAAAAAAACATAAATTTGCTATTATTTTTTTGCAGGAAAGGTACCCAAAATTTATAAAAGTTTCTTGCGAGTAATTTGCTAGTTATTTTGAATGCAACTCCATGCAATTATTTTCTCCAAAACTGTTTCAGAGTGATTTTGATATTTTCTGCTATATTGTGGATATATTCTAACTGTGGTTTGGGTCCATCTTGGGACACAATTTATTATTCAAACTGTAATTCTGGTAGGAAAACTGAATTAAAATTTACCTTGAAGCTTTTGAATATCAGATTTATTCTGTAAGGTGTACTCCTCCATTTTCATGTATAAGCTGTCAGGTCTTTCAAGTTGACCAAAAAGATTCTAATTTCCTACAGTACATTATCATCCTTTTGATAATTTCTGAGTAAGCCTATATTCTTTAATCTGCAAAAATAAATAAATAAATGAAACATAAGTCTGATAAATCTAAAACTCTATTTATTCAATAACCAACAAAAAAAAAAAATTTTTTTAACAATGTTTAATAAAAAATATGAAAATTTCATTTAAAAACAGGCTCAAAGACGTTTTAGAAATAACTATAAACATGAAAATATATGCAATATACTGTGAAAATATGAAAATAAATTTGTTAAGGTCATAATCTCATTACTTTTGAATTAATTCAAAAAATTATTCTCTGGGCAGGCGACGAAAACGAAGAACTTTTTTCTGTCAATCTCTCACAAGTGACTTTGACAATTAATGCAACAGAGCTAACCTAAAAGTCAATGAAATTATCTGTACTAAAACTACTATTTTTATCTTCCTCACTCAATGTGATTGACTTGAGTGTCTTTTAAAACGCCTGAGTTAGTGAGTATCCATGCACAGTCAAACGACTAAAGTAAAAGTGAAAGTAGAGGTAGACCAAACCTAGCTTCACAAACTGAAGAGCGCTTTCATAATGTCAACACGAAGGCTTTTTTCTCTTTTATCAAAGCCGCTTTTCCAATGTAAACCACACTTATTACGGACAGTAAGATGCTCTTCTTACTTCCCCGTCAACGATTCCCTGTTTGGGTTAACATCAGAACAGAAGCAGGTGAGTTATTAAGCATTATTAATCCAAGGTCAAAGTCTCTGGTTTTACTTTTTCAGCAACATTTTTGAAACACCTTGATAGAATTATATAAATTTCCTTAAATTTTGAGTTTACTGATTTGGTTAATAGAAGGACTCATATCTTTAATTTCTTTTAACTTATCTCTTCTAAAATGTTATTAAAGATTTTTAAAATTGAATTTAGGAATTTAGACTTGAGAAATATATGCCTGTTTTTAGCTAAATGAAGTTAAATAATAATCATAATGGTTTAAAGTTTGCTAAAAATTCTTAAATCGTGAACATAGTGAAATTAAAAACACTGTATAATGTATTCCACTTCTGCAGGAAACCTACTTAATAAAAAATATTTTTTTCAGCTGAGAGAGACTGTCTTCCAGTTCTGTGAAAAAGAACTTGGTCCCAAAGCTGATGAGATCGACAAAACCAATGAGTTTAAAGATATGAAAGTAAAGTATTATGCACTTGATAATAAGTTTCCCTTTTTAATAAAGTACACTTTATTTTTACTATGAACCTATTACATTTGCGTGTGTATTCATTTTAGTGCCTTTCACATGAAGAAACTTCTCTAATTCAAGTACAACACTAAATGCCTCGCACATTTATACCTAAATAGGAATGTAAAGAAATGTACTTAATAAATTAAAATGAAATCTGTGCTAACTGGTTATAAACCAATTTCTGCCAAATATCATACACACTTACTATAATATCATAATTTTACAGTGTAATCTAGTGTATTGGGATACTAAAGAAAATAAATAATTTTACATTTCAGCACTGAAAGTGTTGAGGTTAACCCCTTACAATCTTTACTCATGTATTAAATGTGCATATGTTTTGCAGGATTTTTGGCTAAAATGTGGGGAACTTGGTTTGATGGGAATAACAGCTCCTTGTAAGTACCAGGTGATTTTCAATTAAAACAGAGTATGTATATTTCAACTAGGTGTTTGCTTTATATAGTTAAGCCCATGTACTTTTTATTTTGTAGCTGAGTATGGAGGAACAGAGGGGACATATTTAGATCATTGTTTGGTGATGGAGGAGATGAGCCGATTTTCAGCTGCCGTAGCACTGAGTTATGGGGCTCACTCCAATCTCTGTGTCAACCAGCTGGTCAGAAATGGCAGTGAGGCACAAAAAGAAAAATATCTACCCCAGGTAAAAGACTCTTTCATCTTTAAAAATATAAATAGGAAATTAATATACCAAGTACTTGTAAATTTGTGAATCAGAGAACATTTTATGATCATCTTTTTCACATACTGTAAGTGGTTTTATTCCACAGTGCTAATCTTTCACTTTTTTATTGCTAGAGTATCAATTTTTATTTCACAACAATGAGTATGCCTTTGTATGACAGATACTGTGTTGTGTGCACTGTAAACCTTATACACTATAGGTTTAATTTGGTCGGAAACAATATCAGCACCAAAATTGAATCCTCGCTAAAAATTCTGCTTATACTGTTTTCAGAAAGCATTTATGTTGATATTCTATTCCTGTTACAGTTGATCTCTGGGGAGAAGGTAGGAGCTCTGGCTATGAGTGAACCTGGTGCTGGCTCTGATGTGGTATCCATGAAACTGAAAGCAGAGAAAATGGGTAACACTTCTCTGGAATTTTTTACAAATCAAAACAATCAGCACATTTCTATGTTACATACTGTAAAGAGAACACAGATACCTGATAACGTTAAATAAATATGAGATAAATTTATTATTCTAAGATTGTTAAAAAAAATTGAAAAAAAGATAAAACACAGGCACACAATGTTGATTTTTCAGGAGATTATTACGTGTTAAATGGGAGTAAGTTTTGGATTACTAATGGTCCAGATGCAGATACTTTAATTGTGTATGCCAAAACAGACTCATCTGCAGCTCCTCAGCATGGAATTACAGCATTTATCATAGAAAAGGTAGTCCAGCATGATTACCAAATTGTTTTTTTTAATATTTTTTTTCTTTATTCCAAATCATTTATACTGCCAAATACCTTGTAAACTGTATATATATATTGATATACAAGATATAAGATTAAGATGTGATTGTTTTACTCATTTTAATCACTGAAACAAAATGTACGATACATTATCTTACATATAAACTTATTAAATTCGCAATGCTTTTTATATTGTAGGGCATGCCAGGCTTTAGCACAGGTTTGAAGTTAGACAAATTAGGAATGAGAGGTTCCAATACATCAGAGCTTATCTTTGAAGACTGTAAAGTACCAGGTCAGTGCCTTACTGCATTTATGGAATTTCTTTCTAAAAAATGATGCAAGAATTATGGTTTTTAAGTCCAAACATATTCACCTATATAAAACAGCTGACATATTTTGTTCATGTCATTTTTTTAACATTCACTAATACATTACCGATACACATATATGTAGTAACTAGCACTCGTAATTTACATTTTTTATTCCATTTTCATATTTTGACTACCATCAGTTTGTATTTTCATGTATTAAGGCTGAACAAGATTCGTAAAAAGAATGTGTTTCCGCCATATTTGTTCGAGCAATCGCTATATCTGCAAGCCCCTATAAATAGAGCGGGTCACTCAGTCAGTGTTCAGTGTATTGAATTGTCACCGCTGTACATCAACGTATGCTATACAATACTCAGTAGCGACAAAAAATAACTGTGTACTTCTTCCAATGCAGGAAAATAAGATACCAATGACACTTACAACAGTTGCACAGGTCAGTGCAGTATATTTGTAACTGCAATAAAATGTAAACAAAGGTAATGCAAGATAACCAGCATGAACACGGCTTGCCATTCTAGGTCGATACCTGTGACAATAAAGCAATCATGTGTAACGAATGCAAAGAGTATATCTTGGTGTTGATGTATCGTAGATAATGATATCAAAAATGGCGTATGCCTATTTACAAGTCTTGTTCAGCTTTAAGATAATTTTCTGTCAATGTAATCATGAGTTGACTAGCTGAGTCACCTGGAATGTTTTCAGTGGACAATATGTTGGGGAAGGAAGGTCAAGGAGTGTACATATTAATGTCGGGGTTGGACATTGAAAGGACTCTGGGTTCAGCAGGCCCTGTGGGGTGAGCCTCATTTTCTATTTATAGATAGAGCCTGTACATATCCAGAAGGTAGGGTGTACATACTCAGATATTACTGTTTTATTAGTCATTTCTGGTTCAGTGGAGAACAAACTAGGTGCAGAAAACAAGAAAACAAAAGGTGTCTACATTATAATGTCTGGTTTGGATATTGAACTATTCTGTTTAGGAATGTGGACAGGCTTTTGCATACGTCCATAAATATAGAATGAGCTATTATGGCAACAGGGCATATTGGGTGAGGATTCAACAACAGGAGAATATTTATCTCTGCTAGCTATCTTATTTGCTTGAATTTTAGAAAGATTCCTGTAGATTTCTGTAATAAAGCAATTCAAAGAACCTAGACGAAAAAAGAAATGTCTGAAAATGATGATATGAAAAAGAAATGAGAAAAATAATTTCCCTTTTGCTGCTTATGATTTTTTACTTCATTTGTAAGAAATTTGAAATATTTAGGGTATTAATTACCTCAGTTTATCTAGAACCGTCTCCATTTCTAACTGTACCACCAAAAAAACACAGTCACTCGACAAGAAAACACTGGTCCTTCATCTCATCATGGGCAACTTATAACTGACACTCCTTTCCTTTATCTTGTGCACTGAGATCATTCCCTGATACTGGCTCATAACTGATTCTTAGACAGTTTGAGTGTGATAAAAATAAAAAATAAAAACAACACTTTGACAAATTTATTGACAAATTTTTTAAAGAAAATACATTTGTTATGCAAAGTTATTATCATTTTTTACTGGATATACATGTGGCATATGCTTGATAAATTTCCACATTTATTTCAAACAAGTTGACATTTTTTTTGGGGGGGGGGTGGGGGAGGAGGGTTATAATTTGTCTGTGTATAACAATCATTATCAAATATTTTTCCAAGCATCTAGAAAGAAAAGGATGCAGACAGCAGTATATGTTTTAACACAAAAATCACTAATTTTAGAGCCAATGTAGCAAGGATTTTTATTAAATTTGCAGTGCCCAATATCTTTATATTATCCTTACAGAAAATCATATTTAATTTCCAAAATTATTCATGCTGTCACAAACTTTGATCCTGTTTGAGAATTGGTTATTAGCCAGTAGAACTAGTTATATCCTTCTGCTTTCCTTCTTAAGCTGAGAATATGTTGGGAGAAAAGAATAAAGGAGTGTATGTCCTGATGAGTGGCCTGGATATAGAGCGATTAGTTTTAGCTGCAGGACCAGTCGGGTAGGTACACAGACTTACAAAATCCTTAGTGGAAAGAAAAGTGGGGGTAAATGTGAATTGAAAACTGTCATAGGTCAGGTCAGATTTGAACACCGAATTCCTAAAGGAGGTAAACAAGTAAGCAATCATCACTAAAACAATATACATGTACAAGTAATTGCAATTGAAAAAAAAATTACACATTACATATATATAATTACTGAATTTTCTACTTTTTAAAGGCCCAGCATGAAATTGTTGGAGCCTTACAGGAATCACATTGTCTATCTGTGTACATCCATCTCTGTCTGTCTATCTTTAACTTTTCACATTTTTACTTCTTCTCAAGAACCACAAGGGCTAATTTTAACCAAAGGAGGCACAAAACATTCTTTGGTAAATAAGATTCTAAATTATATTTTCATATAAAGGGCCTAACCTCTTTCTATGGGGAAATAATCGAGAAAAGGTCAAAGTAGGGTAGTGTTATTTGAAAAAACTCATCTCTAGAAACATGAGACTGAAAATGGCTTGTACTTGAAATTGTTCAATTTAACCTCCTAAGTGTAGGATGAGGCCACCATGTTTAAATTTTTTGAGAGAGTTTTGTAAAAAAAATTCTCAAAAAACACACAGAACCACTCATTTGCAAACATTTCCTACTTGTATGGATTATTTTTATGTGTTTGTGAACACCGATGCCCCTGAAGGGCAGCTTATGGCAAGGGTTGAAGTTTCTCAAATGCAAGTCAAACTATAAGGTCAAGGTCAGAAGGTCAAAATTGTTGGTATCCAAAGTAAGGTCTTGTAACAAGGAATATACCAGTGAAATATGAAAGCCTCAGTTCTAAGTGGCCAAGGTTTAAAGTTTTTGAAAATTGGGTCAAACTTGAAGATCAAGGTCAAACATAAAAAAAATTATTTATACCCATTGAAAGGTCTTTTCATCATGAACACACTTGTGAAGTATGAAAGCCCAGCACGAACTATTCAAAAGTGATAGTCAAGGTTAAAGTTTGATAATTTTTTGTAAAAGTGGGTCAAACTCCAAGGTGAAGGTGTCAAATCTGGTGGTATCCAAAGAAAGGGCTTATCACAATGAATACACCAGTGAAATATGAAACCCAAAGCCCACCCACTCAAAAGTTATGGGTCATTATAAATTTTTTGCAGACGGAAAGACAGATGGACAGGGCAAAAACTACATGTTGATTATGGGAGCATAATAAGCATGTTCTTTTACAATTAAATCAGAAGTGGTTTATTCTTGTAATAATTTTAAGATAAATTTCAGGATAATGCAAGCATGCTGTGATGTTGCTTTTGCATACGCTCACCAAAGAGAAGCTTTTGGGGAGAAGATTGGAAAATTTCAGGTAAATACTGAGTAATTCATCATTTAAATACTGTAAATCACTTTTTATTCACGAGAACTTTATTTTCGCATAATTACGCAAGAGAGTTTGCTCGCGAAAATTTAATTCTCGCGTATAATAGCATTCCTTAAGATTATATACAGCAATAACCACAATTCGTGAAAATTTTGTCTCGCTTATCAAGAGTCAATGAATATCTCTCGAAAATAAGGTTTCGCGAAAATTTAGTGATCTACAGTACTGTATTTGAAATATATGTATCAGGTAATTTTGAAAATATTAAATTTGTTTTACATATAATGATAATTGAATCCATTTTACTCCAGATGATACAGGCAAAAATGGCAGACATGTACACCACACTGAATGTCTCCCGTTCATATGTTTATAATGTGGCTCGCTCCCTGGATAGAGGAGAAAGGCAGAACAATGCAAGTTTTTCTTCAATATTCAAGTTGTATTTTAAAAAAGATATGAACTTTTTTAAAAAGATTAAAAATACAGATACCAATTTACCGGTATTTACATTCTGTGTGTATAAAAACATCTCTCTCATACTTACAGTTACCAAAATATTTCCGAACAAATAATAACTGATTAAATGTCGTATTTAAGCATATTATAATATCTGTATCATTTATAGGATTGTGCAGCAGTAATTCTATACACAGCTGAGGCAGCCACACAAATGGCCTTGGATGCCATCCAAATACTGGGTAATTTATAGTGTTTTATTGGATAAGCACAATTACTAAATGTATTTCAAGTAAAGGAGTACAGTTTAGTGTAAAAAAAAAATTGTATAAAGAGTCGATATATGCCGGTACATGTGGAACAATCTAACAAGTCAGAGGGTACACTGTAAGCCAACTTTTATTCTTGTGTGAGAAATATCCATGAGTTTCACGATCTACGTATAAGCATGAATATAAGGCCAAAAAAAAATAATCAATAGTTTCTCATGCACCGCCGCATCCGTTCAAAAACGGCCGCATTGATCAATTTTATTGACATATTGAGAAGGGAAATAACTCAATTTTCTATTTCTCCAAGTTGAGAAAGAAAATCGAGTTATTCCCCTTTTCATAAATGCTAAGAAAGACGTTTTTATTAGAAAAACAATATACTTCTTCTAAATCTAAAGTATTTTATCAGTTAACTTTTAAATAAATGTTTGGAATATCATTATTTAACGTTGAATACATATTATAAGTAATTTCAGAGAACAAAACTTAAGAATCAGTAGATATTATCATTTTACTGCACAAATGACTTACAAAAAAAAGAGAGGTTAAACCTGCTTCTAAAAAAAAAAAAATAAAAAAAAAAAAAAGCCTGCCTGCCGCATTGAATTTTGAATTTTGAATTTTGGCCTGAGAAACTATTTATTAATTTTTTATGGCCTAAATTGGTGCAAAGAAATTATTTTGCTTATATTTGTAATGTTTCTTCAATCATGAAAATATATTGTTGAGGATTGATTTCATACTGATGATTCACAAATAAAAGATGACATGAATAATAGTTGGTTACAGTAATCATTGATGGTTATCTTTACATGTTGTTTCAGGTGGCAATGGCTACATTAATGACTATCCTACTGGGCGTTTCCTGAGAGACGCCAAGCTTTACGAGATCGGAGCTGGAACCAGTGAAGTTCGGAGACTAATTATTGGACGAGCCATTAACGCCTTCTACAAATAATCGGGCGTATTCTCGCAATACAAAAGCTTAAGTCTGTGATCTTGACAATGTTTTACTTGTGTGAATACAGGCACTGTCATCAAAATGTGCATTCATAAGAATGGAGAGTTGTCTACTCTTTGTTTACAGCTAGTGGAATATGAAGCTTATATTCAGTGCCCAATTAGAACAAATCAGATTATTAAGAACTGTATGTTGACTTTCACATCATTGTAAATTATTTTCATACCTGCATACTTGTGCACAGGTATCCCAGATTGATACTACACAGCATTTCTGATCATTTTATATATATCTCAGGTTAATGATGATGCAATCATGTGTCTAATTTAATGTTTTCACAATTTATTGTGTGTCTCAGAAAAAATTGTTTATCAAATAAAAAAGTATTAATTTAAATTTATTTGTATGTTTTACTCAGTATTTCTCACTGGGGATAAAAACTTGGTATGATGAATTGTGGTTTGGCAGCATCATCAATTCTAACTATATTGAGAATCAAAATCATGTCAGTATTAGTAAAACATAATATAGAAATACTAGTACAAATGTACATTGTATAAATATCAAGTCATTGTGCCATTTTCATTAGTTTGTTGGGAGGTGTTATGTATGGACATATGAGATCTCTCACTGATAAAGGTTCATAAAACCTTTGTTTACCAAAATTCTTATGCAAAAAAAGAAACTAGAAGTCTCTGTCAAGACTGAAGCTCTACTGGTTTGTACTTATAGCAAAGGAAGAGGAAAGTACTTAAGCAGTTGGGAATTGAAACTTTACACTAGCAAAAAAGAGAATAATGATCCTTGAATAAGTTTCTTTATGTTCTTAGTGTAGTCTACTTGCATGCCACATTATATTATAATCAGACTAAAACTGTATTTGAAGTAGCATTTTGAGAGTAACAGAAATTGCTATCTTTATTAACCAAGGTAATAATGTTCATTGAAGTCAAAAACAGATATAAAGAATTATGTACCTTAGTGTAGTCTACTTGTGTGCCAAGTTATATTGAAATCAGACCAAAACTGTAGGAGGAGTAGCGTTTTGAAAGAATTTCACAGAAATTTCTATTTTTAGTAACCACAGCAACACTGTTCATCGAAATCAACAACCGATATATGGAATTATGTATCTTAGTGTAGTCTACTTGTGTGCCAAGTTATATTGAAATCAGATCAAAACTGTAGGAGGAGTAGCATTTTGAAAGAATTTCATAGAAATTTCTATTTTTAGTAACAATGCTAACACCGTTCATCGAAATCAAAAACCGATACACAGAATTATGTATCTTAGTGTAGTCTACTTGTGTGCCAAGTTATATTGAAATCAGACCAAAACTGTAGGAGGAGTAGCATTTTGAAAGAATTTCACAGAAATTTCTATTTTTAGTAACAACGCCAAGACCGTTCGTCGAAATCAAAATCCGATACACAGAATTATGTATCTTAGTGTAGTCTACTTATATGCCAAGTTATATTGAAATCAGATCAAAACTGTAGGAGGAGTAGCATTTTGAAAAATTGTTTACAGACAGACAGACAGACAGACAGACGGACGGACGCCGGACGCATTACTATCGCATAAGCTCTTCTGGTCTCTGACCAGTAGAGCTAAAAAACAAGAGATGTTTTTAAAACACTTCTGCCCCCCCCTTTAAATTGGAATTTTTCCAAGTCCACGGGGCATAAATCTGTCAATAATGATGCGATAGTACCCAAAACAGAATCTGAACTAGATATTAATCTGATCATAATATGTATACCAAATTTCATTTCAGTATGTGCAACCTCTGTGAAGAAAATCAACAGAAACTGCAAATAATTGGAATCTTTCTAAGTCCAAGAGGCATAGCTTTTTCAAAAAAGGTGAGATTGTGCCCAAAACACAACTTTCCTAGATATTTATCTAATAAATCTGTATACCAAATTTAATTTCAGTATGTGCAACAGTTGTGAAGTAAATGAATGGAAACTAAATGGACCGACAGACAGCAGCAAAGCAAAATGCCCACCCTTCCTTGAAGGGGGGCATAAAAAACAATCAATCCTAATGTCAACAGTTTTCAACTTTATTAGAAAGTTCATTTTATTATAAATCCTTTTTGTATTTTTATTCAATATTGCACAGTGATTGCTAGGAGGTGGATATGGCATCCTTTCACCCTGACAATAACCCTGAGGTTCCATTATTTTGCTGATGACCTTGTACTGGCTCTGATGATAAACATGTGGATTGTATGGTTTCCTGGTAGACTGGATCCACATAATGCTGGGCTGTCTGCCTCAAAGGAATCCAGGCTAATTGATTCACACTCAAGTCCCCATTTCAATAGCAGTACATCTATTGTCCTGTTAGAACTACAGGAAAAATTGAAAATGATTCACGTAATTTGTTGATTATGTAATTAGTTACAACCATACTCATGTCTTGAATTTATTTTTCTCTTACCTTCTCTCTTGATATGTGCACCAAAATTCTGCATTATTGTTCTGTTTGATCAAGTAACTCACGGTTACGATTATGTTTTCAAAGTCTGTAAAAAAAATCAAAGCAGACTAGTTTAATTCCTAATTTCATAAATTATAGTCTTTGATAATTTTTCAAATGCTGTAAAATTGAATAATTTTGCACATGTACAGTAAAACAAACTTGTAGTAAACATACTGCCTACAGCGAATTGATTTTCATTCACCGTGACTTTAAATACCGGGTATATTGCGAACTTAACAGATACGTGTACAACAATTTACATTGTATATTTATAATGAAGCAAAACTGTCTGTCCTTGACACTAAGCATGTTTTACTGTATAAGCTTAATAAATCAGAGAAAGGAGGTATTTTCTTACCTTTGGAGTCATAAAAGCAGTCGGAGCCTAAAATGATGTCAACAGCTGGCAAGTCAAGTAAAGCATCATTGAACTTGCCCCATGTTAATCCTATAACTGGAATGTTCTGCAGTCTGTTGGCCTCACATGATTTTCTGCAATTCTCCAAGCAATGTGGAAAGTCTTCGCTATCACTCAGTGTGACGTGACCTCCACATTTCGCTGCCAAGATCCCAGGTAGAGATGTCCCTGACCCAAGCTTAATATTAATGACAAAATAAAATGAATTTCTTACGTGAATGTAACAACTTAATAATGTGTAATATATGACGACTTAATTGCTACTAATGAATGAAATACATTAAAACACAATTATAATGAAGTGTCAGGGATGAGTGATTTTGCTTCATAGCATAATTCAAAATATCCCTTAGCTTCATAATACTAGTACCAGGTATGTTTAAAACCTATGGGGAATGAAAATCACTTCGCTATAAGCATCAATTCATTATAAGCGTGTTTTACATGTACTGTACTAGTATCCAAGGAGACATATTTAGAGCTTGTATTACTTACCTCTAGAATATTCTTCCCTTTGACCTTATTTCTGTTGAACCATATGTACTGAGCAAGGACTGGAGCCGAGGGCCAGACATACAAACCATAGCTTGCTTGAAGCACCTATAGCATTTATTTAAAAGAAAAAGACCTGATTATGTCACATACATGATATGTGATCATAGTTCTTCCTTTCTTACAAAATGAATAACACAAATCATACAAGATTATGGGATATATATGCAGGTGCAGAAAAAAATAAAGATAACTCTTGAACTTTGATTTCAGGAAATAGATATGCATGGACATATTGTTGGTATACATGTACCTCTGAATCAATCCTTTCAAAGAGTCAGAAACCATCAAAGAGTCAGAAATCAATTGAGGCAGACAGCTAGTGTTCTAATGCTAGTATATATTATGATCTATAAATGGAACTTGTACTCCTCAATAAGTTTTAATCTGAGCTAGCTTTTCTAGTGATGAGGAAGAATCACCTGGAATTCAGGCAAAATTTTGTTTGTTTGTTGTTTATTGTCCCTCTCGAGAATATTTCACTCAGATAGAGACGCCACCATTTGCCAGTGAAGAGCTGCAAATTTTGTCCTTTACTCGGCACACAGGGCCATTGAGCAGGGAGGGATCATTTTCATGCCAGCACCTAGTGCGACATGGAACATCATGCAGTTTATACAGTCACATCCAAAGGACCAGTCTTCACGTCCCACAGTGGGGTTAGAACCCACAACATAAGGATTGACTCCTTACAAAATATGGCTTCTATAGAGCAGACACTTTATCCACTCAGTGACTGTGCCATGTGAGCCACAGGGGCTTGTCACGAAATATTTATCTTCTTCTAATAAAGTTACCCCTACTATGTATTTTTATAGTAGGGGTAACTTTATTAAATATTTCGTGACAAGCCCCTGTGTGTGAGCCACAATTCAGGCAAGTTAATTCATATGGATAGACTCTTGAATGGGTGACTGCTTCATATTACACAATCACAGGCCTTCAGGAGATTCTGTTTTGTGGCATTTGGTATATTCCTACATGTATATCAAGTCAGGTTTAAACAAGACTGAATTTCTCTAGGCCTATCTTACATTTTGGATGGTGTGTAATCCTAGAGAATTCAGGTAAATCACAGGGACTTGATACAATCTTAGCAAAATCGGGTATATAACTCACGCAGTATACCCGATTTTGCTAAGATTGTATCAAGTCCCTGTGAGGTAAATGGTTGGTAATGCAATTTGTCATTACACAGTAACACTATCGACTAAATAAATAGGAAAAAAGTTCAATAAACCTAATCTGACCTCTGTAACGATTATAATTTCACTTTCTTTACTATTATTGTCTTCAAATTTAAACGTCCTCTCGGAGCATTCCATCAATCCATGTGGTTTTGTTTACAACGTTTCCCGACTTTCATAGTACCGCGATTTTGATTGGTCAATGCAAAAGTGAAAGTACACTCCATCTGCAAGGACACACGTGCGAGAGTTTGCTGTTAGGTTATTTTTGTTTGAATTATAGACAGGTAAGTAGGTTTACTCCATGTATTTATAAACATTTCGATTGTTATTTATTATCGAAAAAGTCTACCATTTACACAACACAGTTACACAGTTGAATTATTTCGCGAAATAAACACAGTTTACAAATGTATACATGGAACTTGTATACATTGTCATCTGGCACTCTGGTCATGATTGTGTAATCACAAACTACATTCCATATTTTAATTATTTATATTTCAGATGAGTAGACCATTATTAACTCTGAGTAGACGAATTATGTCAACACTTTCAGTGAGTATAAACCTTTTTGAGAGTGTTCATTAAAGCAGTCAATAAATACAGAATATTATTCATGATCATTAAAAAATATAATAAAAATACCTTTATTTTCTCTGAGCTCCAAATGTGTTAAACTGAGCTCCAAATGTACTAAATATATTGATATCAACTTCTCAAGAATAATATTGTACGAAAATCTACAAAAAAGTATAATAATTGTCTTTTATACTGCAGCAAAAGCCAGTTGAGGAATCGATAAGCAAGAAACTTGCAAGTAAATTTCAGCCACAGCATTTAGAAGTTATAAATGAAAGTTCAAAACATAATGTTCCTAAGGGTAAGTTTATGATGTTCAAATTAAGATCAATATAATCTATTGTAAATTTCGGAACCTCTTTGAAGTTAATATTGTGTAATTTTCTTCAGGCTCGGAAACCCACTTCAAAGTGATTGTTATAAGTGATATGTTTGAAGGTGTGCCACTCATTCAAGTAAGAAAACTTTTGTATGTCATTAAAACCATTATAACTATGTTTAATTTATGATTGCAAATTATCTGCCTTATCAATTATTCGGAAGCCAATGTTATTTTGAATAAAAGGAATTTAGAGAGAGCACTTGAATATACCTTGGCTTCCTTGCAAGTCTGACCTATTTATATGAATATTCCTGTTGGAAAACTTGTAAATACAAATGTTATCTTATTTCAACTGGTATAACGTACATGACATATTCTGTTAACAAGCAAAATGAAAACTATCACCATGTTTAACTACCGTAGATGAATTTCAGAATTTCCTTAGCTTGCTTTGTTTTAATTATGTCAGCTAGAGTACAAAATTTCAGACAATTGTAGCTTGCAAGGTCACAAATGAAAATTTTATAGGCATTTTATGGAATGATTGTCAGTTTTCTTATTTGCAAGTAAATCATGCTTGTAAAAGAAAGTTTTAATCATGATTTATTAATTTCAGAGACATCGCTTGGTAAATGAGGTTTTGAAGGAGGAGCTGGAAAATGGTGTGCATGCCTTGTCCATAATGGTAAGGAGAATGGATAATATTTGTATGTATAACATCAACCATTATTTTCGCTTAATAATATAATTGTGTACCCTCAGATAATTCCTTTTTTGTGAATTATAGGCAAAAACGCAAACCCAGTGGGAGGATTCTGGTCATCATGTGAGCAAATCTCCACCGTGTCGAGGAGGCACTGGATTGTGATTTCTTTCAGTACATACAATTGTGATCTCATCCAGTTCCAGAGATAAACACATATACATATATCCAGTACTCTGGTTAGGATATAAGCAAGTCCCTTAACTTGTAGAAGTGGCACTGGCTTGTGATTTCTTTCAAGTACATGTATGCGTTCTTCAGCTCATTGTACTATCCCACTGACTGAAACCCTGTTATTTGATGAGTAGTGGGGTCAGGTTCGTGTTAGGTTATACACGTACAGTGCTTCACTATTAAATGAATTCAGCATTACTGAAAGAAATGTTGTAAAACACTAACAAAGAATTTTGTCTCAGAAAATTAATGCTACATACGAGGGTTGTCCCGTAAAATCGTGGACAAATCATTTTTCTCGAAAAGTAATGGGCGCACTAAGCTGAAAATTTCAGTATATGTTTATTTATCTTATTTAAGTGCATGATAATTTTTTTTTATAAAATGTAGGCAAAAATAAAGATTTTATTATGCTTGAATGTGCACGGGGTATTGTCCTTCGGCGCACGGTAAAAAAAAACCAAGGTTTTATTAAAGAATACACAAGTTTGAATTCGAAATAAAAGTTTTAAATACATAAGATTTGGATTAAAATTATCCAAATTCTATTCCACAATCAATTTTGTAGTCTGTGTAAAAATCTTAAAGCATTTGGTTAAATTTTGGCAGTTTCTCGGGCATTCCAAATGGGAAAGTGGTAAACACAACACACGAAAAATGGCGACGTTTTATGACGTTACGGCGCACCAGAGAACAGTTCAGTTTTATTTCGATGTTGTAATGACACCTTTAGAGACTTGAAATGACCATAGAAGAAAAAAGATTATAAAAATATCACCATATCTTAAGTATACAAATGAAATAGGAGTTTTCTTAGCGAAGTATTTTTTTATCGTGTCCCTGGGAGTACAAAACATATGGACAAACTCCTAATGTAATAGCAAAAGACGCTGTCACAGTAGACTGCCGATATGAGATTTTCTATTAGTTGAATGATGGTGAGAATTTTGTCCGTAACTTTATACTAATAAATCTTCAGAAGATTGCATGAGGGTGCCAATTGGTTCTTTGGCTGTTTATGGAGACTAAAGAATGTGTATCAATGAAATTTCTAAATATAAGTCGGACTCATCCAACTTCATTTTCAGCAAAGATAAAACGTGACGCTGTTTTAGACACTTTGACGTTATTATCCATGCACCGTAAGTTGATACAATACATGGCATAAAATCTCATAATTTGTTTATTTATGCATATATTTATCTGAAATTTGCTGTGTATATTACTAAAATATGTACTAAATAGTGAAAATTTCAGAACGAAGTGATGTTTATTTTTCACACTAGACAACTTGTCCACGATTTTACGGGACAACCCTCCTACATTAGATTGCCATATATGTACAGTAAAACTCGGTTATGATGAAGTCAATGGGACCTATGAAATTACTTTGCTATATCTGTAATTCGTTATATCTGTATAGGGAATTGTTAAATTTATATAGCTGGGGATCAAAGATAACTTTGCTATATCCATGAATTCAAAATACTCGTGTTCATACTAAACGAGTTTTACTGTATTTTTCTTTAAATTTCTTTTACATGTATATACCTGTATCATACAAGGAAAATAAATCATGAAAACTTAATGCACATCTTTATTTATCATTCATAACTTACTGTGCATAATATTACAACAAATGTTAGAACTATACATCAAGTACATGTAGTTTGTTTCTCACACATCTTCAGCATTTTATTGATACAAGCTTCAAACATACAAATTGATGTTTGTTCAGTCAGACAGACAGGCTTAGGTCTGATATGCTTAGCTTAATAGTGGGTCAATGAAATATCACAGAAACCAAAAACTGAATTTATATCATTCCTCTGTTGTGATCAATTTTTCTTCTCTGAACTTGGACAAAAATGGCTCGGGAGTAGGATCTCTTCCCATGAAAGTTCTGAATACAGTCTTAGGATCAACTGCTGCTCCCATTCTTAAATAAGTGTCCCTAAATCTGGATCAGAAAAGGTGACATGGTCAAAATTTTATAACAGAGTCAATGTTTTTTATACATGCAAATGTACATGGGTAGAACAGAGATCTTTCATTAAAGCTTTATTAGATGGGGAAAAAAATCTTATCAAATTGCAAGTAATTGTATGTAAAATGTTTACAAAGATTTAAAATGAGCTCAAGAAATCATTATTTATATATTACATGTATTTGTGGATGATTTGTTCATTTTTTTTTTTTAAATAAATCATTACCTTCTCCCAACAATGGCTAATTTTTCGTCATCACCAATAACATCTTTGAAAGCTGAGACTGCATCAGCTGCTACCATCTATTTTATAAGTGAGAAAATAAATGGAATGAAATAAAAATCTATATACAGTTAAAACAATTTGAAAATCATTTATATCAAGCAGTTTGTAGTTTTACCTACCTTGGCCCACGTATCAGCATAGTATAGGCAGCTCTTATTCCCTATGAAGATGTCATTAAATGTACAGAATCTCTCATCTTTGGGATGGAGCGGCATAGGGATGAACTCTTTGTACAGTCTTCTGTACTGATCAGGGGTAGATTCAGGGCTATTTAAACAGTGGAGAAAAAAATTAGTAAAGACACTAATATAAATATAGATTGAAATGATCTTTACAAAAACAAACAATGAAAAGATTTTTCTCCACTCTACAGTTAACAGAAATTTTCAATTTTACTTACGTTTTAATGAAAGTGCCCCTGGTTTCCCTATAAAGAAAATAAAGTGAAATGTTTAAGTACTCAGTTGATATTTCATATTATTTAATTAAAAATCATGGAAATGCATGTCTTCAATTTCTCAAAACAAAATCTACCAAAGGACAAAAAAAGGAAACAAAGCATTGATACAGTGTAATTATCTAACAAAGAGGACTTACTCCAGATAAAATTCCAAATCCAGGGCACTCTTGAAAACTTCATTCAGAACATCAATTGACTGCATGTGATGTTGTGCTGTTAAGTTGCACATTGTACAAATATTAGACAATTATAGAGTTTTAAATAAAATTATAAGTCGGAAAATGGTTGAAAAACTAGAGGAGCTGTGAGTATTGAGCTAAAAAAGATACCCCCACTCCTATGTAAGTATAATGGCCAAGTCCTTTTTTTTGCCTTGAGGAAACTCCAAACATATATCTGATCAAAACAATATATAAAAGGTCACAATAGCTCTAATGTATGCTTTAAAAAATCTGTAAAATGAGTACCCAAACGTTATAGAGAGAAGGGCAGTATACATGTTTTGATATGGGAAACCCAAAATATCTGTCCAATTGAAATGTAAAATGGGAAGTGCACAATGGCACTTTGTAAAAAAAGATTCTGTGAAAGTCTCATTAAATTTTTATTCATTTGTAAAGAAGGAGAAGTGGAAAAGAAATGGGTACCCTGAAGTGTTACAGACAGACATTGACCGTCATCATTATATAAACCTACTTTTCAGGTTTGGGGGGTGGGGGTATAAAAATCTCAGATATAAATTCAAGTTGAGTTATCTGGAACTTTCATTTTCCTAACAACATTTCTGGGGAACAAGTTATATTTATAGCTACATCTCATCTTTAATAGTTATCTGGATGCTTCATTCATTTGCTCAGGAACATATCCAGATTAACAAGGTTATCCAGCAATCCTAGAACCAACAACTCTGATTTGTTAAATTTTGAAGCTACAATATTATAAAAACCAATTATAACAATATTCCTCAGTAACCTTACATGTAATCATTCTGTCTAACAGTTCAGTTGGGATCTTTTCACCAGTTGCATGGTGACTACTGAGAGAGCTGAACACTTCTGGACAGTACACCAGATTCCACAGAGTGTAAGGCACAATGTACTGGGCATCTGGCTCCATAAACCTGTCCCCAGATAACTCGCTGTAAGGGGCCTTAGATAGAACACACTGGAGGACACAGCCCATCTGAAAAGGCAGAAAGTCAAACAGATGAAGAACTGCAGATCATTGCATTTTCACAACACCTTTCTGTAAAATCACATATTTTCGAGGGGTCAAATTTTCGTGGTTTGAGGAAAGTATATTGGTTTATGGGGATTTGCTTTCGTGGTTGATGAATTGTTCAGTAGTAAAATGTGCATAAAATTGCATTTCATGTGGACATAAATTCGTGGGTCTCTTCATACCTCGAAAACCATGAAAATTAGTGATTTCACAGTATTTTCTAAAGATTATTGTTAGGTACATGTATTTATTTGTGGTACTTAATTATGTTCCCCAAACGAAGTTGGGGAACATATTGTTTTTACTCTGTTTCTTATTAAGGTCTTCCGTCTCCAACGGAAGACCTTCTACTGATTCGTTTGTTTCTTTTCCACTATTATTATTATTATTATTTTTTTTCTTACCGATTTTGTGCAGGCGAATCGAGAACGCCTCTATAGATCTTTATGAAACTTTCAGCAATGATGGCAAATCATATGAACTTAGGGCGTTTTTTTTTATTTTGAACACACTTCCGGACAGATACGGCCAATTTTCTTTTTTTAAAGTGTCATTTTGTCCGGAAGTGTTCTCAAAAACGGTTTGAGAATGAGTCTTGAAACTTTCAGGGATGATAGATTGTGACAGGCTCTTTTGAATTTTGTATAAAGTTTTTGTTGTCGTCACGTCCGTTGTCCACCGGAAGTAGTTTAAAAATATGCAAAATTTTATTTTTTTCTTTTTTAAATGTTTCTTATATAGACAAATAGAGTGTCTCGAGTATTATTATGTCCACCGGAAGTTATTTTTTCCAAACCGGAAGTAGTCCAAAAAATGAGCATTTTTCATTGAAATTATCAGGGATGATTCCTTTACACTCAGAGAGGAGTTATAGGTAATTTTAAGTACTTCCGGTCACACCGGAAGTGAATTTTAAAGACCGGAAGTTGTCTGAAATTTACAGATTTCAGTCTTAAATGTGTTCTCACGTATTTAGAGGAATTGATATGAACTTTTTTTTCATTTTAAGTTGTTTTATGATCGTATCAAAAATTGAACGGAAGACCTACTCATTGCTTGCAACGAGATCTCCTCTAGTTATTATGTTCCCCAAACGAAGTTGGGGAACATATTGATTTTACTCTGTTTCTTATTATTATTATTTTTCTTCTTCTTCTTCTTCCTGGAACTTTTTTGTCCGGGAAATCTTGTAAACTGTTCGTCCGATGTAGGTAAAACCTTTTTAGGGTTAGTAGACATGTTATGTAGATTTGTGGAATCAAGATCATTTTGCGTGCACGTGCTTGCAAGAGCGTGCACGTGCAACACGTGAAATGACCAATATAATAGATATAGCCACAACTGTTCTATTTTTAGATGAAACGCTTTGAAACTCATAATGTGAGGATATATTAGTAGTATAGACATGAAATGGTGAAAACAGCAAGATCTCACGCGCATGCACATGCACTTCGCTCTGATTGGCTGCAACTAAAGTCTCAATATCTTTCTTGTTTTTTGACGAAATATTTTGAAATTTTGAACATAGCCATGCATTAGGGTATCCTACAACATGAAATAAAGCAATTATCATGAAAACACGTGGATGCACGTGCGCTGCAATCTGATTGGCTGAAACTTTAAACAGCTATAACTCCCTTGGTTTTCAACCAAAAAGGATGGGATTTGGAACATAGATAGATATAATGGACTTCTACAAGTAGGTATGGTAACCATGCACATGCATACAACTGCGTGTACATGTGCTGCAATCTGATTGGCTAAAACTTTAAACAGCTATAACTCCCTTAGTTTTCACCCAAACGGGGTGGAATTTAGAACATAGATAGATGTAATGGACTTCTACAACAAGGTATGGTCACCATGCTCATGTATGCACGTGCGTGCACGTGAAATGAGTAAAATCAAACATACACTTGAATGGGCGTATTTTTTAAATAATTTTGGATTAAATACTTTAATATTCAGTGTATTAAAAATATAGATTGTGTAGACAAGATGATATGGTCATGACGCAAATGCATTCACATGTGCACGCGTGCAATGCTAAAGTTTAAATAATTTTTGTACACTTCTTTGTTAATGTTGTTAAAATCTCAGATGCATAGAGTTTGTCTTATTTAATGAAGCTTACAGGGAATATGGCACCAAAAGGGAGTTGGGGAGCGTTTGGGGAACATCTGTAACGTTCGCCCGTTACAATTAGCACTAGTTATTATTATTTTTCTTCTTCCTGGGAAAATTTTGTCCACGAGTGATCTTGTAAACTACACATCCGACTTAGGTAAAACCTTTTTAGGGTTAGTAGGCATGTTATGTAAATTTGCGGAACGAAGGTCATTTTGCGCGCACGTGCTTGCAAGAGCGTGCACGTGCAACATGTGAAATGACCGATTAATTTGATATAGGCGTAACTTTTTACATTTTTGATGAAATGCTTTGAAACTCATAATATAAGGATATATTAGTAGCATAGACAATATGACATGGTCAAAATCGCAATCTCACGCGCATGCACGTGCACTTCGCTCTGATTGGCTTGTGTACAGTCTAAATTCTTGTTTTTTGACTAAATCCCTTGAAATTTTGAACATAAAACATTACGATATTCTACAACATGATATATAGCAATTATCATGAAAACACGTGCATGCACGTGTATGAAATGATTATTAAATTTTAAATAGATATATCTCCCTTGTATTTTCAAAAACAGGATGGGATTTGGAACGGTATTATAATTATAATAAAATAAAAAATATATATTCACCATGCACATGCATGACATCGGTTTATTTGGTAATTAAGAATTGACTGGCAACAATTTATTTCACTGATTTTACATTAAAATAAATATTGGTCTTCAACCAAATAAAAAAAAATGTAATGGACTTCTACAAGTATATCACCATGCTCATGTATGCAAGTGCATGCACTTGAAATGAGTAAAATAAAAGATACACTTGTATGAGCGTATTTTTTAAATTTTGAATTAAATACTTTAATATTTAGTATATTAAAATATATGGATTCTAACTTGACAATATGATATGGTCATAACATTTAATGAACAATGGATAACACAAAAGGGAGTTGAGGAATTATTAACTTGATGTTACAATTAGCACTAGTTTTCATAAATTTTGATTATTGTTCTATATAATTATATACAAGAATGAAATTTTCATGTCAAGCATTTTAACACAATTAAGTGAAAATAAAAGTTCTCGTGGATAAAAATTGATTTACACTACTTTAAATGCAAAGAAAGGAAAAATTTTGTTTGCCTCTTGTTAAATCACAAATTAAGCTATATTTAAACTTTCCACATGTGAATAATTTTTGCACACAGATAAAGATGAAAATAGGACTTACTGTCATGATGAAACTGTACAGATCTCCTATATTCAACAGACTTGGACTGCTTTGATCAAAGGGAGGGGGGTTTCTTAGGGAAGCATAAACCAAGGGTGTAGTATCAACAACAGTGCTTCTGTCTGAAAGGAAAAATCATTTTAATATAATCATAACAGATACATTTATCATAAAACAACTAAGGATATATATGTCACTTGACCATAGTGTACATGTATATAAATTGTTTTGAAAATCAAAATTTATTGTTGACAATTGGATCAAATATGGCTTAACTGCCCTTGTACCTCTTCCCATCTCGTAGTACGTGTGGTCCACTTTATGATTTCTTGCAAAAGGATCTATATAAATTGTTCCTGCAACTGTGCCTAAAATGAAGGAAATGTTACAAACCAAATAAATATGATGATTTGGCTCCTTCATCTCCCCTTCATCCATTAATTTATACATTTATAACATTTTTATCTTTAATCTCATCAATCATTTTCACCATCCTGGATACAACATCAAAACTTCAACACTCTATATTGTATAATCATGCCTCTCCTGTTAAAAAAATGTAGACCAAAAAAATTCAAGTCACTCTACTATTATTTAAAACTATAAAGGTACCAGTAAATTGTTCATACAGTTCAGTAGATACATTTCTATGTAGCCATACGCAATTATTCAATATTTTTTCACAGATGAATTAGAGAAATTGTCTTGTTTTCTGAAATTTTATACCAAATAGCTTGGTACACAATTGAAAGAAGTTGTCTCTGACTTTGGTATAGGGAAAGAATTCTGAAAACTGATCCAAACTTTTAAAACTGAAATCAAACAGAAAACAAGATGAAAACTGTTGAAGACAATCACCTTCAATTACCGTAGGTACATATGATATTGGAATTACTCAAAATGAAAAAAAAAAATGTGTGATTGACAAAATGAAAACCAGAATACTTGTATGAGTGTATACCCATCAGAGCTAGAGCTTTTGTTTAACAATTGACTTCTGCATTATACGTTATAATTACTCAAATTTACTGGACACTTCAATCTTTAAGCTAAACATTACATCAAACACCTCTGAAGTACTCTCATGCCAAGTACTGCAGTATTTCTATATCGTTCTTCACAATATCATACAGCTTATTCTTCATCCTAAAATAAATCATCATTTAATGCTTCAAAAAGATAACAATTCTATGACACACAGTTAAGATGATTAAAAGTGGTTTGTAATATTTCAAGTTTAATATCTAAATATTGCAAATAAAGCATGCATACATGTTTATTCAATAAAATCAATGTTTAGCATTCAATGTGCAATTAGTAAATTTTATTAAACAAAATCAATTAAAACTAAATCAGCAAGGGCCCCACCATTTTTTTATAAGGGTGCAGGGGGGGGGGAATAAGCAACACCAACTGTATTCTTAAAATTTTAAGAAATTTTATTCAAAAACCTGAAAATAATATCCTTGTATTTACAGGCAATAAAGAAAAACTTAACATTGAATGTATATTTACACAATTATGAAGCTTATCTTATATAAAATGCCAGCCTTAAATGAATGCAAATATAACTTCAAACAAACAGCAGTTGCAGACAAAGATTTTCATTAATCTTAAAGTGACAGATAAAGAAAAGCCTACTAAATTTTCTGCAGCAGGATGAAAATCCCAAGGGATTAACTGTATCTCTCAATCATTTTCTTTAAAGTTACAATAAGAACTTTTTCAGTATTAATGATAATGGGTTTTTATACAACTACCTTAAAAATTAATAATATTGTGTAACATAAAGTAAAAAAAAATAAATAAAAAAATCTTCTTGCAATCTATTTCTTGTTTTTAACAATGAAATCATAACTATTTAACAAAAATAAATTAATATAAAAATTTACATTTAAAATCCACATTTCAGAGTGTTCATAAGCATTCCAAATTATTATCTTCAAAACAAACTTCATTTGCGGTAATTCATCTCAATGTGACAGATAAAGATTTCTTCAGGAGGAAAGCCAATTAATCCCAAGGGATTTCTATAGCAGCATTCAGTTTACAATGGGAACATACAGCTTATCTCTCTTTGCCAATGCATTCTTATAAAAATAAATCATCAGCTCCAAAAGCATAGAGAAAAGCATCAAAAATGTTATACTACCACACCAAATTTACATGTTTGTAAAAAAAATTTTATTTATGCATAGATAAGGCACCACCCCAGCTCCAAACCAGAAGACATAGAGAACCAAACTTAGCATCAAAATATGTATTTCTGCCTCCAATACCAACCAAATTTTTATTATTGGGCAACCATAAAAAAAGTTGTGAAAAAAACAGAAAATTTGTGTCAGTGACAGACGGACAGACAGTGATTTAATGACAAACAAAATCAATTAATACACAAAAAAAATTGCAATAGCATACTTGTAGAAGATATAAAATTTTAATTAGACCAATAACACACTGTAAACCTATTACATATGTACTCACATGTCCAGCACACTGACAATATTGTCCATACTGCCTGCCATTGTTCTCTCTAACACCATATCCACATAACTTTTAAATCCTAGCTTTGTGGCCAAAAGATGCCTATAAGTGCACAAAGAATGTATGAAAATTGATGCCTTAGGTAATTCAAAAAATTATGACATTTTATGAGCAATATTTGTTTACATGTACCTGTTTTGGACAATTCCGTGAATTGCTTGCACGTTACTGGAGCGTTTTTCCATCATCTCACTACCAGCCATGCTGACCATTTTAATCCACACCTCTTTCCGCAGAGAACCAAGTCGACAGTATCTCAATATTCCATCATAGACAACTGGATGATGAACAATCCTCCATGGTCCTTTTCTGGGATCAGAGCTATGATAAGAACAAATATTCAAATACAGCTGTACAAAAATTATAAGTTGAATAAATTAAAGGTCTGATTTGAAATGAAACCCAAAATCACCAGAATAAACTCTTTACAAATGAAAAAAAAGAATATCAGGGACTAATAAATTGTAATATCAATTATTTCAAGAATTTTTTTTTCTAGGAGCTATGGCAACATCATTTAACCAAATATCAAACCAACAATATCACTATATACCTTTCTTGGTATAATCTACCGTTACTTGAAATGAAAACGAAAAAAGATTTATGTGTCTTGCAGAATTCTGCTTTTATATGAAGTTCTACTAAAATCGGACAAAATCTACAGAAATAGCATTTTGAAGAAAAATTATTTATGGAAAAACAGACTGACTGATGACAGATATGGTGCCATTGTATAAGCTCTTTTATCAACAGAAGACTAGAACTAAAAACTACCCAACATTTTAGAAGCTTACCCTGGTGGCACCATGTACTGGAGAACATTAAGTGGTATTCCCTGGACAAAGGACTCGTCAACCTTCTGCATGGAGGTACTAAGGGCATTGTCAAGGTTCAGTCTGAAATTGACAATGAAAAATAAAAAATGATGTAAAAATTGAATTTTGAAGTAAAGATGCACACGCACTATGTACATGTATGCATCTCTATATACACATTTTACATATTAAATATACATGTAGTGTTGAAAATTAAATAAGTTGGTACATTTATTATCTTTTATTTATACAAAGCGTAGAATTATTGTTATGTTTATTCTCAAGCATAGAATTATTGCTATGGATATACTACGGGTATATTTTTACTTATGCATTTTACCTGTATTTATCTTGTTTGTGTAAGATCTTCTTTGTAATTGTTGAAAGCCCCTTCTTTTGGGAATCTTTCAGCTCTGCTCCATTTCTAATGAATTCATGAATGTATAGGTCAAGTAACCTGGACTGGGCCTCTGTGAGATTTCCATTGTTGCGAACACTCTTAATATCAAAAACATAATTTCATTGAAATATTTAATTAGAAATGAAAAAAAAAGTATATATTAATGGATTATGAAATACATGTAGCTCAGTATTAGTGAGTAGTGGTAAGTAAAAAAGGTACATCTTGGACTTACCAGCAATGCTTTGTACAGACTTTGCCCATACCACCTCTCGGACTCTATTCGTCCAGCAATGTCTGTTGTCTGTGTGATAAAATGAAAGAAAAAGTGAGCAAGCTCACATACCCCACGCTCCCCCAAAACTCAAAGTGCTGAAAATCCCGGAAAAAAATGAAAGAATCGGAATTTCCCGGTAATATGCACATCTACACACTGTGTCCTAAATATCTCCAAAGTTTGACGAAAATCTGAGCAGCGGTTTATGAGGAGTTGCGCTGACAAAATGTTCATCTCTATATTCAAGGTATGGCCAAAAATCTAATTTGAAAAGTGCCAAAATTCCCAGAAAAATAAAGTAATCAGAATTTCCTGGTAATATGCACATCTACACACTGTGTCCTAAATATCTGCAAAGTTTGACACAAATCTGTGCAGCGGTTTATGAGGAGTTGCGCTGACAAAATGTTCATCTCTTTATTCAAGGTATGGCCAAAAATCTAAGTTGAAAAGTGTGGAAATTCTAAGAAAAAATAAAGGAATCGGAATTTTTTAGTAATATGCACATCTACACACTGTGTCCTAAATATCTGCAAAGTTTGACGAAATTCTGTGCAGCGGTTTATGAGGAGTTGCGCTGACAAACTGTTCATATCTATATAAAAGGTTTGGCCAAAAACCTAAGTTTTCAGTCCGGAAATTCCCAGAAAAAATAAAGGAATCGGAATTTCCTGGTAATATGCACATCTACATATTGTGTCCTAAATATCTGCAAAGTTTAACGAAATTCATTGTAGCAGTTTATGAGGAGTTGCGCTGACAAACTGTATAAAAGGTATGGCCAAAAAACCTAAATTTTTAGTGCGGAAATTCCTGGAAAAAATAAAGGAATCGGAATTTCCTGGTAATATGCAAATCTACATATTGTGTCCTAAATATCTGCAAAGTTTAACGAAATTCTGTGCAGCGGTTTATGAGGAGTTGCGCTGACAAACTGTATAAAAGGTATGGCCAAAAAAATTCCCATATTTGTCCTAAATATCTGCAAAGTTTAACGAAATTCTGTGCAGCGGTTTATGAGGAGTTGCGCTGACAAACTGTATAAAAGGTATGGCCAAAAACGTAAGTTTTTAGTGCGGAAATTCCTGGAAAAAATAAAGGAATCGGAATTTCCTGGTAATATGCACATCTACATATTGTGTCCTAAATATTTGCAAAGTTTAATGAAATTCTTTGAAGCGGTTTATGAGGAGCTGCGCTGACAAACTGTTCATCTCTATATTCAAGGTATGGCCAAATGCCTAAGTTAACAAGAGGCCCATGGGCCACATCGCTCACCTGAGCACCAAGGGTAGGACTAGTATAAAATGGCTTTTTATTGTAAAGTTTAAATCCAAAAGTAGTCCCATGACCAATCATGGATTTGCTATTTTTTAGAAAATGATTGAGAAGAAGATTTTTAAAGAATTTTCCTATATATTTCTATGTAAAACTTTGGTCGGCCATTTTGGCCCCGCCCTACCCCCGGGGGTCATGATTTGAACAAAATTGAATCTACACTATCTGAACATGCTTCCATATAAATATGATGAATAATGGCTTTGTCATTCTTGAGAAGAAGATTTTTAAAGAATTTTCCTATATATTTCTATGTAAAACCTTGGTCGGCCATTTTGGCCCCGCCCTACCCCGGGGGTCATGATTTGAACAAACTTGAATCTACACTACCTGAGCATGCTTCCATATATATATGATGAATTATGGCTTTGTCATTCTTGAGAAGAAGATTTTTAAAGAATTTTCCTATATATTTCTATGTAAAACATTGGTCGGCCATTTTGGCCCCGCCCTACCCCCTGGGGTCATGATTTGAACAAACTTGAATCTACACTACCTGAGCATGCTTCCATATAAATATGATGAATTATGGCTTTGTCATTCTTGAGAAGAAGATTTTTAAAGAATTTTCCTATATATTTCTATGTAAAACCTTGGTCGGCCATTTTGGCCCCGCCTCACCCCCGGGGGTCATGATTTGAACAAACTTGAATCTACACTACCTGAACATGCTTCCATATAAATATGATGAATTATGGCTTTGTCATTCTTGAGAAGAAGATTTTTAAAGAATTTTCCTATATATTTCTATGTAAAACATTGGTCATCCATTTTGGCCCCGCCCTACCCCCGGGGGTCATGATTTGAACAAACTTGAATCTACACTACCTGAGCATGCTTCCATATAAATATGATGAATTATGGCTTTGTCATTCTTGAGAAGAAGATTTTTAAAGAATTTTCCTATATATTTCTATGTAAAACTTTGGTCGGCCATTTTGGCCCCACCCTACCCCCAGGGGTCATGATTTAAACAAACTTGAATCTAAACTACCTGAGCATGTTTCCATATAAATATGATGAATTATGGCTTTGTCATTCTTGAGAAGAAGATTTTTAAAGAATTTTCCTATATATTTCTATGTAAAACATTGGTCGGCCATTTTGGCCCCGCCCTACCCCCTGGGGTCATGATTTGAACAAACTTGAATCTACACTACCTGAGCATGCTTCCATATAAATATGATGAATTATGGCTTTGTCATTCTTGAGAAGAAGATTTTTAAAGAATTTTCCTATATATTTCTATGTAAAACCTTGGTCGGCCATTTTGGCCCCGCCTCACCCCCGGGGGTCATGATTTGAACAAACTTGAATCTACACTACCTGAGCCTGCTTCCATATAAATATGATGAATTATGGCTTTGTCATTCTTGAGAAGAAGATTTTTAAAGAATTTTCCTATATATTTCTATGTAAAACCTTGGTCGGCCATTTTGGCCCCGCCTCACCCCCGGGGGTCATGATTTGAACAAACTTGAATCTACACTACCTGAGCATGCTTCCATATAAATATGATGAATTATGGCTTTGTCATTCTTGAGAAGAAGATTTTTAAAGAATTTTCCTATATATTTCTATGTAAAACTTTGGTCGGCCATCTTGGCCCCGCCCTACCCCCGGGGGTCATGATTTGAACAAACTTGAATCTACACTACCTGAGCATGTTTCCATATAAATATGATGAATTATGGCTTTGTCATTCTTGAGAAGAAGATTTTTAAAGAATTTTCCTATATATTTCTAGGTAAAACTTTGGTCGGCCATTTTGGCCCCGCCCTACCCCCGGGGGTCATGATTTGAACAAACTTGAATCTACACTACCTGAGCATGCTCCCATATAAATATGATGAATTATGGTTTTGTCATTCTTGAGAAGAAGATTTTTAAAGAATTTTCCTATATATTTCTAGGTAAAACTTTGGTCGGCCATTTTGGCCCCGCCCTACCCCCGGGGGTCATGATTTAAACAAACTTGAATCTACACTACCTGAGGATGTTTCCCCATAAGTTTCATCTTTCCCGGCACAATGGTTCTTGAGAAGAAGATTTTTAAAATATACCACTAAATTTTCATTAATTCCCAATTATCTCCCCTTGAATAAGGGCGTGGCCCTTCATTTGAACAAACTTGAATCCCCTTCACCCAAGGATACTTTGTGGCAAGTTTGGTTGAAATTGGCCCAGCGGTTCTTGAGAAGAAGTCGAAAATGTGAAAAGTTTACAGACAGACGGACAGACGGACGGACAGACAGACGGACGGACGGACGCCGGACAAAATGTGATCAGAAAAGCTCACTTGAGCCTTCGGCTCAGGTGAGCTAAAAAGTGCGGAAATTCCCGGAAAAAATAATGGAATCGGAATTTCCTGGTAATATGCACATCTACACATTGTGTCCTAAATACCTGCAAAGTTTGACGAAATTCTGTACAGTAGTTTATGAGGAGTTGCGCTGACAAAAAAACAGGACTGACTGACTGACTGACACTCTGACGGACAGGTCAAAAACATTACACCTCACGCAACTAGTTGTGTGGGGTATAATAAAAATAGTTTACACTTAAGCATTTTTAATGAAACCTACTTTCTTTCTCAGTATAATAATTTCTTTCTCAATAGATTTTTTTAGAAAGAATTGTCTTATTCTGTACTTGAAAAAAAAAAGTAATATAATTGATAGTTGTAAAATGAATGGAATGAAGACATAAACTCAAAAAGTACATGTACAAGCCTTGAATAAAAATTCAACTTTTTAGTTTGCAAAAATTATCTGATGAAAACACAGGCACCCGAGGTTACTTATTTTTCTTTTAATAAAAAAATATACCCCCTACCTAATGTTTATTATTAGGTAGTCGGTATATTTTTTTATTAAAAGAAAAATAAGTAACGTCAGGTGGCTGTGGATGAAAAATAAGTGACAGGTGTCTGTGGATGAAAACTACCAGTACTGGTTTCTGTTATAAACTTCAATTTTAATAGTTACTCAGTAAATCAACTCTCTAATTAATTTTACCTTCAAAAAAGCATCGTAATATTTTCCAGTTTTTCCTACACCCAGCTGTTTTCCTGTGTATAAACTGTAATATAATGGTACACGAGCCTTTTCTACTGGATGTAAAACAGATTCAAAGGTAGGAATTTCCTCAGATTCTACAAAAGCAAAAATAAGCCTTGAAGCATTACTACAAGTAACATCAAATGAAAGAAATACAACAAAATTAGTATCCTGCTTAAAAGATTACTGCTATACAATATTTTATGAGTCACTGGCTGTGTTCTCTCAGATAAGAATTAATCTTTTCAATTTTAAAAGCTATATAAACATATGATAAACATATTTAAAGTTTATGAAACTCAACTTGACAACTATTATGATATCTATGAGTTATGCAAACCCTTAAACAAAATAAATATTCTAGATTTGTGCATCTCTAGATGCATTATCCATGAAGTTTGGTCATATTTACTTTTGAATATGCTCTAAAACCTTTAAAACAGTCACTTTCAGGAAAAAGTACATGTATATTTATCAGATCAAACATCCAAAGCAAAGCTAGCAGAGTACATCCCTAGCATGCATGATCCATGCTAATCATCACATTACATAGGAATGGAGCGCAAAGCGACGCTCGTCATTGTGAGCTCTTAAAGCAACGTTTGGGCGAAGAGAAAATTCAGACTACTGCACATTCATTTGACAGAATTTTTTGATGCAGTAATTTGGACCCACAATGCATAGCTTCGTACACAAAGCTGAAGCAATATTCTCGCGAGAATAAGAACAAACAAGAGGCCCATGGGCCACATCGCTCACCTGAGAAGCTTTGGCCATTCTGTTCTTTACCAGATTTCCCCCTTGTAAAACATATTGTGACCCCACCCTACCCCACTAATCATAATTTAAACAATTTGAAATCTACACTACCCCAGTATGCTTCCACATAAGCTTCAGCTTAGGTTTTCAGATTTTTTTTTTCAGATATATTTCTATGTAAAACATTGATTCCACATTGTGGCCCCGCCCTACCCCCGGGGGTCATGATTTGAACAATTTAGAATCTACACTACCCAAGGATGCTTCCAAATAAGTTTCAGCTTCTCTGGCTCTCAGTGGTTCTTGAGAAGAAGATTTTCAAAGATTTTTCCTATATATTTCTATGTAAAACTTTGATTCCCAATTGTGGCCCCGCCCTACCCCCGGGGGTCATGATTTGAACAATTTAGAATCTACACTACGCTAAGATGCTTCCACATCAGTTTCAGCTTTTCTGGCCCAGTGGTTCTTGAGAAGAAGATTTTTAAAGATTTTTCCTTTATATTTCTATGTAAAACTTTGATTTCCCATTGTGGCCCCGCCCAACCCGGGGGGTCATAATTTGAACAATTTAGAATCTACACTACCCCAGGATGCTTCCACATAAGTTTCAGCTTTTCTGGCCCAGTGGTTCTTGAGAAGAAGATTTTCAAAGATATTTCCTTTATATTTCTATGTAAAACTTTGATTTCCCACTGTGGTCCCGCCCAACCCCGGGGGGTCATGATTTGAACAATTTAGAATCTACACTATGCTAAGATGCTTCCACATAAGTTTCAGCTTTTCTGGCCCAGTGGTTCTTGAGAAGAAGATTTTCAAAGATTTTTCCTTTATATTTCTATGTAAAACTTTGATTCCCAATTGTGGCCCTGCCCTACCCCCAAGGGTCATACAATAACCAAGGAATCTTCCACATAAGTTTCAGCTTCACTGGCCCAGTGGTTCTTGAGAAGATTTTCAAAGATTTTTCCTTTATATTTCTATGTAAAACTTTGATTCCCCATTGTGGCCCCGCCCTACCCCCGGGGGTCATGATTTGTACAATTTAGAATCTACACTACCCCAGGATGCTTCCACATAAATTTCAGCTTTACTGGCCCAGTGGTTCTTGAGAAAAAGATTTTTTAATGACCCAACCCTATTTTTGTCTTTTCTTGATTATCTCCCCTTGCGAGGGGATATGTCCCTTCATTTTAACAATTTAAATTCCCCTTCATCCAAGGATGCTTTGTACCAAGTTTGGTCAAAATTCGCCCAGTGGTTCTTGAGAAGAAGTCGAAAATGTTAAAAGTTTACAGACGGACAGACAGACAGCTAGACAGACGGACGGACGACGGACAAAATGTGATCAGAAAAGCTCACTTGAGCCTTCGGCTCAGGTGAGCTAAAAAGTAAAACAAATATATAATAAACTTGCCTTAATTTAATGAATAAGTTGCAGAAAAATAGTCAATAAAATGGTTCTTCATTTAAAATCAGCTCTGTTCAAGCTTCGGTTTGATAATGCAACATGCATACGATGTCATATATGACATCAGAGTCTTAGACGCACCAAATGTCATGTGTGGTTTGATGAGCCCGATCTAAATGAAAACTGGATCTGCGCTCGCCCTAATGGTCGCACCGTCAACATATTAGTTATGTTCTGCCAAGAGCAACTTTTTAGTACCTTGTAGATCTTTTAAATGGCTTTGAAATGTCATATCAAAATCCTGGGAAAGCTTTGCTGCCCCTGTGATAATTTTGTCTGGTGGTATACTAAAATCTGGCATTTCATGGTATCTTAATAATGGATTTGTCTCAGGCGTATCATCAGGAATATCAGGTAATCTGATAAGTGAAGAATAAAATAACAGTTTAAAAGTTAGTTTTAAAGCAGAGGAAATTTTAAAATTAATAGCATACCAATCTTGTCAACAACTGCAGCCACAAAATGTTACTTGGTTGAACCAGGCTATCTTCAAATAACACTTAGACAGTGTCAATTCAAGAAAATTTACTTACAAAAGGCTGTATATACGTTACAACAGTTTAGTTGTGGAAGCAGTAAAAGAATATATGATGCGAGGAAATTCGAACTAATGACCTATATGCATTATGAAACAGTGTATCACTCTTTTTCTCCAAAGAATACTATTTGTGTTAACCGTTAACTTACAACAGATGGAATCCTGACATTGTGTAGTTTATGTTGATCAATCGACGTTGGATGTGTGCTATACATGGTATAAACAATCTTTTTCCGTGCCGACTGATCATCATGGAAGCAGACATCTTTGAAATCTTCAGTATAACGAGCCCGATTTAATTTAAAAATAATTCAATGTGAGTCTTTCCTTTTTATTGCTATGTTTCATGGCGATTTGTTACTGATCAAAAAGCATTTTGTGTGCTCTTTTGTTATATTTCTGCAATAATTGCAAATTACTATAAATAGCACTACAATTAATCTACCATTTCACTTGAAAAACATAATTCTCTACCGTGAAAAAAAAGTTCCCTTGTCAAATTTTAAACATTTTCTTTTCATAATTTAATGTAGTTTAACTGCATTATTTCTATCTGATTTATATACTGACAGGAGGAATCCTGATAAAATATTCGTTTACTTTTAATTCCTCTACTTCAATTCATTAAACAAGAGGTATAATTGGACTGCACAACAAGAGGCCCATGGGCCACATCGCTCACCTGAGCACTAAGGGTAGGAAAAAGTAGAAAATGGCTTTTTATTGTAACGTTTAAATCCAAAAGTAGTCCCATGACCAATCATGGATTTGCTATTTTTTAGAAAATGATTTTTAAAGAATTTTCCTATATATTTCTATGTAAAACTTTGGTCGGCCATTTTGGCCCCGCCCTACCCCCTCATTTGAACAAACTTGAATCTACACTACCTGAGCATGCTTCCATATAAATATGATGAATTATGGCTTTGTCATTCTTGAGAAGAAGATTTTTAAAGAATTTTCCTATATATTTCTATGTAAAACTTTGGTTGGCCATTTTGGCCCCACCCTACCCCTGGGGGTCATGATTTGAACAAACTTGAATCTACACTACCTGAGCATGCTTCCATATAAATATGATGAATTATGGCTTTGTCATTCTTGAGAAGAAGATTTTAAAGAATTTTCCAATATATATCTATGTCAAACTTTGGTCGGCCATTTTGGCCCCGCTCTACCCCGAGGTTATGATTTGAACAAACTTGAATCTACACTATCTGAGCTTGCTTCCACATAAATATGATGAATTATGGCTTTGTCATTCTTGAGAAGAAGATTTTTAAAAAATTTTCCTATATATTTCTATGTAAAACTTTGGTCGGCCATTTTGTCCCCGCCCTACCCCCGGGGGTCATGATTTGAACAAACTTGAATCTACACTACCTGAGGATGTTTCCCCATAAGTTTCATCTTTCCTGGCACAGTGGTTCTTGAGAAGAAGATTTTTAAAATATGTCACCAAATTTTCATTAATTCCCAATTATCTCCCCTTGAATGAGGGCGTGGCCCTTCATTTGAACAAACTTGAATCCCCTTCACCCAAGGATACTTTGTGGCAAGTTTGGTTGAAATTGGCCCAGGGGTTCTTGAGAAGAAGTCGAAAATGTGAAAAGTTTACAGACAGACAGACAGCTAGACAGCTAGACAGACAGACAGACGGACGCCGGACAAAATGTTATCAGAAAAGCTCACTTGAGCTTTCAGCTCAGGTGAGCTAAAAAACTTATTATCAATTTGTTGCACAGGTTTATTCTCAAAAATACTTTTACAGACTATTTAATTCAAGTTTGCCTTTTCATAATACATTAGAACTATACATAAATTATCCTTTACTTTTCCATGAAAAAAAAGTTCAATCGATATATTCACAGCAAGAATTTCCTCTTTATCCTAGAGTTAAAATCAGTGACCACTTTCAAAACTAGCAATTTCTGGGATTTTCAGCATATAAAAATTAGATTTGTTTCTTGATTTTTTTGTGTTTGCTGAATTCAACAACTTAGAAACTAACAAAATTAAAAATTTATACATCATCTTACTAATGATTTCAACAGAAAACATAAATCAAAATTGTCCTAAACCAAATTGATGGTTGGACCAAATTCAGAATTAAAGGGATCAAGGTTAAAATCAATGCAAACTCTAGTATTTGTTCAAATGTCCTTTCATCTAAAGTTTTTTTAAAAATCTGAAAATTCTAGTTTCCCAATTCAGCAACCACAGCCAAACTCAGCAACATTTCTAATTCAATATAATCAAAATGAGATGTTCCGAATCTGCTACCATTTCTTAAATGAAAGTTATGAGAAGCGGTAGCGGATTCGGAACATCTAATTTTCATTAGATTGTTCTGAATTCAGACTTTTTATATCTACTTTGTCCTTTAATATTCATTAAATTTATTCAGACAAAAGACAATTAAACTATAACAATGGTTTTAATTAACATATATACATAAGAACAATCAGGATTTGTGTTTTTTCTTTTTGAATTTTTTCCGCACTCCCAGGGCTTCCTCTGTGTCGTCAGCTTCTTCGTCGTCATTCTTACGCTTCTTTCTTCCTCGTTCTGTCTCATTCATTTCCTGAAAAATAACAGTATTCTTTAATGTTCATAGACATAAAAATTTAATTTTTATTTAAAGAAATTTGTAATGTTACTTTTATTATCAAATAATTATTCTGATGCACATTTAAAGCTTAAATACTCATGACAATCAATAATACATGTGCACACTTCCAATGTCCATAATGCTCTATTTGAGCTTTTACAAGCACTGTATAAAACCTTCATCAATGTATGACCCCATTTTGCCACCCACCATTTTGGCGAATCTCTGTGCCTCCGTCACTCGCTCCATCAGTTGCATCACTTCCTCTTCCTCTGTTTTATACAGCGGCAGCTTCTTACCGATCAGGTGCTCTATTCTCTGATACAGCTCTACATCATACCTACAGATCAGTTATAATTCATCAGTACCGGAATACACCCATCATGATATATTAGAATTTACCAGGTGCATGCAAACATGTACCAGAAATGGCAAATCAACAATAAAATGTTCATTTTTCATCGTATATATGTACAGTATGTGAAATTGACAGTACCAAAGGGTCCTTTTAAGTGCGGCATCTTCTAATAACAATGCTTTTTATGCGACACATTTTTTTTAAAATTAAGTATACTCAGTATATGGATGCTATGACAGATGGCAAAAATTTGATGTCATAGAATTATGACAGGTATATATGCTATAAACTTACTGTGAAACAAAGGTGATGGCTACCCCTGAACGCCCAGCTCTAGCTGTCCTGCCCACTCGGTGAATGTAATCTTTAGAATGTGTTGGGATGTCAAGGTTCAAAACAACATCCACATGTGGTATGTCAAGACCTCTGAAATAAATAAAAAATATAATTCAATAAATGACATCTACCCAGTAATTTTTTCAATACATTTTGTAATGTTCCTTTTAATCAGAAAATTCATGCATTTCATCTGATTTATTTCTTCAATTCATAGTGAAACTAACCTGCTTGCTACATCTGTGGCAATAAGAATGGATCTGTTTTTACTCTTGAATTTATTCAAAGCTCCAAGTCTTTTTGACTGACAAAAATTATAACAAATATGTGAAGCATGGTCATGGGTTTGTACAAAAAGAAACGTTTTACAGAAATAGCTACCAATATACATGTACAGTTAGTAAATAAGTAAATGATTTATTATGGTGATGTGATTTACAAATGCAATGAGAATCATTTATCATAGTAAGGAAAATGTAAAAAAACAAAATTACCTGGCTCATTTGTCCATGTAGTGGAATTGCAGTAAGTCCCAGGTTCCGTAACATTAGTGCCACTCTCTGTGTGTTAGCACAGGTACTACAGAACACCATGAAGGAGTTACCAGCCAACTCATTCAAAATATACACCAAGTAGACATCCTTAAATAATAGAATATTTACATGTATTTACTGTATTTTCATATTAATGTGCATAAGTATTAGAATAAATCTGAGTCATCTTTTTAATTAGGAATCTTCTACTTGTATTTAAGCAGATTTGTTATTTCTTGCTTAGAGGTTTTTGAAAAGAGATGATCAGTAAATGTCTCCTGTCTATTTTGTTTGATTATCTCTCCTTGGAAAGAGGAATTTCTCTTAATTTCAACAAATTTTAATTCTCGTCAACCAGGGGGTGCTTTGTACATGAAGATGTTTGGCATATCGGTTCAAGAGGAAAAATTGAAAATGAGTAAAATCTATAGATGACACATGACCAACAATGACAAAGAAAAACAGAAAGCAGGTAAATCACATGAGGTGACTTTAGATTATCTACCTTGAATTTCACAGGTATAAATAGGTAGTACTGTTGCAGTTTGTCCACTGTTTGGTATTTTGATGATACTTCAACTCTCACTGGGTTCTGCAGAGATGCCCTTTGTAATTTTGCAACCTTGTTCACAGAAAAAAAAACGTTATAAATGTCATTTTTACATATTAACTTTCAATGAATATATATGTTCACAAAGACAATTCTTAAATGTTACATACAAAGAATTTTTTTTTTTACATTTTAAATCATCTTTGTATTTGAGCTTAAAGAAGACATCAAAGGACAAATAATGAACAGAAAGTTAACCCAAACATTAGTCAGGATTTCATAAAAATACCCTACCTTTTTTGTCATTGTGGCAGAAAATAGCAGAGTTCTTCTCTCTCTTGGTATAACTTTCAGGATTTTATCAACCTGTAAATATAAGTTACATATAAGAAATAATTCATATTGAAATGAAAACACAATAAAAGAAACACAGTTTGAAAAGAACCATATGCTTTACTTCAGATTCTTATGGGATGCATTTTTTCAGTAATAATTTACCTCTTGTTCAAAATCCATATTGAGAATTCTATCAGCTTCGTCCATGACCTATTGAAAATATACTGCACATTAAAAAGGAGTTAAAAGGTACTGATAAGTATACTTGTATTAATTATGTTAATTTATGTCATGTTATTAATGTTCATGACTGTATGCCGACATGGTAATTGTCAATAAAGTGAATTGAATTGAATTGATAAGATGAATTACATAAACGGAACATTTTACTAGGGAAAATATTTGTCCATACAATTTAATTGCTACGTATACCAGTACACAAAATCTTCATATTAAGGAAAATCTAATCATTTTTCTTACCAAATATTTGAGAGACCTTAAGTTGAATCCCTTTGTATTTTCTAGGTGGTCAACTAATCTTCCTGGGGTTGCTGTTGGGGAAAGTATACATGAAATCAATTTTTTTTTCATCAAAATCCAGCAATATATACATAAAATTCGATCATGAAATACTAGTGCTTATGAAATTATTTAGACAGTCGTGTATCATTATTAATGTTTCTATTAGATTACGTCCATCCAGATTTGATTCATTTATACCAGGTAAATGAATTCTAACAACCTCAACATAATTTGCCTCAGAAAATCTAAAAGCAGTATTTAAATTGCAGTATTTTATTATCTTTCATGCAAAAAATGAACAACTTTTACAATTATCCAAACATTCTTTTCTATAATCGAGTTCTCACCTATGACAACATGAGGTTTTTTAGCCAGCATTAAAGCTTGTGTCATCATATCAATTCCCCCAACAATCACAGCTGAAGAGAAAAACACAGTCAATGTCAATACATACTGTACATGTAAGTTACCTATATCTAAATCTTCAGTGTAAAGTGATCAATTCCTAGATACATGTATTTGATGCCTTTGCCATCGAAAGCACCCAAACAATACACGCAAGTAAAAAAGGTATATGGCCTTTTTTTAACCCTAGAATCTTGAATATAATTTATTTCCAATTTTGGGCCCATGAAGGGCATTAGTTATTTTTAGCAAATTTCTACTGACCACATTTGATTCCAATTGATGCCCCAAGAGCCTCGAACTGTTCAGAAATTTGGAAAGCCAGCTCTCTTGTAGGAGTAAGGACAAGAGCATAGAGTCTCTGGGGGTTATCAAGAAGGGTCTGTAAAATTGGTAAGGCAAATGCTCCTGTTTTTCCTGAACCAGTCTCTGCTAATCCAATGACATCTGAACCTGTTATAAAATAAATGTATATACGTATATTCATTATGTAAAAGAAATCTTGGCAACAACATTTTACGACATGTTTTTTTTCAATTTTTAGTTGTCAAGGTAACTAGACATTGAAAATTTAATGACTATGTAGTTACCTGACTATAAAAAAAATTGCATTCATTAAAAAATTGGGACTTTAAATACATTAATTGTGAGTTATAAATAAAATGATAAATAAATATATGAATTACACATTTACTTCTACACAAATATTTAAGACAGGTATACAAAAAATGTTGAATATTTAACCTCTTACTAATTTAACAGTTTTTGTCATATCATTGCACAGATTGCAGTCTTGATTAAAGTGTTCAATCCCTTGATAGTAAAAAAACCCCAAGAAATGAAAACTTTTACTGTTTGGACAAGTGATTTAAATTTTCCAAGCCTCAAATTTGCTTAATATATTTCACTCATATTGACACATTGTAATCTGCAACTTTTGACCCTACTTTTAGTTTTAATATAATTACTGTACCTTGCAAAGCAACTGGAAGAGCTTCTCTCTGGATCTTTGTTGGAGCTTTCCATTTTAATTGTTCACAGGCCTCACAGAGAACATCAACAATGCCCTGCAATAAAGAATGATTACTTGAAACACTACAATCATTTGGGCTAGATTTTACCTTTGAAAGGTAAGATTAGAAACAAGATTTTGATAGTGATAAGGAGTTACGGAAGTCAAAAGCTAAAAGTTGTAATTACTTTCAGTCTACAAACTAAAATATACATCTCATTGATTATGTACAGAATTAGATGCAACATTTACATTACATGTGTTAATAGTCTCACTCAAGACAAAAACAGAAAAGTAGATGTTTTAAAAGCAGCGTTTGCAAATATGGAATGAATTGCATAATTTTTTTAGAGTTACCATCATTACCAAGTTTTAAATCTGCATGTAAGGAAATTCGCTAAAATGTAATCAAATGATTATGTACGAATTAGATGCAAGGTTTCATGACCTGTGTCAACAACACTAGGGCCAAGAATTCCTTTACTACCCAATGTCCTTTGCGGTAATAAATAAATGAAATAAAACGTAAAGCATTTTTTAAAAGTGAATAATTACGCTACATGATAATCAATTAATTAAAAAAATTATGTCTGCAATGTTTTTCAACCAAAATTGCACTCAGAAAAATGTTATTTTTTTTTTAAATAAAAACATATTCTAAATATATGAATAGCTGATTCCGTAAGCTCAAAATATGCAACAAATAAAGAACATGTGATATTGGTGAAAACGCATTTTCACAGCTAGTCGAGATGACTCGTGCCGTTTGATGTTTGAAGTGGCTGATCAATTTTTCAAGTATTTTTGATACTACGTAACTGCGCTCGCTCCGACAGTCACACAGAAAAACATATTAACTTTATTAGTATACTCGCTTAATCTAATAGTCTGCTTCAAATACTTTGCTCTACTACTAATTACGAATAGACCATAGTACAAAGTATTTGAAGCAGACAATTGCTGGAACTCTTCAGCATCAGAGGTTTAAACGAATGGCTTATTGCTATGAAAAATCAACAGCTTTGATTTAAAGCTTTTAAAGGTAAGAAACAAAAGTTTTATAGTGATAGAGACTTAAGAAGATAAAGTTGAAGCAAGCAGCTTATTTATTTCAGCCCGTATCAATTGAAACAAGCAGTTGAAGTCCGGGCATGAGTACTCCAAATGAGGTAATGTGACTGACATTGCTCTGTGTTTTAGTACGACACTGTCCAAATATACCTCGAATCTCACGATTAGACCACAATGTAAATAGTTTTGCCGTGAACCGTGCTATCATGAATAAATAAAGGAGTAAGGGCATTAAAATTATTTCACTGAGATTGAATTTAGGAGGTCATGATTTACAACTTTGTTTTGTGTACTAGCCTTGTAACTATGAAAAAAAAATTATCTTGTAAATTACCAGTAAATATAAAAGTCACGATCTCTGTCTCAAACACTTCTATATATCTTATGTTTTCTTCTCACTCGTGTTCATTTTTCCAGATCAATGTTAACAAACAACTTGCATATTGTAGTGAAAAATCTTATGAAGATAAAACGCATTTGAGACTTCGAATACAATATTAACTCGTACGCATTGTGATATCGTCTCCGTTATCTGTGCGTTTGACATTGTTTCGTTTGAGCGTTAAAAAGAAAAGTAAATCTTTGACATAGACAAAACGTTTTTGAACATGGCAAAGCATCACCCTGATCTTATTTTCTCATAAAAACAGCCTGGCGTAGGTATGTTATGTGGGGAAAGTATTTTTGTTGTATAAATAACTTTGTGTCTTTTACTTTAGCCATTGCTCATAAATTGTTTCATAATCTAGAGTACGTGTCACGTGCCTGATTTCAATTTGTTCTTTTTTGTGTCTTATATTGAGATCTCACTGATTAGACCACTTGTAATAGTTTTTTAAACTAAGCGTGTTATCATTAAAATATAATAAACAAATGCAAACATTAAATTATTATCTCATAGCACATAGCATTCACTGAACATGTGAATTAGAGAACAGAGTGGATAAGAGGTCATGATTTACAATTTCGTTTTGTGTACTAATGCAACGCGTAAAGTGAAAAAATAACTCATCTTAAAAAATATATATTTTTTTAAAAATCACAAAATTGCAAAAATGATTCGTCTACACCTTTGTTTTCAATTTAATAAATTACATTTCGTTTTTAATTACCTCATTTTTTCAAAAGTTTGTTTACAGGACAGGAAATTCAAACATCTTGTATACTGTAGTAAAAAATTAATAACATGTTCATTACACAAAATTTGTAATACCGAACGGAATTATATCGTAGTTTAATTTAAACAAAACATTGTTTGTTTATTCATCCGTTTTTATTAAATTTGCATAAAAAACTATTTGTATCAAACTGGTGGTTAAGGCACAGGTAGCCCATTTCCTCTAACTCTGAAATGGTTCTTCTCCATGTTGTTCGTGGTACCTGCTTAATGGGAGGAAAAAGTATTTTTTTGCAATAAACATATATTTTTTCGCAATAAAATCTCTTTCAATCATAAATCAAATTTCATTACATACACAGCTACGAAATAATCCATCACTTTGCACGAGCATATTTTGTGGTTTTTGTTTTGAAAACGGCAATTTTTCTCTCAGTGTCTGCGCAAGTCACCATTTGCTAATGGAGAGATTCAAATTTATACCTCTACTCCATAGGCCTTCTCCATCTTAATTAAGATATACATATACAAATGCAAACAATTTATCTGGATATTAATTTCTAATACATAGCACATAGTACCTTAGTTAGAATAATGTATAAACTGTGTCTCGGGACAGGCCCTCATGGGTTGTTGGCCACAAAATGCATAGGAAAGTAGGTAAAAATAGCTAATGTTCTATCTAATAGTACGTAGCTATTAATAGATTGGTAGAAGTAGTCTTTGGTAAAATGGACCTGTTAAATACATGTATTTGTGTCAAATTAAGTGACTTGTGCTGTTTATTCTGCAAATATACAAGGTTCAGACTAGTGCATACACAATTTTCTATGATCAAAAGGCAATATTAATTTCCTCTCATTGTCTAAATTGTTTTCTTCTTCTCTTTCATTGAAAATTATTTTCTTTAAATATTGTCAAATATTTATATATAATTGTGATGTTTTCTCTTCCAGCTATTGGTAGACTGTGTGAAAAATGTAAGTTTTCATTTGCATTGTAATTACTAAAAGTTTAAAAGAATAATACTTCAAACTTCATGATATGTAATTTATTATTGAAGATTCTTTACTGGGGAAACAAGTATAAATTGTTGTTAACAGTTTTCCACAAATGCACTTTGTTTTGCAGGTGACGGTAAATGTGTAATATGTGATTCCTACGTCAGACCGTGCACACTGGTACGGATCTGTGATGAGTGTAATTATGGCTCGTACCAAGGTCGCTGTGTGATCTGTGGAGGGCCGGGGGTGTCAGATGCTTACTACTGCAAGGAGTGTACCATTATGGAGAAAGATGTGAGTGCAGACAATTGTATTTGTTTTTTAAATACAGTTGAACTTCTGTATCTTGAACATTTAAATTGCAATAACCATGGATATGTCATGGTGAGGTTAAAGTCCTAATCACTTTTTCTTTACATACCATCAAACCTTGTTATCTAGAACTTGATTGTATGAAGAAAAATTTTTTTGAGTTATCTGAGGATTTGATTAAGAAAATGTGATTAGGACTTTCAATTCACTTTGACACATTCACGATATTGGAGATACCAAAATTCAGCTAAATTTAATATTGATATCTAGAATCATCAGATATATCATTTTCTTTCACGGTCCAATCAGGTTCAAGATTAGATTTATAAATCAATATACTAGAATGAATCAGTTTACTTTCTCTTTTAGAGGGATGGATGTCCAAAGATTGTGAATTTGGGAAGTGCAAAGACAGATCTGTTTTATGAAAGAAAGAAATATGGATTCAAGAAGAGATGAGAACTGTTGTTGTTGTGTGGGAAATTATCAAATGACAGAGACATCAGAAAATCATTCTTTGTGAATTGTGAGCAAATTTTATGTGTGAAAAACTTGGTGCAAGCATTGGTCTGCCAGTTGAAAGTGCAAATGGTTACTCATCAGCAGTTTTGTATTTCATTTAAATTTCAATCATAGACTTCATTATTTTATAATTCTTTACTTTCAGTAGGAGTTCAAGACATTACATACATTGTTTTTATTCCATTATTAGTTAATTTGTACAACAGGAAAAAATATCATGTTGATATTCTAAGAATTGCCAATTATAAATTAACAATGAGTTATATTCAAGCTAGGATTACTGATGTGCCGTTGGCATGTTATTCTAATTTTGCATTCCAAACACTGCCAGGCAAATTTCATAAAAGCATCTTTCAATAAAAGAAAATCATGAGAAGTTTTTTCTCTGCAGAGTTGTGTCCTCTTTAATAGGGAGGTGCATGTAAATTGAAAAGGTAGAAATACAGGTATCAGTTAGGTTGATAATTATCAACATTTCTCTAAAGATGGGGGAACCCCATGCAGAGTCACAATTGACAAGTTTCATGAAAGTCTTTTGTAATATTCAAAAGTGGAAACAAACACCTTAGTGGCAAAATCATGGACTTAGAATCACAATTTAGATTATAATCTTCATAGAGTCTCTAAGCTGATGTGACAAATTTTGCTGGCATTCATCTGGTGTAAATTTATTTCTTTAAATTCATGAAGCACAATTTGTAGTTTTAGCTCACCAGTTTGAGGCCCAAATGAGCTTTTCTGACCAAGCAGATCTTGATTATTTATGTCCATATTCAGGGCAGATCCAGGGATCATTCAAGAATTAAACAGAAGAGTGGGCCGGGTGGGGGGGGGGGGGGGGGGTTAGCAATCAACACTTTTATTTATAAGCTGCTTTCCGTCTTGTAAATGACTTTTCCTATTAACTATCCAAATAGGGATCTGTATTTCATTTCCAAGGGGGTTCAAGGTTTCTTTACCATCAGGTATATAAATTTATACCCTTGAATACCTCAAAGGATTCTTTTCTCCTCCATGGGGAGATATTAGAGAAAATGTATGTGAGGGGTATGTTCATGTAGTAGTATGTAGAAAATAGAGCTTATGAAAGTTTACTGGCATATTTAAAAAAAAAAAATATGTTCTTCAAGATAATCTATATCATGGCTCAAAAATTGAATGCCACATAGGTATGAATTTTCACAACTATTTTTAAAGTGACATAAACTTCAACAAAAAAGTTGCCTTTTATTTTTAATATTTACTGGACAATATTATATATACGTATATAACAACAGCATAAAACATCAATAAATATAAATTTAATTTTAAAGAATAAGACTTAAAATACACAATTTTAGAGATTCTTTGGAATGATAATTCACATGGAAAGTATGTCTGCAAAAAACAAATTATTGCTTGGATTATTTTTCATGGATAAATAATAATTAACAAAGCTGTAATACATAAGAGAAATTATTTATGACATGTTTATAGGCTTTCTAAATACCAGTAGTTTGACCAGCATTCATTTCCATTTATCAACTGCATACACTTGTATAAAAGAAAGAAAACCAAAAAGGGAGGGGGGGACAAAGCAAACACAACAATAAATAATACACATAACAATACATAGACAATATCAAATATCTCAATACAAGATGTATCTGAAAAATATGCACTTAAAATACACAATTTTAGAGATTCTTTAAAATGATAATTCACTTGGAAAGTATGTCTGCAAAAAACATATACATGTAATTTGATAAATAATAATTAACAAAGCTGTAATCACACAATAAGAGACAAATTATTTATGACATTTTATGTCTCTCCTTCAGATTTCATAATTTCTGAACTTTTCCATGTCTATGGAATCTCTCTACTGGACTTTCTGATCTAAAAAAAGAAAAACCATTGAAATGTTTTCGCTTGTAACTGAAACAGGCAGAAGTTAAACATTTAAGCACAATTTCATCAAAATTATGCACAAGTTGACTAGAAGATAGTGAATACATGTAACATTAGATTAGAGGTATCTGAGATGGTGACCATCTAGCTTCAATAATGTAGCCCTCTCCCTTTTTTTTTTTGAGAGAGAGAGAGAGAGAAAACGTCAGATTAAAAAATTGGAGAGGGCTAAATTATTGCAGCTAGTAACCATCCCAAAGGGCATTGCTTTTAACAAAGGACATTAGGAAGAAAGGGACTAGTAAAAGTCTGTTTTGAATTTGACCTTTACCTTTGACTTACATATACCTTTACTCATGAGTACTCTTTGGGAGAGGTATGAATCAGATGGGGTCATTGAGAAAAAATATGCTCATGATAAGCTTTCATAAAGAGATCTCCTCTCTCTTAATCTACATGTATGTGCACCCGTTGGGTGAAGCTGGATAGGGCTAATAGAAAAGAAAATATGTTCTGGACAAAGATTTCAGTCAATTTTTATACCTTTACCTTTTCAAAGTTTATTTTTGATCAATACACATCCTACATGTGAAGTTGGTAGCACTGATCCAGATAAATCCAAGGGGAAAAAAATCATGCCAGTGATTTAACAGAAAGAAAAAGATAGGTTAAACTTTGTTCAAGGTCTTTGCATATATTTCCCTTTATATAAACTGTGTTCAAAAAAGTTTAAGCCAGAAGGATCGTGGAGGAGAAAGTGTTATGTTTTAATAGTTTGCAAAAAAATTATTGAGTCCGAAGAGAGAGAAAAAAATGCTACTGACAAGGATTTAAATGGAGGTGTTTGATCTAAACTTCAACCAAGAAAGTAAGTTTACAGTCATTTCAGGCAGTTTGATCAAAGCAACTGTGTTGGTGAGGTGTTTGCCTGATACAACCAAGGAAAGAATGCTGCTGATATTGGTTTGGTTTATTCCCACTTAGCCAAAATTCTGAATTTGTTATTCCCATCTAGCCAAAATTGGGATTTTCACACCTGAACACCTGAACACCTGAAAGGTCACCTGTGTAAAGTCTGTTTTATTACCTGTACTTACATGTATTACCTGTGGTGTATAAGTTCAATATCAAAATACATATCATAAATACTTGATTTATAACATAATTATTAATTAAAGAATTAAATGTGTAATTATTTTAAAATACATACCGGTACATTCATATCAATATCATTTTAAAAAAGAAAACTTAAGATCATTTTTTATGTAAAGAGAATTTAGATAATTGATTTTTTGGGGAAAAAGTGAAAAAAAAAATTCATTCACCCATTTACAAAGAAAATTTTTTTTGACAATACACTACAATTATTTAATGTACACATGTATTTGGATCATTACTTAAAATCTTTCCGATAAAGAGATTACCGGTATACTGTTTTCAAACCATTTGTATAGTATTTATTCAATAAAATATGTTCAGACCAATTCTTAATGCACAAAAAAATGTTTGAATGATAAATTAGAGTATCTATTAGAGAATATCTTGCTTTAACATATTTTCAAACAAAACAGTTTAATATAAGCTTTATTTCTAAAAAGTTTATTTAAAAATAAAAACTTTTACATATTAATTTATCAAGTCATCTTATTCATGTTTTTCCATTAATGTGATATTTCTTTTAATAAATTATTTAATAATTAGAATTACGCTTTAAACACGATTACAGTACATAGATTCAAGATTTAATTCAAAGACATTTATAATACCTTACCTTTCATTCACATGTATTTTTAAAATATCTGCGATACAAAGTATATTAAAATTGGCACCTAAAATTTTTAATAAATTTTAAAAAATTAAATTAAAAAAAAAATGCACAATATAGATCTGACATTAAAAAAAAAGAATACAAATCGTTTACCATTTACAAATCAAAAAAAAAAACTTAAGAAAGATTTTTTTATTTTTTCATTAATAATTAATTTTAATAAAATAATTTAGAAAAATAGCATTAATTTATTCAAAATTTAAAATAAATATGTCCATAGGACATGAATGTTCACACATATATTAGGAAAGTAACATGAAAATTTAAATGTGTATAAAATTTGATCAGTTTGGTTCAGGTATTTCATAATTTCTAGGGAATAAAAATGTAGGTCAGATCTCTCATCCGAAGCAAGTCTGGACTTTCTGATGCATCATCCAAGCAAGTTTGGTTCAGGCAATGTTATTTACTTGGAATGAAAATATAGGTCAGATCCAGCATCCAAAGCAAGTCTGGTAGTGTCCATCCCTAGATGCATCATCCATGCAAGTTTGCACAAGTTGACTTATAGTTACCAGGGAATGAAAATGTAGGTCAGATCCAGCATCCGAAGCAAGTCTTGTAGTGTCCATCTCTAGATGCATCATCCATGCAAGTTTGGTCCAAGTAGGGCTTATAGTTTTTTAGAGAGAGAGAAAACTCCAAAAAATTGAGACCTGGTAAATTATTGGAAAATGTAGGTAACCATCCAAAGCATTGCTTTTAACAAAAGACATTAGATGCATCATCCATGAAAGGGGGTAGGCAAATAGTGTTTTGAAATTGACCTTTACCTTTGACTTACATAACCTTTACTCATGAAACTCTTAGGGAGAGGCATCCGAAGCAAGTCTGGGGTCATCCTTGAGAGAAAATCATCCATGCAAGTTTCATAAAGAGGGCTTATAGTTCCTTAGGAACTGGACTTGCTCCAAAACCTTGAACCTGGTCACTCATCTGGAAAATGTATGTGCACCCATTGGGTGAAGTCTGGTAGTGTTCATCCCTAGATGAAAATATGCAAGTTTGGACAAAGATGTGAAGTTTGATAACACCGTCATGAGATGGTATGTTTAAAAGATCAATACATAATTTATACTCGGAAAGTGAGGTACATGATCAAAGGAAAGGTCAAGGTCAAAAAATGTTCATGCAGTTGATAGCTCTCAGAAATATCTATCAGCATACCAGATAGTTTGAAAACTTTGTTCAAGGTCTTTGCATATCCTTACTCCCTGTTACTCTAAACTAGCAAAGTTTAAGCCAGATAGGGTCGGAAGAGAAAATACTCTCTGGACAATGATTTTAACAGTTTGCAAACCATATTCATGGCGGGGCATAAGAGAGAGAAATTTTAAAATGCTACAGACAAGGTCACCTTTAATTAAGGTGTTTGATCTCTAACTCCCTCAACCAAGACCGTTTACCAAAGCATCTGTGTCACCTGTAACATGTTTCCTGATACAACCAAGGAAAGAATGCTGCTGATATTGGTTCCAGAAATCTGTATTGAACATAATCTGTGACTTAACAACCTTTTTTTCAAGGTCAATGCACATCCTTTACTCAGGGGTGAGGTATGGGCCAGTCAGGGACAAAGAGAGAGAAAATATGATCTGAACAGAGATTTTATACGACCTTGAACTAAAAAATGGTTAAATGTCACTGTACAGACTTATTTTTTGGACGCTCAGTAAGTGAAGTATCAGCCAGACTGAGGGAAGTTTGACAATTATACTGGTAATTCAAAAATTTTAAAGCCATTCATTGTAAAAGCACTTTAAAGTTGAAATAAAGAATGGGAAGTTGGTACTAATACTTACTGCTATATACTGCAGCATGTGAGATGGGCTCATTTACTTTGAATGGTGATGAGTCAAAATCATCATCAGAAGATGGTTGTACACTAGTTGTTGTCATGTGTTCCTGTGATTGTATTGTAGGCTGAGGTTTGACTGATGCCCAGTGTAATGTCTACAATCCAGCATTATAAGAAGAATAAAAACCTGTGTACTTTCCCTTTTAACTGTATCAAAAGTCTTATTATTATATACATGTGCATTTCACTTCACATAAAAATGGGTTTTTTTTTAATTTTATATATTACATGTACTATAGAAAAGAAAAAAAAAGATTAAAAAATTAAATTCCTATAAAATTTGTCAAGTATTGAATCAGTCAATCTTGACAAATCAATTCATTATACATGCCCAAGTGAACTTTCTCTGTAAAACTTACTGTCTTTGTTGCATCACGCAGTGCCTGCCACTTTTCAAATGGCACAGTGATTCCAGAGTTATTCCAAGTGTCATAAGCTTGTCTTTTCTCAGGATCGGTCAAAATATCTTTTGCTTGAGCAAGGCGTGCAAACTTTTGGGCTTGAACAAAAATTTACCGTTTTAGTTTTGATGATACATTAGAATTATTCAATTGTACTGCAAAACAACCATAGCTTTATTAATTAGTATAGATTCTAACCTGCTTGTGGGTCATCTGGATTCTTGTCTGGGTGGAGATCTAAAACTCTTGCTTTGTATTCTGTCAGGATTTGTTCAGTCTATTAAAACAATACATTTTTAAGACCTTTAATAACTGATTCTGTCTGGGTTCTTTTACTGTAAACTTATTTTATCATGTTTTAAAATAATAATTTATGTCCAATATTCATTGATTGTTAAATTTCCTGATCGTACTTTTATGAGTGAACATCTCATTTTTCTAGACACTTTATACTTTAAACTACATTGATACTCACTGTAGAATGTTCACTACATCCAAGAATATTATAAAAGTCGTCTTCTTTATTCCTCTCAAAATCAAAAATATTCTCCATTCCTACTTTCACTTTAACTTGGGAGTAGTCATTGACTGTTTTAATCAAGATGTTTTATTATGGCTCATGCGCGAAAAAACTTTATTATTGATAAAATTGAAATATATTTATTATATCTAAGTAGAAATGAGTCACAAAAGAAAGGAAAATAGTAGTATTTTTTTCGGGTTGTTGTCTTGTGGATCATAATTCTGAAAATAATAGATGCTCCCCATGCGCAGCGCATCTTTGAGAACTTTGCAATGGCGGAAGATGTGAAAGATGAAGTGGTTGAAATTCCTACAAAAAGGTTAAAACTTGACACGGAAGAAATAGATTGTGATCCTGAACAAGCTTGTTCTTCTAACAATAATTGTGCTATAGATAAACCAACAGGGAATGAGGATATGCCATCAACTTCAAGTGGTAAAGTTTCTCAAAAGTTATTCTCTCCCTTTTTCACGTTTCTTTTGAGAAAATGAAAGTAGAAATGTAAACAAACATAGTATTGTTTTTATTTTATTTCAGAGAGTGGATCTCATAAAGTAATCGAGCCAGTGGAGGTAATGATTTAAAAATATATTCTATAAAGTAATGTGTCAATTACCGTCGTAGAAAAGCCAGTATTGGTCACTTCGACGTATATATACAGAATATTATTGTTATTGTAAATTTAAATACTGATCTTTTATGAATTCAAGTTACTAGACTGCCTTGAAGAGGGTGATAAAACTAATGATGAGGACTCTGACAGTGATATAAGTGATATATCAGGCTTGAGTGAGAGAGCATGGAAATCATCACCAGGTAAATAAATAAAAATTGACATTATACAATAAGGACTGAAACAAATCCCAAAAATATTTACATTGTTCAATACAATTGCTCATTTCACTGTTTGATTCATTGCATAGATTTTCTTGATAATTGTTCAGTTCTTATTTTTTAATTTGGGTTTGTTCACTACAACCAGACTTAGCCTTATCATATGATTTTCATATACATAGAAATGGTGGTATTGTAAAACAACAGCATCCTGAAAATAAATTGAAACCCAACACAGTTTTCGAAGCAGCTCAATCAGTATCACTAGAAATACAATGATACCAAGTCCATGTATTGATATCTCATGTCATGGATAAAATACTTGTAGATATATCTGTAATATATACTTAAAGCATACAGTTGTAATAATTTATAATTGGATTATTTGGTAGAATTTAATATTTTATTGAAATTTTCTGCTAAAATGACAATACTTACAATTGATAAAAAAATAAGATATTAAAAGAAATATCTCCATCTCTTCAGCAAGGTGTTGGATATTCTTGTTGTCAAGAAAGGGTTTTTTAAATATTTAATAGTTTGATTTTTTTCAGTGTCGTTGACCAAATGACACAATATCAAACTCTATAATATGTAAAAGTTACATATTTTTGATTGTGTTGATTTTAACAAACATTGAATGGTTTTAATTTTACATATATACTGGTAGTTTGTTGTATTCCCCATTGCACCTCAAGTTCTTGCATTTCAGGTACCATGGCCTGGATACAACGCCAGATGATGGATGGTCAGAATCCGAGAGTTATTTTACGGGATCTTATTTCCAAAGATGTTGAAATTGATCACATGGATGACTTTTCTCTGTGGGAGATAATAATACACCTGATGTCTGAGCCACCCAAGAGGAATCGCCTGGAGGAGTATCAAACCCTGGATCATGCTTTAAACCTCATTAAATCTTGTCAGAAGATTGTAGTGCTTACAGGAGCAGGGGTACAAACATATTCTTTAGTAAAATCTATAAAATTATTGTTTGCTATTTCATTTTCTATTCATAAGTCCTTCTTTATAAAACAAGCATTTTTTTTTTAATATTACCTAAAGTAGATAAGGGACTTGATTGCAGCATTTACTCTACATGTGTATGAATTAACATATTCAAAATTTAGCTTGATTAATGGATTATCAAGCGTTGGTGTAATCAAGAAATAGTGCACCCCACTTATTGTATTTATAAATGATTTATTAATGCTCTTTTTAATTAATGCATTAATTGTTACAAAAATAGGGTGGAGTCATTAAAAATGCTTTTTAGTACACTGGGCCATAAGAGTACTTATGTAAAAATTAAAAAGAAATTATATTCTTTTTTAGTGAACATTTAAAATTATTATAATTAATAGTGGTCATTTTTGAATGATTATGTTTCAGGTATCTGTATCCTGTGGTATCCCAGACTTCAGGTCCCGCGATGGTATCTACGCTAGATTAGCTGTGGATTTTCCAAACCTACCAGACCCTCAAGCAATGTTTGATATAAACTTCTTCAGAAATGACCAGAGACCATTTTTCAAATTTGCAAAGGTTTGCTTTTACCAACTCTTTCAGCTAATGTTTGCTTTTAAAGATAAGCATGTGATTTTAAGGATAAGTAGGTGGTTTAAAAAATTGTAGAAGTTTTATCCATATTTGCCTTAATTCCATTGCATAACACTGGAAATATGTAATTTTCATTGTAGGAAATATACCCTGGTCAGTTTGAACCATCAAAGTCACACAAATTTATTCGACTATTAGAGAGACATGGACAGTTACTCCGAAATTACACACAGAACATCGATACATTAGAACAGGTTGCTGGAATCCAGAATGTGATACAATGTCATGGTGAGATTTAAAGGAAAGAATTGATTTAAGTTCACTTTGCTTGACAAGTCCTGTAAGGAATATAAGTTTTACCTTCAAACATAAAATTTTCCAATTAAGGAATATTATAGACATCTAAAGCTCTATGATTACAGAATTTGAGAATATGTTTTACTTGTTGCATTTACACCAAAAAATCAGTTGTAAGAAAAGTTAACAAAGATAAGGCGGAAAAAAAATTTCTCAACTACTGTAGATGTACTTTTCTCCATGGGGCAAAAATTTTGTGGAATCTCTATTTCTGTTTAATCCGCAGAAAGAAATTTCCGCAGATTTCTCAGACTTGCAATATATGCTTAACACGTATTTTAGGTTCAATGGGACAAATTTCTGTGGAAAATTTGTGACCTCATACATAGCCTAATTTAATCCCACATGGAAAAAAGTACTTCTACAGTATTTAGTTAAAAAATGTGTTCATTTGTTTTATAAGGCTCTTTTGCAAAAGCGACTTGTATGGCTTGTAAGCACAAAGTTGATGCAGATGATGTCAGAGAGGATATTTTTAAACAGGTAAAGAGCTGTTTTGCGTGATAGGTAATTGGAATTTATTAGTGAGACAAGATTTTCACAAATACCGGTTTTCACTACATATCTTGGGCTACTTGCCCTACATAGACCCTGATAATGCCTTGTTACTATACACCTTAAAGTTGTATATTTTAAAACATATTTTGTTTTCTTAAAGGAAATATTTTGTTTTATGTGTAGGTCATACCAAAATGCCCAGTCTGCCCTGAAGGAACAGAGCTTGCCATAATGAAGCCAGACATTGTATTTTTCGGGGAGAGTTTACCAGAAGAGTTCCACCAGCAGATGGCAGAAGACAAGGAAAATTGTGACCTCCTCATAGTGATTGGTTCTTCTCTCAAAGTCCGACCTGTTGCCCTCATTCCTAGTAATATTTTTTTCTTTGAACAAAAGTCTGATTTTATCTGATATACATGTAATTTTGATGAAGTATATTTTGTTTTTGCAATTTCATTGGCAAAATAAAACCATTAAGTAGAAGTGTACTTATATAAATTTAAATACATGTACCAAATGAATAATATGTGATTTGTAGTTAGTATTTAGTGATTTATTTATAACTTTCATGGTAAAAGGTAGTCTGTGTACAGGTTTACAAGTTGAAGAAAATCTTTTAACTTTATACAGCACTTTATTATAGTGTGTCTTCTTTACAGACATTACTTTTGCAATTTTAGCACTGTGTGTTAAATTTATTGTCATTTGTTTTTTCAGATTCTCTACCTCAAAAAGTGCCTCAAATTCTAATCAACAGAGAACCATTAAAGCATTTGAACTTTGACATTGAGCTGTTAGGTGATTGCGATGTCATTATCAGTGAGCTTTGCAAGAGACTGGAGGAAGGATTCCAGGTGTTAGCAGATTCTTCTCCAGTCATGACTGAGATCACCAGAGATCAGTTACGCACACCTACACCTTCTCCTGTCCCCTCACCACAGAACACTGACAGGGAATCTACAGCAGAAGACAAAACAGACAAGGATAGAGAAGATTCTAATGAAGCACAGAATAAAACAGAGGAAAATGATGTTCAAGGTCAAATTGATACAGGTCAAGGTCAGATCTGTAAGGCTGCAGAAGGTAAAGAGGGTGAGCAAGAAAATGAAGCTACAACTAGCAGTGAAAAGCCTGAAAGTTCAACATGTGAGGATTGTCCAACTGTGGCATCTGCAGAGACTGCTTCAGAAGGCATTGACCCGGATCTAAACAATGGAGAATCTTCCTTACAAGAATCTGCAGATAAAGGAGAAGAGGTTGTGACTTGTGATTCTACAACAGATGATTTGAGGGCTATGTGGCAACCAAAGAAAGTTAGTCTTGCCAAGTACTTAGAAGGTAATTGTTAAAAAAGTATTTTCAGTTTTACATATGAGTATGGAGGTACTGGTTTATGTATATATAAAAAAAAAATCTTTAAAAATCAACATCCCAAGCATAGCAGAAAATTAGTGATTTATTTGAAAGGTGAAGAGATCATGAACGCATTTCTAGTCAAATTCCCTGAAGTGGGCACAACTTCTTTGATGTATGTAAACTTCATATGAACTATTAATATACTGTATTTAAAATTTTGGAACCTTAAAAATTCAAGGACAACAATAGTTAGATGTAACTTCATTTATTTACAAATCAATTTCTAAGGTAGTAAACTGCACCTCAGATGTGCATTTTAGCATTTTTTTTGGTTACATTATGTATTTATTGCATTGCAAATCGGTACAAATTTGAAATCTTTTTTGCAGATGGTCAGTATTTGTACCTACCTCCCAACAGGTACGCATTCCCAGGTGCTGAGATCTACTCTGAGGAGGAGAGTGAGGACGAGGACCACTTCAGGAACAGCATCAGTATATCTGATAGTTCTAGCTGCTCATCCATCACCAGTCAAGATAGCCTCGAACAAATCGGGGAGGAGGATGAGAGCAGAGAACAGAGTCAGGATTTAGAGATCAGTATAGCAGAAGACATTGACGAAACCACACAGGAGGATGGAGTTTCTAGTTCTGACAGGAGCAATCGCAGAAAAAATATCTCTGAGAATGCACAGAATGTGCTTGAAAACAAGAGTTCTTGTGATTTGGATATAGGACAAGGGGAAAGAACTCAATCTCATGTTCAAGTGACAGATGATGCAGTGGTGGATAGCCAGTCATGTGTTGATAAATCTGACAGTTATGTAAAAGAGAAAGATTCTTTGCAACCTGAGAATATATTACAAAGTTCACCATCTAAGGATAGTGGTGTTTTATTACCAGATTCCTCTAACGGCAGCATGTAAATTGTCCATGACAGCCAGCATGGCTTGTATAAATTCTTTTATTGACTGCAGATCAAAGTTGAAACCTTTTGTAGCATTATTTGTTTTCTTACTGAATAAAACGTAGAAATAGGTCATTAAAATTGAACTTGGTTATAAATTTAACAATTTTTGTTTAATTCAGGTTTTGTATAGTTAAGGTATGTAAAGCATGACATGGAAAGCTTTTGTACATGTAGCAATATGGGAAGTGAAATTCTGTTGGCTATTGCCCTGCTTTTACAATTTTTTTTTAACTTTGACTCTTCTTTTAGAATACATATTGCATGCATTGTTATCACTCAATGCTCAAAAGATCTGTTACGGTGACAGTCAAACAGATAATGGGTAATAGAAGAGTATTCTAAATTTATCTGGTTAGTAGGTGACACAGAAATGAGAAGTTTCGATCTAATTTAGTATTAAAATCTTTGAATTGGATTTGTTGATAGGGGAGGAAATTCTCATTTTTTTTCCTACCGTCATGATAAGGGAGTAGATTAACCCATTTGAATGGACAAATCATCAGGATATTTGTAAAATAATTGAACGTAAGTTGAGAATAGAGAGGTTGAGATTTCAAACGTGTACGGGTACGTCTAGTAGGGGAATAACCTAAATTCCGTGTGATTACGTCATCAATTTTAGTGACGTCAAGATTACTACAAGTTCTTAGAACTTGTAGAATGGCATCTACACGGAAGTGAAAACGTGTAGCTTTAATAATAAAAATCGGTCAATTTATGTGTGAAAATGTAGTTGTTGTACAGTTTTAAAGATATTTAGTTTTAAAGGTAATCCTCGTGACTCAAATTTAACACACTTAAAACCAAGTTTCAATATTTCCCAAGGAATATAGTGAAAAATTGCTTTTGAGATTTAAAAAAAAAATCCTTATAGGACAGATTTCCCTCTAACTGACTTTTGTATGAGTTTTACTGTTGAGTCTGAATAATACTAATGGGAACTGGAGCAAACATGCAGCTGAATTCCAAGTCTCTAATACCAGTAATCCATGGTGACCAGTAGTAGATATTTTATTTTTCAGAGTCTTGATGTATTTTAAAACACTCAAGCTCATATTATTTACTTTGATCAAATTTATGGCGTTGGATTTGCTTTAATGTACATGTATATTTGTTCTTCGAAAACATCTGTTGATTATGCATTGTATCATTTGTTAAGTTTTTATGGTTATTGAAATTAAAATAATTGTTTGTTTTCTCATAATGGTAATTTTTGCCCTTTCCGCTGCCCATACAAATTCAAATATGATACCGTTGTACATGTGTTATATGATCATTAAAGCAATCTTATTTACATCGTCGCTTCTCTGGTTTCCGACGATGTCTTATTTTAAAAAGATGGACAATGTATCACATGCAAAGGGGAACATCTGGAGATAAATTCTCAGGTTACTACTATAGGCCTAACTGTTTGCAGAGCAAATGTGAGAAATAAGAAATAATTATACACTCTGTAAACCATTCCTTAACCAGGGAGCAAAATGTGAATCAAATAACTGCTTTGAAACTACATGTACTGTGTATTCAGCAACATATTCATGGTATTGGCAACATTATGACTCTGCAGGTCCAGGGAATAAAAAGCAACCCTCTAGGTCATCAGACTCACTCCCAATCTTTTCCAATTCTGATACATATGTACTAATAATCCCCGTTTCTCATCCAAAGGATTGCAATTGGATTGTTACTGTTTAGAACAGAGAGTAATTTTTATGTCAGCTGAAGTAACCTTTATCTATGTTTTTTAGTGTGTCATTCATTGGTCATAAATATTTTCAGGGTTTTCTCTGGAACTACTGAACCAATTTCAACCTATTGTTTGTTTGTAGCATCAAAGGATAAAGGAGAACAAAACTTTTTTTTACAAGGACCCTGTCCCCCTGCGGTACGGACCTAAAATCATCAAAATTATTGCAATTTCTATAACTCTTTTTCCTTACCCTGCTGAAAAAGTATTACACAGAATTTCATATTTTTAGTAACCATAGCTACATTTTTCATCAAAATCAAAAACCGGTAAATGACTTGTTTCTTAGTGTAAACTTCTTGTGTGCAAAGTTACATTGAATCGGCGTTTTGAAAAGACTGGTATTTGAAAGAAAATTTTATTTTTAGTAACCATGACAACACTATTTATCCTAATCAAAATCCAGTACTAGTATATAAACAGAATTATGTTTCTTCATATATTCTACTAGTCAATGTATAGTTAAACTGTAGGAGGATTAGCATTTTAAATTTTTTTTGTCAGATACGGACAGGTCAAAACTACATAAAACTGAATGTACATGTCCCTGTGTCCACCTTAGATTACGGCGGCATAATAAATATGACAATTGATATTCAATGTAATTTTTAAGACAAGGCATATGATTTGGTCACTACTTGAGAAAGAAAAACTTACGAAAATGAAGAAGAAAATAGTGGGTTCAATCATTCCTCATTTTTTAATTAAATCTTACAATATATGTGGTGATCTTTGACTCATTAATGGATACGTTTAGCACATCTGAAAGGTTGCATATTGTTTAGAACATTGTATAGCTATAACCATCTTTTGTACAATTTTGCTCGTCAAAATTATAAGACCTTGAAAAAATATCTATATACCCTCTCCCCCCACTGTGCAACAACCTCACCCCCCCCCCCCCCCCCCCTTCCTCATATTCCCCGTCGAGACCTCTACAGAGAGAAACTAACTCTGGCGAAAGTTTGCCCCTTGCTTTGTTTTTGCTTATCCTTTTGAGCTGAAATTTTCCTGACTGGAATTATGAAAAACTCTCCGTTACAAATAAACATTTCATAATAATTTATTTCACGACACAAGTACACAATATCATATAAATGTTTGAACACATAGAGCGTCATCTGGGGTGATGTTTCAAAGTACACCGTTTATAACATATGTAAAACTCCATATAAAACTATCACAACGACAACCCCTAACACGAGGAACTGGATCACTTTTAGTATCGCCGTTGTGGGAGGATGTCCATTACGCACGTGATTCTCCTTGTTGGGGCGTTTGATCCCCCTCTTCTGTTCTTTAAGCTGGTTCAGGGCCTCCTTTATCCGGGTATAGTCTTGGAATGTGATGCTGCTGCGGCGACGAGTGCTCGAGTAGGCGGCCATGTCCCTCGGTGACGTCTGATGGACTTCTCAAGATTCATTCATGTCCCATCAAATTCCTGTTGAAAAACAAAATTTAATGTTTGTTTTTTTTTTTTTTTAAATCTAACCACAAGTGATCCTATATTACGGTGAGGCTTAAGAAAAACTTTTACCTAGAGGATTATAGAAGTTAAGGCTGGTTAAAATGAACTATTTTTAAAAATCAAAATTCATGAAAATAACAAATAATTCCGTGTTCATAAAAAATAAGTTGAATAAGGATAGCCACATAGAGTTTCACATTCAATTTTTCATAAGTGTCGTACATAGAGATAAAATATATATTTATTATCGCTGACTGCTGACATTTTTCATACAATTTTTAAGCATTTCACAAGAATTGTCCACGGAATTTTTCTGGAGGATGCTTACTCCTCCATGGCACCTGATCCCACCTCTGCTCCTAATATATAGTTGAAATGGACATTTGGACGTGGTTAATTAATGTGAATTACACATGTATAATAAAGGTGATAACAAAACAGACTGAATTTGAATGACTCAAAGACTCGAAGCCCTACTGTTCTGTACGTATGACAGTGAACTTGAAAAACTTAACATCTACACAATTACCGGGTACACGCAGAATGTGTATCTTTGTGTTAAATACCTTTTCTCTGAAAATTTAAAAGAATGGAGGCGTACAAGGCGAGGACAACCTCCCGCTTTGAGAAAAGACATTTCTCAATTCTAAAAGTTCATGAAACTATATTTTTTAAAATAATGTGGTTTATATAATCTTTTACACATTAAATTCTGCATTTCATTGCTTTATTATTTTCTTAATAATCTATTTTCACTCATGTTTTTAAGATATGTGAAAACAGAAAAGAAAAAGCTTCACGAATGATTCGAACTCTCTACATAGCACAGTGTTTGGCGCAACACCGACCATGTTAACCACTACAAAACGAAGTACGTATATACATATATATACATTATCGATGTCTGCCACTGTGATTTAAATGAACGGGTTTGTTGAAGCGTACATTTTTTCAGAAATGTTCGATTTTCATAAAGAAAGGGTTCAGATTCCATTTTTGGACAAATTAAATATATTTCACAGTTACGTTTCCATCATTTAAGCGTTAACAAAGAATGAAGACATCACCCATTCATGTTCAAAATTCATCTTTTTTATGGCTCTAGTTAGCTGCAGATCTGTAGCTCTCCGAAAAAAAAAATTGATAGACCGGAGAGCTACAGTGCCACCCATTGAAAAAACTGTATATTTATTGCGCACAAAAAAATGCGCTCGGTTGTTGATGAATTCTTCCAAATTCTTACCTAAATTGCATAAAATGGAAGATTTAAAAAAAACCCTTTCTCCTCTATCAAGTACTTTCGTAGTTGACATCTGAACGAAGCATATTGGACCGAATTATCTTTGAAACCAAAATGGCAGTATAAATAAGCGAAATGTTCGATGATTACAATATCAGGGCCAGGAGGACTATTAAAAACAATTATGAGGAATGTTTTGTTGTGGAAAGAGTCAAAGAATATGTTAGGAACACACGGTTAGTAATATTTTTAGATTACAGTTTAAAAACATGGAGAAATAAACCGAGGACCGAGCGCATTTTTTTGTGCGCAATAAATATACAGTTTTTTCAATGGGTGGCACTGTAGCTCTCCGGTCTATCAATATTTTTTTTTTCGGAGAGCTACAGATCTGCAGCTAGGCTCTAGTAAACCCATTTTCCACTAAAAATGCTTAACTATCAACTTTGAAATAAAGATTTCCAAATAATAAGTCGTTTAGTAAAATAAAATAATAAAATATTTGTGAAGATGACATTACCAAGAACATGATTTTGGAAAAATATAATTTTTCCGTGAATTTTGAAAATTGAGAACATATTATCTCAGAGCGGGGGATTGTCCAAGCCTTGTACACCCTCTTTCTTTGTAAGGGAAGTATCATTTTGAAACACTGTTTACAAACAAACAACAAAGCGAGCGACGGACACCTTAGAAAACCAGAAGAGTTGCAGACAACAGATTGTACCCCAAAGTGTAACGCACGTACTTGGGCGACCAACCCTCCCTTTCTTTTTTCAAGCGCACTATACACAATGAACCACTGAAAGAGACGTCTTATTTGATTTTTCGAAGTTCTTTATAATTAAAGCGATAAATATATATGTACGAGTAAGCATATATTGTGAGATTGTACGAGTAAGCATATATTGTGAGATAGATGAGAAGAATAAATGATTAAAAGCACCGACTTTAATTACAGCGCATCAATACATAAGATCTTAATGAGATTAGTCTCTAGATACAGTGCACATATCATTACGTCAATCCAACGACCCTGGCTGAATACCTTCCGATTTTTTAGGTTCGTTTTAGGTTCAAAGCAGAACGCTTTGTAACATTTGCATTTTCAAATACAGTTAAAAAAAGATGTGAAACGCTTATGCATCCGTATGACAACTTTTGCAGAAGATTGAAGTTTATCAAATGTAGGTCAGATTTCAAGGTCAAGGGATGATTAATGTTATCCAAAGAAATGACATACCTTTGAAATATGAAAGTCGTAACTTAAAAAAGTTACGTCCAATATTAAATTTAACATGGGTCAATCTCAAAGTTCAAGGTCACAGGGTCAAATTAAAGATAGGGAGGCCTTGTCCTAAGAAATACATGATTATGTGAAATATTAAAGCCGTAGCTTCAACTGTTCTGAAGTTTTAGACAAGATTTTTTAAAAAGTAAGTCAAACTCCAAGGTCAAAATTGTTGGAATCCAAAGGAAGGCCTTGCCACAAGAAATATATATTACCTGTATAAAATTAAGTTCCCACTAGTACTAACAGTGTAAACTATTTAAAAGTTATGTTCAATGTTTTTTTTACAGACGGTCAAACTCCAAGATGAAGGTAAAAATAGAATTAATATTCATGTTCTTGGAAAGGTGGGAGGTCAACATTACCGCTATATCGCCAAAAATTTCAACTCATTACCGCTACATTTTTTTCAAATCTTCGACCGATCATTACCGCTACATTTTTTCAGTCGAAAACAACTCATTACCGCTACACATTGATTCAACCAGGTATGCAGGTACGAAATATAAGTTTCAATCACAAAGTCAAAGAATTCAGCACATTGTTTAACAGTGTCAGTAACTGTTCTCATTCTAAAAAAAGAGTACTCTTTTTATATACAGTAAATTTGACATTTTTTAAAACGTGCTAATTTCGGCGAATTTATATTTTTACTTTAATGAGGGTATTCAGGCATACATAGAAAAACACATAATACACAAAATACACCCCTGTAACCAAGCGCCTATGGTGTGAATGGGGGATTTTGTACTTCAGGATACGGGTCTTATGCACGTATATGTTGTACATATATCAATCTGAACACGAACAAGTGGCTGGCTAACGAAATAGGCAATGTAGCGGTAATGTATGCTTTTATATGTAGCTCGGTAATGTAACGTTTTTTGTAGCAGTAATGACTATGTAGCGGTAATAAAAACTTTGAAAATGTAGCGGTAATGATACGCACCCGGAAAGGTCTTATTACCTTGAATACACATGTGAAGTATGAAAGCCGTTGCGTAAATTGTTCTAAAGTTTTGACCAATGTTAAAATTGGGTAAATTCTTAGAAAATACCCTGATACCCCCCACCCCCAATTTTGTGCTTTCATATTTCACAGGTTTGTTTTTTTATGACAAGATCTTCATTTACGAGATACCAAAAATTTTGACCTTGACCTTTGAATTTGACTTGTATTTGAGAAAGTTAATCCTTCGCTACAAGCTGCCATGCGGTGGCACCATTGTTTCTTTTTTTTTTTTTGTTTTTTTTTTCAAAAAATCTTTATGACAAACCAGTAGGTATAAGGAATCTAATTAAAAAAAAAAAGCACCAATGAATTAAGATTCAATGCATTACTTGGAAATACTTACACCAAATTGCATAAATGTCCTTTAAGTTAAAAATAGCACTCCAATGTTCAATATATAACTGAAAATGCATTTACTCACAAGTTGATGTTTCGCCATGTGCATGGAAAATAACGCAAAAAAAATACAAACCGATGTTTTTGATTGCTCCATAATAGACCCGAAGGTTGAATCATCTTATCGCATTTTTAATGGAGAAGAATCACTTCATATAATTTCGACCTATATCACGTTAAAACATCTACATCGACCTTTCGTTAAGTGTGTTTTAGTCCTTTTTAACATTAAAAATATCCAATACGACCACTGTGCTAAAACAGATAAATGTAAATAGGAGAGATTGGATTTATTTTGCCCGTTGAATAAGGAGTCGCCCCCTGGAAACTTCAATTATCGGTAGGGGATTGTGCGATTAAGAGAAAAACGGCATATCGTTGTTTGTCCCCTAACTGCTGGAATGGTACTTAACAAAATTCATCTCAAATGTATTTATTGATTGCCAACCGAATCTATTGTTTCTGTATGGGTCAAGTGAGCCAGGCACCATTCTTCGAGGGCTTTCATGTCAGATTTCGATGTCGAATGCGTCAATATTCATTGTTTCATGCAATGTACTGACAGTTTTCCCAGCATTTTTTTCCCACTTGGTGTCCCTTGGTGGCTTGGCTTCAAGTTCTTAGTCATTTTCTTTTTTGTGTGTTTTGAATTGGATCAACTCGTGAAAAAGCGGAGAACGTTCAATCATCGTCATAAAAGCTTTTAAAAAGATGTTGTAATCCCATAAAAAAATGTATAGGTCATTACATCCATCATTTGAACCATCTGGAAATTTGTTTCAAGTAGATAATAATATACTTGTATTCATTGTAAACCCTAATTAAAGAATTTGAATGCTACAATCTTGATTTTTCAATGCATATCGCGGGCCTCATCATTATCATTTTACTTTCATCTAAAAAGTTTTATGATTATAAAAGTGTTGTGCAGACAAACAACGGGTCTATTAAAGTTGGTGATGTTCATTGCAAAGTACAATTGGTCAAAATTACGCAATAAAAGTACCGCCTATATTCTTAGTGCATAAAACCTTTATCTCGTAAAATATCAGCAGTACTTCATACGCTTTGATCACTGATGTTGGCTGTGCAAGCGATCATTGCCTCTGGGTACTGGGTTTGACCTATTCCTACGCGGGTCGTAATGGTGTTGAATTATTAACGCAGTCTATGGATATAATTTATAATGATTGAGTACCAAAAATGATGTATAATGTAATATATGATTACGAAGAGATTTCCAATAAAAGAATCAGGGATAGATTAGAAAACAAATTGATTTGAAACACGGCACTATAATTGAGTTCTTTCGTTCGCTACATTAGCTTGCACTCTTCGATGTTTCAAACAATACAATTATACGAAGTTACGAACTCTGCGGGGAATAAATTCCCCCCAATCAGACAAAAACTGACATAGTCCTCCATCAAAGAGATGCATTTCTTACAGACTCCCCTCTTGAAAAAAATTTAAAAAGAGACAAATTAAAAATGCTCACCTGACAAATTACGTGGTCCATTCCATACCTGTTGAATGTTAAGCCAGTTGGGAAGAAATGCTTGTAAATCAATAAACAGTTAAATTATAAACTCATCTCCTTAAATCATCATCATCAATTCCACCCCTGGCTTCATTAGATATGTAAACAAGTACATTCAACACGGTAAGCGACTGGCACGTGTAAACTTATCTGACACTAACATTTGCCATTCCAAGCATCCCTTAATGCTGTACATTAAGTCTGCGCAGAAGACAATGGGTTTAATGTAAAATGACCAATGCAAAGCTAGTATAAAAGTTTATATGCGGTCGTTATAAGTAGGAAATTTTGTTGTCTCAGCAAGGCGATAATTAACCTATACTTTTCAACCAATTGAAGTGATTTGCACTAAAAGGTTGTCATTAATACACATTATCCTGATTGTACCTGCAATAGACCAATACAAATAACACTGTTTTATATGTTTAAAAAACTATGCCTAATCGTTGGGATTTTTACTGAAGTATATGAACTCGATTCTGAAAATAATGTTTGAATAAAAAATTAAAATTTCAATTGTTTTCCACGAGAACGTTTCATTGCACGAAAAACACATGCCTCAATACACTGGTTTAAAAAAAAAATCTCAAAAAAGGTATATTAAAAACCCAGTTTCTATCTTCTTATGTAAAGCTGATAAGATAGGGGGATAGGTAAGCTCTAAGCCATCCCTAAGTGCAGGGATCATAGAACATTAAAAACAATCTGTGTTTTGTATATATCTAGAAGTTTAAACATAAGTATTTTACGCACTAGAGCTTAATTGCGGATTTAAGAATTTTTTAAGGTTCGATCTAACATTGAATACAGATTACCCTAATCTGAAGGCACATTGCTATTTCTTTTACATATTTCTAAGTTTAATGTACGCCTGAGCAGGAGTCCGCCATGAAATGGGATTCTTGCTGTACGGTGGTCGTGGAAAGTCGGAAAATGACGGTAAGGAGAATTTTATGTATACCCTATTCCTGCAGCAACAAAAAGACAACATAAGTTATATTTAACAATAACCACCTGACCGTTTAAGTTTACCTACAGACAGGCTGTATATACAGTTCATTATAATGTATCTCATCCATATTGCATGGAGTATTTAGCATCCTATTGGCTAAGTGCTTAACGTTAATTCCTGTGCACTGTGAATCTAGAATAGACGAAGGCCGTGTTTACGAATGGATTAATGCCTTAATAAAGGCTCAGTGAATACACAGTACTAATTGTTCTCATTATAAATTTATCACAATTTAGCAATAACATGATATCCAATGTTTCGGTTATGGAGACTCGTTGATCACCTACAGTATCAGCAATAAGCTATTGTCTAAATATTGGACAAAGTGGGACAAATCCAGACCTTCTTTGCAATAACTTAAGTATATAATATGCAAAATCTATCAAGAAACAAAGAATTATATTGACTAAATTGAGACACAACACAATATGAAGACACAGCCTCTCCCAACATGCATTCTACATAATTATATACTGCTCCGTCCTCGAAAGTTTGGCTACTTTGGACATCAATCAAGCTGATTCAACTACAGTAAAACAGAATCCGGAGATGGGTCACTTTGATGAAGTCGTGCTAAAACAATGGTTAAGTGCAAGAATCTCATAACGGAGAACGATATTGCAGGTCTATAACGATCATAAATGACCCAAATATAATGACAATGGGTTTAGCTTACATGAAGATTTTTGCATACAATTGTTGAGAAACTTTTTTTTAGATCGTTTTAGGGTGAACTATTGCATCAATATATATCTATTAGGACTTTGATTGGTAAAATATAATTATAAGATAAAAATATAGATTTAATTACTATATAAAAGAAGGCGTAACCAATGTGTAGGCGCATTTCCTTTCGGTTTTGGGAACTGATCACAAAATATACTTAAGTGCATATGAGAAGAAAATTGCAAAATCACGTAAATAAGCCTTATTTTGCTCGTTTCGGTAGACCGATGATTTTGATCCTTCTTTATTAAAATGATCTTATTAGGCGTGACTTGAATTTATCTGGTTTCAAACCAGTATTTCATCAAGAGCATCCTTTCACTATGGTTACTGAAGAGTGACAATAAAGCTATTCATAATAAGTTTTTTTCGTTCTCGCTTCCATCTTTACATCTATATGACATAATGCAAATCTGATTTCAGGTAAATACGATTTGTTTAGTTTTTCATTCCATGTATCATTTTCTGTTTTAAAACAATCAAAATCAATTGTTTCATCAAGAAATATCTACTGGGCAATTCACTGATGAGAAATAAAATTGCAATTATAAGCTTACAAAGTATAATTCACTAAACTCAAGGCAATCTTACGCGTAAATGATTTAAAAAACAACAACAAATACATGTACATGTACCTTAGCTTTTATCTTAAAATCATGTTGAATAGTTGTAAGCTTATTGCAGTTCAAAGACATTGGATTTTGTCTCTTTTTCATTTATTTTCCCCAAAGTTATAGTGCTCATTTGGAAATGAGACCTGATTCTTTCCCCGGTTCACGTTTCTTAAAACTTGGACCTTTTTACAAATTAATAGTCGCCTTTTAAAATGCTGATTAACTGTTGAAACTATTGTTTACATTGTAAGAAGTAAATTCAACATTAGAGCCATACATTAGCTAATCAATGTCCACTAATGTATGCTCTTAGTTTTTATATAAAAAGCAAATATATACTTGACCAAGAACGGACCACTGATCGTCCTAATACACCGTAGTGCCATTGTCTTTACAGATTCTATGGCCGCTGGGCTGGGGAACACAGAAGTGATCGTCATTAGCAGTGTTCTTGGAACCATCGCTGTTCTCGTTTCGCTCGCAGTTGGGACATATTGTTATAGGTAAGCAACGTTTGGACACTAGACCTCTACTTTTCTGTAGTGTGTTTTTCTTATTTCTTCGGGTCAACAAACAGGCGAGGGTTAAAAAGCCCAGAAGTAAGTCGGAAAGTAAGACAGGCGAGCCACAAGACTCGCGAGTTTGGGAGAGCTATGTTGGAAGGCAACAATACGGGGCGAAGTGTCTTCTTCGTTTTGTTGCTTTCTAGCATTGTTATTGTTGTTCCTTCACTCTGGGGTAACCTATCGGGCATAGGTTATCCCAGTAAGTTAATGTTATAATTACATGTACCATTAAGTCCTGAATTATTTCAGGGTTATTGCAGAGTACAATTTTAGGGTAAATGGACCATATCATCATGTAAAGGTTATTACTGAAGTTCGGTAAAAAAAAAATTATTAAAGAAACAAGTGCCTGTTTGTAAAACGTACCAATTATCGGTAACAAAAGATTCGAGAAACAGTGTAATGCATCTCCACGCATGCATTGACGACAACATCACTTTCGTTTTCATCCATGAAGAGTACCATGGATTATCTATCACTCTTGCCTGTTTTGCAAAAACTGTATCATCAAGTTTTAAAACTTTTGCACGATAGATACCAGATACATTAAAGAGGACAAGATTTACCAAAGATTTCTCATGAATTACAAACAGATCTATGTAGAATGGATGCCTACTGACAAAAAATTCACATTAGTCTTTAAGAGCCATTCTCTGTAATGATTTGAAATTTTATATAGGAGCTGTGGCACGCTTAGTTCAAAATTTCTCCAAACTCTCTATAATAAAAGTCATTGATACCCTAAACTGAAATCAGGCAAAAATTGGTTGCTATGTTTTATAGTTACCATGGCAACATGTCTTAATATATCGAAAAATGGCATTTTTTAACATGTTTAGAGCCCCATAGATAACATTTGCGACAAAGCAAACAATTGGCAATGATTGTTTCCAAAAGTTGAATGTCAGATGTCTCAAATGCATGATAAACATCTTTGGTAAATCAACTATTACATACGTTACTATGGTAACAAAGTATTCAAAAGTAAAAAAAAATATTCATTTAATTTTATAAAGTCATACACGTAAAAATAAAAAGCAATTATCGGATGAATTGTGACCAAATAATAGAGAAAAGAGCCTTGAATCACATACCAAGAACAAAATATGATATTTTATTTTGGTTGACAATGGTTGCCAAGGTTATTATACCACAGAGAGTCGTCAAAGTAACACTCTGTATGTTTAAATCTGATCCTATCTTTTAAAAAAGCACATTTATATAACTAATGATCAATTTTTAAAGATGTTGGTGTGCTCCTATTTTTCCCATTTGAAAAAATTCATATATATTCTTTAAATAGAGCGTTGCTATGGAAATAAGCAGAAAATATATGCTTAAAAACCTGAAAAATATTTTCTTTCCTTGGATACGTACCCTTAAATGTAGATTCCCAAAACTTTTATGATTGATATTTATTAACAGCTAACCTGCCTTTTAATTTTACTATATCCAATCCCTAAGTGGATGCAAGAAGTTGGCACACAGGGTTTAATACTGATATAAAGTTCACAAAATCGAACATTTTCCCTTCTTGGTAACCATAGCAACAGTGTTGTTTTCTTCATCAAATTTTATCAACATATGATATTCAACTTCAGTTGTAACAGATAAGTACAATTCAAGCTGAGTCCTTTAATTTGTTTCTTGATTAAATGGCAATTTAATTCTTAATGCAGCGAAAAAAAATTAACTTTTAAGCACTGGTACTTTGTTTCCATGGTAACACTGCAAAGTAGCAATTATACCCAATTTTTCTTATGGTTTTGGTGTTGCAAGGTCCTAAGGATGCATATTTGCCAATCTTGAATTTTCATGTTTTTCCTCAAGACAGTAGCATTAACCCAATCTTAGTTACTGGTTTTGCATGGTTACACTGTGTTACCATGGCAACCATAAAAGTTATTTACAGAATAATATTGCTTACACTTATATACTTAAGGTCAAACATTTTCATTGCTTTTCTTAAGTCGTTGATTGAGTTTGAGCATGTAACACCTACCATTAGTGAATACGGAGTGTTTTTCAGCATTTTAAATGTATTCCAAATGTACCCTTGGTTACCACTTACTTAGAGATATATTCTAAACAGTTTCTTTACAGTATAAGTGACATCAAGGTGTCATGTTTTTGTTAGAATGGTTTGTTTGCTTTTTCTAGTTTTTATTAAGCCACAGTCAAGATTTAAAATGGCTGAAAATCTTGATTTTTCAAACTTTTCCGGCTGTTGCCATAGCAACCGAGACACATAGCAACGAAATTTTGTTTGATATTTGTTTCTGGTGTCAAGTACTAAGCATGGGTGAAGATTCATCAAAATCGGTGACCATGCGTGGCAACAAAGTTTAAGTGGTTACAGAGAATGGCTATTAAAAGTCTTTACCAGTACATGTATATTAACGTCATGGTGAGTGACTTGGGGTGCCAATCATTTGCTGGTCAGGTGGACGACCTACCAATTAGGCTTAAAAGAAACCATGTTTGAATTTATGCTAAAGGTTTCGTGGGTCTAGATACTAGGATATATAAAATATATGGAATGGTTTGTCGTGTTGATGATGTGAGATTATATTGACTTCTTTGTATGCATGTTACTAGTTCTGCAGCTAGCATGTTACATGTCATACAAATCATTTTAACACATCAAAGTATGATTAACATTTTTTAAAATAAAATCCAATTGATCTTTATAGCAGATGGTTCATGTTCAGAGCATCAAACGCACTAAATAAACGGAGATTGCTCGAGATTTAAGAGCTCTTAATTAATTTGATTAGGTTCTAACAAAGTATCTGTCAGCATGTTTGGTTTAATTTGCAGTGATGGAATCAACGAAAAACGCAGATACCAGCAGGTTTGAATGCACTAAATGTATGCACCTACCGCATTTTCTCTATGTGCATGTATATATACAATATATACCATTAGCTTGACATAGAAATTTCTTGCATGATTTTTACCATTATTATATATCCATATATACCTTTTAATTCATACAAATAGTAAGGGTGACGAGGTTTAAATGTATCCGATAAATTTACGGAATATAGAAAAAAGTGAATATCATATTATATTTATATTATTATTATTAGTTTATATACACCAAGAAGCAAATGAAAACGGCATGGACGATAATTATGGCACGCCAAATTCACAAAATGAGCCAAACATAGTTTCACAATTGATAAACTAGGTTCATCGACTGTAAACTATAGTTTACAAACCGTGAACTATAGTTAACAATTCGTTAACTATGGTTTTCATCTGTAAAACTATAGTTAACGGTCGTTAACTATAGTTTACGAATGCTAATCTAAGTTTATCTGTCTGTAATAAAACGTTAACAATAGATTTTACCATCGTATACTATAAATAAGAGTTGTTAATCATAGTTTCACAAATCGTGAAACTATATTTATCAGATTGTTAACTATAGTTAAGAGTTGTAAACCATAGTTTACAAATCGTGAAACTGTATTTACCAGATAATCTATGTTTTGCAATCGCAAATGTTTGTTTTCATTGTTAAGCATAGTTTACGGTTTTGAAATATAGATTATCGCGTAAACTAAGGTTTACAGATGTTGATATAGATTAACTTGTAAACTATAGTTTAAACTCCGTAAACTATAGTTTACAACTGATAAACCTAGTTTATCGACTGTGAATCTATGTTTAGCTCATTTTTTTTTAATTTGGCGTGCCAGTAAATAATTCACTTGGGGGGGGGGGTAGTCATTTCAATAAAAGTAATTTAGAAAATCAAAGATTATCATAAATAGCTGATTATTTTAGAAGATTTTAGAGAAGAAAATCTAATTAAGTGACTGTATATCATTAAGGTTTTTATTTCATTTCAATTCAGGAAATATGATTACCTCAAAAGAACAAAACGTGGATCCTCCACAGATTCAGGGAGGAGACTTTTCTTTGTGGAGGACGTAAAGCAAGGTCATAATGGAAAGGGTCCCCACCCAAATACGTTACATCGGCAGATCTTTACGTCCACACAGCCAAAACCCCAACAAGTCTTACGCAAACCACAACCCAGCATGCAGATTAATAACCATGCCAGAAGTAGCCATGGAAGAGCCACACGGGATATTCACATTCACAATTCTTACCCCGGCGGTGTTCGATTAGTGCGCTTCCACCAGGACCAGGCCAAACCGGTGCTCCTGTACCGACCCAGCTCATTGAGACCCCTGTATACGCAACCCCACCTCCCCAACACAGTCCCCCATCTTAGGCTGGGGGACTATAGACCCAAGGTTGTCAGCGGTTACTTCTCACCCGGAAACATCAGAAACCTGACCGAGGAGGGCCTCAAAGACTCCGAAAGCTCATTAAACAGCAGTAAGTACACGAAGTATTTTATAGAATAATTAAATAAAGGATACAAGTATGTCAAAAGTCTTTTTCTAGGGAATAACAATATAATTTCAAGTTAATAATGATTGTTTTGTTCATAATTATTTTAGGTAGGTCGAAGTTTCACTGGTAAGCATTTTCTCCCATGCAACACGTCCCCGTGGAAGAACTCTGTACTTCGCATGCAGTGTGTCACTAATAACTTATTTCATCAATTAATAATACGAAAGTCCATTGAGCTCAATTTCGTAGAATATAATTTTTCGTGCAATACTTTCGCGAATTAGTAACTGCCGCGTTTAATATAAATCTTTGCAAAAATAGGAACGTTTTGCAAATAAAACGTGTACTTATTGTAACAGTTAATATAAAGATCTCCCCCTTTTTTGAAGATTCTGGAAGTATTCAGTTCATATAATACATGTGTCAAAATAACTTTCGACAAACTTCTGAGTTATGAAGTTTAATGTCACTTTTAAAGTACTGGGTCAATTTTACTGGTCGAAAAGATATCTGCAGATTGGTTTGGGGATTAGTAGGATAAAGGATAGGTTTAAATGAAGTAACCTCAAGACAAGGCTGACATAATCTCTAAAAATAAAACGATTTTATTGTAAGCACAAACAGAGACTATTTGAGGTCACTAGTTAAAAAGCTTTTACTTAAAAAAACAAGATATCTGTTTATATTCAATTTGTTAATGGTTCCGATGTGAAATCCAGGACTCTCGGGGAGGGGGGGGGTATTCATTAACTTTTAAAGTTTCATACCTAGAAACCTAGTACTTTTCATCAGCGTTTTCTAGTGGTCACTTTTACTTGGTTTAGCATATACGAGTTGTGACGTGGCGACACCCCTATGTTTAATGATTTAAACGTCTAATAAAATGAATTCAATTAAAGATTACTTAATGAAACTTTCAATTTCATCAGAAATTATTTTATTGCATCATTTGATACATTATATTTGATAATATGACGCCATTTATTAAAGATATGGACACAGTGACATTACTTTTGGATCAACCCTCGTACATTTAGAAACTCTGTAAAATCCAGGGGGATCTGGACGCCCCCCCCCCCCATCTGCGAAATCAGTGTCTGCTTCAATACTTACGGGTCTTTACCTGTTTGAACAATTCTTTGTATGCAGTTTCAACCACAAAATCCAGTCCTCAGTCATTGTTCTTAATAAAGGTTATTTTTTTTAAGATAATTAAAAATAAATGCTGAAATGCAAAAGTTACGTATGATATTTACTGAACCATACATGTAACAGTTTGACGTTAATAAAAATATTTTTCACCTACAAAAATGAGCTCAATGGTTTTCATGCCTAATCATCATACTGGTGAACTGAAAACTACTAGATTTACTTAGAAATATTACTCACAAAACTCGACTTGTGTTTTTGATAATATTCTTACAAGGGAATAGGCAATGTATAATCCAATGTGATGGGAGTGTTCCTGCTTTTTTACTAACACAATGTCAACACAAAGTTCTTCATGATAATTTAAGACCACATCAGAGATTTAACCATTGAACCATTTAAGAATTAAAACTTGGAATAACTGCAAAAACTGTTGTGCTGAGCTCAAAGACTTGAATGAGAATTTGGATTGATATAACTTGGTCTGGTATGGCTGCCTTATTTTCCATGAGCCATACAGCTACATGTATAATTCTATAGCTAGACATAGTATCAACAATTTTCTTAATGGGACTTTTCCCATTTTGAAATTGTGTGTTCCAAACTAAATTTTAATTTCATGTCATTCAGCACATGTAAAATGATATCAATTTATGTTAGATACCATCAGAGTTTTTCACAGTCATTGAGTGAATACATTTTAAGAAGATATGATCAGATGCTCCTTATCATAGAAGCCCTAAAAAAATTATTTCATATATTTAAAACACACCTAGGAACAATGACAGGAAAGACATCTTTATGAATATTTACTGTTTGGGATAATTCTATACTTTGCTTTATATGATACTTACTTGAATGTTCATGAACTATTATAAAATGAAATATTTTGCAGGTTTCCAGCAGAGCCAGAAAAAGTAAGAAAAGATAAAAATTCAATAGTCTAGTGATCATACTTCTATTCATTCTTCACAACTTTCATAAAAATGCAAAGCTAAATAGAATTTACTAAAATGACACTTCATTTTCTTTTAAAAGGTGAAATTCATCCATTTAGATGAGAAAGGCACACAAACAAAAGCAGTAAAAAAGAGACACAGAGCCACAAGAAATTCCTCCACCTCCACTTCAGACCTCAAAACTCTAGATCCACCACGGACCAAAACCATCAAACGCAACTCAGACTTTCACACTCAGTACATAGAAAGTGGTAGTAATTTTGTCATAATTGACTACATTGATCACATAAACAATGCTAATGGGGAGCTGCCATTGTCCACCTCTACACCCCGGGAGGACCAGGAGGAGAAAACTGATCCTGACCTCATTCCAAGGCAAAGGAAAGCACACGAGGGTTCTCTTGAAAAGATTCCAGCGTTTTAAATTTGAAAATACTATTTCATGTTTACAAATCTGCTGTGCCTGTATTCCAGTTTTATATTTATTGCCGTTTTCAGATATTAATATCTTTAATACGAGGACTTTGCTTTTGTACTTAGATTGGCCTTTTGGAATTAGCGATATTTTTTTATATAAAAACCATGGTAAGCATGCGTTATATTTGCATACATACTTTGACATTGAACGTATTTCTTAATATCAAACTAATTATACCATACTGCTTACCAGCTTTCGTTTTGTAATAAAAAAGAATAAAAATAATAAAAATCAAAAAAAAAATTATTTGTTTTTAAAATTTATTCAGTTACCTCTTTTTACCCCCTCTTTTCCCCCCTTTCCCTGATTTAAAACCCCCTTTCTTCTTGCCCCCTCCTCCTTTATTTTTTCCTCCTCTCTGTTTCCCACTGCCTTCCTCTCGCCTCTTCTTTGCTCTGAAATGTACAAAAACAAAAAAAATAACAACTATGCATGACCTGTAGTAACCCAATGTCAATTTCGGTGTACTGGTAATAAAACACAAGGTTTGCTGGGGAAGTGAAGGGAAATGTCAAATGATCAATCAAAAGATTTGGGCTTTTAAATCCCATTTATGCCATTTGATGGTAAATCTGTAGCTTGTGCTATTCATCTATACAATTTAAGCTAAAAGGGAGATAACTTGTGTAGAAACAGAAGACCAAAATCATGAAAGAAGAAAATTTCACTTTTAAAACTCGTGCCCTGTTCACATGGAGAGTTTAATTCAATTTAAAGGTAAGTTACTTCGAATTAATTTTGAATTGCCTTCAACAGAGAATTTAATGCGAATTAGTTTAATTCAAATTAATTTACTGCACATTAAATTACTTTGCATTAGCTCCGTGTTAACAAAAAGTGAAGCTAATTCGATTAAAATCTCGATGCATGCGTAAGGACAGAATTAAGTCACAGGACACATGTTGGTGGTTAAATATAGGTATATGTGCTGTATTTTGTTCAAAAATCAAAGAAAATTATGTAAATCACCAAAATATATACCTGTAGCCACTAAAATTATTATAGCAAATGGATGGCTCTACATACATAACATGATTTACAAATGACGTCACAATAGACTTACTCAATAGCCTTTTTGTACAAATGAAATTTGAATTCACATTAGTTTACTTAAACTCTCTGTGTAAACAGGGCATCATGTTATGGACCCTTCTTATTTTTCTTCTGAAATGACATGAACAAATGTCATGTTACAGTACCTTGACTGTTCCTCATTCATGATCTCACGATTGGCAGCCTTTGTAGTGTTTACGATGGGAACTCTGTTTTGGATGTGATCTAGAATCTCTAACTGCTTTTTACTCTCCTTGTTCACATCACCATAGTTTGGTTCAAACTTAAAAAAAAAATTGGTTAAAATGGTATATATACATATGAAGCTATGAAAAAAAAATTACATAAATGAATATTTCAATATGTTTAATCAAATCTCTTGCAGAACTTGTCAGATCTAATTCAAATTATTAAAAAATTCATTGGTAACTACGTGAACTGGAAATTCAAAAGTGAGTCCTGATAAAAGTTAACAGACCTGAGCTTATTGAATGACAGAAATATAACCCATACATATAAAGACAAGCAAAGCCATATACCTTTCTTTTTTTACCAGTATGTCGGGAGGGTTTTTCTGTTGGGAGTTTGTCTGTGAACTTCCCTATGGAGGCTGTTGACTTTCTGGCTACTGCCAAAGCTTTCCCCAAGTAGTCTTTAGTGGGGGCCTCAGTCGGGGTAAGTCCAACTCCAGGTACTGAGATCAGAAAAAAATATGAAAACACACACTGTCAAATATAAATATATCTCATAATTCAACAAAAGACTTCAACAAACTGAATTTGGATTTCATATAAAATAATTTAGTGAACATTTTATTTGATTGCTGGGTTGCTTCAATATATGTATGTGTCTGCGATTCAAAACTAAGGTAACTGAAACTTCTACTCACAGAGTCAAAACATCATATGGGTTACAGCACCAATATTAAGGGAGGGGTATTTTTATAGACTGAGAGGTGAAATTGCCCAGTTTGGCCTCACCCTAACCCTATGGCCGTGTGGGTCATGATTTGAATAAATTTGATGCTAGTAATCTACCTAAGGATACTTCCACTTGATTTAAAATTTTCTGACCTACTGGTTCTTGAAATTTTTAAAAGCCATCTATTTTTTCAATTAAATGTAATTATATTCCCTTAGAAGAAGGCTTGGCTCTTTATTTGAATAAACTTGAATCCTCATCCAAGGACATTTTATGGCAAGTTTGGATGAGATTAGTCCGGTAGGTTTGGAGAAGAAGACAAATTTGTAAAAAGTTAACAAAAACAATGACAGATAATGAACACATTTGATCAGAAAAAGCTCATTTGAGCCTTTGGCTCATGTTACCTAAAGACAGGTCATTTTGCTTACAAAATCTCTGTTTGATATACCTTTTGACTTCTGTGATCTTGCAATGTTACGGAGTCTCTGTAACTCATTCTTTGCCATCCTCTCCTTCTTTTCTTGCTTTCTCTTGGCAAACAGGTCAACATTTGGATCCGCTGTAATAATAAAGTACATCAAAACTTTTTCTCTATTTTAAAGTACACAGGACTTTTTCTCTATTTCCAAATTAATTTACCAGGTAAGACATTCTAAATTAATTTACTTTGTTGAAAATAAACCTATAAAGTTAATAACATTAAAGAGTTGGAACTAAATGGACAATACTCTAGGAATACATGTGAAATCCTTTTAAAACATTTTTTTAAAGAAAGCATACAGACCCGCATTATCAGGCACCTCTATGCACCACTCCTGTGTGTCATCATTAGCTCTCTTGTATCCCCAGCGTGGTCTCCATTCCTTCAAATTTCAAAAACAAGCTGTTAACTCATTACAGATTTCTAAATTTGCCAAATACTTCGAATTTCTACAACAATCAACTGAATTGGATATTATATTTTCTGCATTTATCAGTTAAGTAGATGTACAGTGTCCTTTACCGTAGGTCGCGACTTTACTGCAAAAAATTCTTACGAGAAAACATATCCTGAAAATTTGATATAATGTTCCTTAGAATTTACAGCTTATTATCTGCAATTTTTATTAAAATTGCCAACGTAGTTTTAATGCTACATTAATGTAAACGCCGTATTGTCGTTAGTACTTTTTTTACGCTTTACTATTGAAATATATGGAAAAATAATATTTTTATCGAATTTTGTGAAAACAGTTTTTTTTAAAAAGATTGGCTGACTTTTTAAAGATGTAGACGAATTAGTCAGGAATTTCAGAATGTCAAGATGAGGTAAAATCAAAACTATTAATATAAAAAAATCAATATGTCTTCTCACTAGAATTTTTGCTAAATAATTTCAAAGTTTATTCTTATACTACTAACATGTTGCGATTATGGTGTTATTTATATCTACAACGTCATTTGTTGAACGTAGTCACATTTACAGTACGAGTATAAATATCTTGACCTTTGGAATATGCAAGATTTAAAAGGTGATATAGATACAAAATTGAATTCTATTCATCATTTAATTTATTGTGCAGACATATAAGGATGACCAGCAACTTATTTTCACTAGTACCGGTATTTGAAATTCATACTCTGATTACAAAGTCAGAATGGATGGCAAAAACATTCCTCATGCATGAGAATTAATATACAGTGACAACAACGCAAGTGATAAAATATAAGTACCTGCATTTTTAGGAAATTCATGGTCAATAGGCAAAAATTTGATAACTTTTTTTCGAAAAACGGTAAGAAAAACATCCCGATCGATTCTGAGGAAATAAGTGGGGGGGGGGGGGGGGGGGGGGGGGGGGGGGGGGGGGGGGGGGGGGGGGGGCAATGTTCTTTCTATATTAGTTGCAAGTTACAGTATATAGCCCTAAATCTCGAACATTTGTTAATTTTGAATTATCTGATTCAAATTTCAATACGCAAAATAGAAAAAAACTTGCATTTAGCTTTTACACTTTGAGTTTTTTGTTATAAAAAAAAATATATTAAAAAATGATACTTGTAAATTGTTTACAGTGTCTTATAGGTCTTACAGTCCAGGTGTTTGTGTAAATTTGATTTTTAAATGCATTTCACAATTTATTAGCCAGCAATACAAGGTGAATACACAAAATTTAAATACATAACAACCAAACAATTAAGATAATATTAATGACAAGGTAAATTGATGCAAAGCATCAAATAAGCCACTAACAAAATCTAGCATTTCAAAAAGTACTTTCACAATTTTATGAAAGCATCCAAGCAAGGAAAGCACTTGTCAAGATATTCACAGCTGAATTAGCACCAGCACTTGATCATTTTTATTTCAGACTGTTTTCAAAGCAAAATAACAAAACATATTTTAAAAAAATTAGTGAAAATTTTATTGCATTTGCTCATCAACTGGATTCATCGATGTTGTAAAGTCAATGATTAATGGTAAGAAATTGTCATCAATATGAAGATGAACCATGTGCTGATACCCTGGATCTTTGTCACATGATATTGCCTATGGTTTCTGCAGAGTGGTCTATGCTGCATAGTGCGGTGCAAAATGTAGAAAAAAAATGTCATTCGCAGCTGTAGTATATTCAAAACAATTTTTACTTGTTGAACAATTTTTCAATTTTTATTCACCATGCACTTTTATCACGTTGTTCTTATCCGGAAAATCCTGACGATTTCCTTTCATATCTTACACACTCCCAGGATGGGGAGTACCTATTGTAAACTCTTTTTATTTGACCATAAATCATCAATTATCTGATGCAAAATGAAAATGTAATTGAAACATAATAATAATTAAAATTTAATTTAAAGCAGTTTTTAAAAAATATTTTACTCATGATTTTATAAATGTTATCATTTAAGAATTATTTTACTAAACTATTAAAAACTAACATCTCATTTCCCCATGTGCACTTTCTAACACAACTACAAATAGATCGGCCACTGCTGCGGCCGATAATGATGATAATTTTAAACAAGAGGCCCATGGGCCACATCGCTCACCTGAGCACCAAGGGTAGGACTAGTATAAAATGGCTTTTTATTGTAAAGTTTAAATCCAAAAGTAGTCCCATGACTAAGGGTGAAACGTTTACTGAATTTTGTAAACGTTTAAATGGATAGCAGTAAACGAAACGGTACCGTTTAAACGGGAAATATTCTATGTTGGATTTTTA